GACTCTACATGCCTCAGGATGGACGTCAGCTGAGAAATTTAAAATTGAATGTGGAAGCGTGACCTGGTGTTGTTCGTATTCTCGTGTCCCGACACTGTTTTTAATGTACAGTATGGCCAGCAAGCAGTTCCTTCTCTGATTGGGAGGCTTCCAGATGTCTCCTGATGCAACCCCACTTCGGTCATACTAATAATCGCCTTCTGACTATCGCACAGTTGGCGTGTGCACACCGAGTGCACGCCCATTCTTTTGAATCGCATCACTATCCATTACCACATCCTCCATCCTTCTGCATTTGGGGCATAGTGCTCGATTTGACAACTCGTCATGCTGAAAATTGAGCATCTCATGACTTCTGGACTCTCCGAAGCGGCGCTATTTTCTCTAAACGAGTACCATTCAAGAATCAACAATCGACACGAACTTGGAACACGACTTGCTACCTGCACGCGTGCACTCTGCATCATCGGTCGAATATTCTGGATCTTCTCCTCGCATTATGGCTTACCAAGCTCTGGGGCTCGACTCTTGCAAATCACCCAAGCATGCCGGCTGTCTTATCGTGTGTTCCAGACTTCCATTCCGTTGACTAGATTCATAGATATCCTTCGCATTGTGAGGTCTTTTGGCTCGGTTTACCGCCCCATCAAGTCTAGATTCAACTACGAATGGGATGAGGCTGGGAAAGAGGCTTCGATCTACGGTGAGGTACACACTCCTCCACGAAGGCACCGCTTCTTGCTGTGTCTCTGTGTGCTGTGGGCGTCAAGGGACACCGTTTTTCGAATATCTGATCCCTATAACGTAGGATAGCTCGGCGTATCTTCAGGGTTTCTCTTATCGCCTCGAAATGTAGCTTTCTGGGGTCATTTGTCAGGCACACGCTTTAGGTTTGAGGAAGGGAAATTCGGCTGCGATACCCTCCCGTTTCAACGATATTCCATGATACTATTCCGTAATCGGAAACTAGATATCAATGGAATCGCTTCGTCTCTGGTCCTGAACCGCTCTCATGTACGTGAGTCTCGGCATGGTCCACCAATGTATCGCCATACCTCATGAATGAAAGTGCTTCTCCGTCTCGCTGCCTCACACTGGGTCATCCAGGAAAACCAGCGTTAAGGAATTCATACAAAATGTAGCGGATGGCGTGCGGGCGGAGAACCTCGAACTTCCCACATTACCCTCCAGAAATTAAATATTTTTCAAGGCCGAATCCGGCGACTATGAAAAAGGATTCGGCTATCTTTCCTGGTTCGTAGGGACTCGGATGTTTATTGTCGTAGGTTGAGCATGGAAATACCCAGACCCCCGCAAAATTCTGTGGCGGACTGCCGACAGTATCGAACTGTTTACTACTCAGCGTAGATACCACAATCAAAGTGACCCACAGTTAAAATCAGGGATATAATACTGCATTGTGTCTAGCAATCGGCATATCTCTGTGACACTTTAGCTCTTGCATCAAGTTTTGTGGACATACTGTGATCCGCGGAGATCGAGGGCAGACGTCCAAGTGCTCAAGAAGAGTTCCACTGATTCGAACCCTGACCAGATATTGTTGGGGAAGAACCACACCTCAAATAGAAAATTTGATTGGAGAACGTTCAGAAAACTGCATGGAGCGATAGGACAATTAAAACCGCACTCGAAATTCGCTCCGCCGGCAGGGACGATGGCCCGGAACTGAAAAACGCCGATGATCAAAGCTTGCTGATTACTGAGAGAACTTCCAACACAGGAGACCTGTAAGATAGTAACCCATGGGATTCGTATTTGAAATCCCATCCCCGTTATCGCGCGTCTCGACTCGCATCCCATGAGCTATCGATTCGCATGCGGACCTAATATGAAACCAGGAGCCGTGGAACCCAGTGCCTCACCCTCAGTTGGAACCGACCCGTTTGCAAGGACCTTGATCATTTCCCATCGTTGCTGAAGAAACCGGTATGAACTTGCATGACGGCCAACACGTTGCGGCTAACTTCCGCGCAAACATGTGTTTGGGAAGGAACATATCAACCAGCGAGGCAAGAACTCTTTGTCAGGGGTATTTCGACCGAACGAGCTTTCTTTTCACTTCCATTAAAGTCAGTCTCCCGAAAAAAATTGAGGATCGACGTCCTCCTCACCGATTGCAGCGTGGCAGTGGCATGTAGTTAAGAGTTGGGAGGGGGAAACATTAATTAAATGCATTGATTCCGTTTATGATTCTGTTCCTAAAAATCCGCTCCTTTTTTGTCATAACTTTTGTCAATAGAGTGCCCCAGGTCGAAATGTGATCTAGAGCGACTCACCTCTGCTACAAAAGGTCCCGCTCTGCTCCCTCTTCTCATCCCCGGCAGAGCATCCCTTCCAAGCACGTCGACAACCTCCCGGGTCTGTCTCATGACTCGTCAACGCCAGCGAAGTTAAAGCTTCCCCTCAGCTACGATATCTCGTGAAGTAAGTAGTCCCGAAGTTTGCAGTGCCACCCAATGGGGTATCACCCATACTTGAGTTTGCGTTCATGGCGACAAACCGGATCCCGTGTAGACCCTGTTCGAACATGCTGTTGTCTGGGTAGTTCAGCCCAGCATACGAGGGCTCCGACATGCACGTGGGACTCATCGTCACTCAACTTGTCTCAACGTAGCAGACCATGCTAGAGGCAGCCTCGTCGCCGCGCAATCTCTGCTCGAGCTTCCAAATACGAATCCCCAAGTTTTCCCTCCAAGTTTGAACGTCACGACAAGAATCATTCCCTCTTCATTCTCCGCACTTGGTCTTTGCCACTTGGATTTTTGCTACAACAGCTAGTCCACTGCATGGCAACCGCCGCCCGGCATTGTCATCCTGTGGCCACGCGATGTTCGCAACATCGACTCATTCGTTGAGTGCATGCCCTTAAACGGACTATCTTTGACCCAACGCTACCCATTTCTGGGCCTATGTGAGCCCATCGCTCTTCCATGCTGTCCAATGCCGCACCGTTACCCCTGTACAAGGTTCAGAGATACAGCCTACATGGTAAGCTTCACTCATCTTACCAGTGACTTACCCTTCCACGTGCGCGCCACAGAAGGAACATGGAATCTAACCTCTCACTCCCGACACACTGTCCCCCCATTGCCTACCGCCAACACCACCGTTGGGCAAGGGCGTCGCGATCATCTTCTCACAGACACCTGATCCGGTTACTCACTATCCCAGGATGTAAGCAACCCCCCGGTTCCAGGTCGGCAACCTACAGCAGTCGAGAAACGAACGACAAAGTCAGCAACCGCACACATCGGGAGTCGGTGATCCTCCATAGTGAGCTCTGGTTGATTCCCTGTGTCGAATACTGGTCTGATGACTGAGGTCAGAGACTTATAGCCGAATAGTGTTAAGGTCCTCCTTCATGTCTCCCTCGCTGCAGGCTCTCGTGGTAATCTCCCTACTGGCCCTGGTCATCTGCTGCCAACACCTTCGCACTAGGAGCCCGACTATCAAGTCGGGAACATCAGTGTGATGTGGGTGTTGTGCACAATTGCCCTAGTTTTTGGGATCTTATTACGCGAGAGCCAATGCAGGATGGTGATCGAGGTCCCCCTCCTATGATAGCGATAAGCGTAGACTGAGCCATGCATCCCTGTATCAACCTTATTGGTGAATTCTCTTGATCCCAATCTCGCTCCCCAGTTCCAAGAGCCATGCAGCAAGTTGCAGAGTTGGGAATCAACTGTGCAGAGGACACGCCTAGTCTATCGGAACTCGTTAAATACTGAGACGTCGCAATGACTCGGTCAACGTGTCGTGATTCTCCAAGAGCGCTAAGGAACATAAAACACCTCCGTTTCGAAGCTAGCTTCACCGTTAGTTGCCTCTAATTTTCTGCGGGCTTCGATATTGTGCTGTGAACGTGTCCTTATCTGCACTCTTCAGCAGTGGTGCCGGGAGCCTCAGTGATACCTTATTTTCCTGACAGAGAGTGGCGAGTCATCTCGAATTTCACCTGCTGGTCGGCGTTCGCTACGTAGCGGGTCACCTACGTGTCTCAAGCTCCGCCTTCGTTATCCCGATAGAGGCCAGTGATCTGCCCAGTTACCCTTCTGAGATATACCCCGTTCACTCGCAGCGCAGACCGTCGAAGATAGAGCCCCTCAAAAATTGTGGCAGCCGGCCGAAAATGCCACCTTCCCTTGTCCGGCACGCAAATCCGGAATCTGGTAGGAGAACGAGTGAGGAGTCACAAGCAAGACGGTGGTAGCCCTTCAAAGGCGCTGGGCCACGAGTAGGACATCGGCCAAGTGACAATCAAATTGTCAGAGACCAGCGGCTTCATCTCACCTGACTGATGATTTGCCACTGGCAGCTTTGCCATGATCGCATTTGGACAAGCACACTCTTCCATCTGTTTCCCGAACGCATTCTCATTGTTTGCAGGTACCCCAGCACCGCGGTTGGTGGGTCCTGTATATATGCCAGGCAGAATGAAAATATTCATGGTGTTGTACAGTACGATTGAATTGTAACGGGTGATCTTCGCGTGCACGATACTCAGCGCTGGTCAAAGCCCTATGTGATCAAATTACAACATCAAGATATGGACTTCATACAAAGCCACTGTATAGACCATGGAAATGCGCGCGTTCGTGATCATATCAAATAATCTTTGATCTGTTGTGATTTGTATAATGGAGGTATGGGATTGCCTCCTATTCAACAAAGTTGTCGGGACTGTTGCCACGCTATCACAAGTCCCGTCCAGCTGCACACAAGACTGAACCAAACAATTTCAAACTCAACATTCGATGCTGGGCCAACGGAATCCCAGAGATAAATACACGCAACCAGAAAAAAACTGGTCCACAAATGTATGTAAGTCAGTCCAAGGATAAAGGGCAAGGTTTCGCAAGCACGACATTAGAGTTCGTAAATATGAACGAAGGGCAAATGAATTAGAAGAATAAAGGGAATGTATGAAAAGAGGGGGGGTATTCGAGTTTTTATCGGGATCATGATCAGTGCCTTCTTACTTAGGATGTGGGTGTAGGGGTGGGCACAAGCGATCTGCCCCGACTACTTGAACAGACCATCGTTGTAGCGATAGGCACTGGTGGCGTTGCAGCGAGCCATGCATCAGGATACTCGCACCCTGTCACATTCACAGGAGACAGTGCTACATCCTGGAGTCATACCACCCAGTACCCCCGCTGATCTTCGTCCCGTTCTTTGCTGTGAACGTTGGGACAGGCAACGTGGGTACGGCACCTGTATAAGTATATGTGGGGAGGGCACCCGCATCTGAGATATTGACGAGGGTCGCGGGTGGCCACTGCCCATATGACAAGCGGAAGGTGGGAACAATCGCTCCAGCGGTAAGGGAACCAGTAGCGGATGGATCGATAGTTTGCGTGACAGGGGAGTTCACTCCTGCGTTTTCGCAGGTCCCGTACGAGTTGCGGGGATCTTTGGGCAACCAGCCCTGGTCGAGTCCAAGCTTGTATGTCCACATCGGAGCCTCCACCTTCCCGGTAAGGGAGCTATTGCTGATCTTCCACGTCCAGAAGAACCAGTGCTATATCACAAGTATATATAGAAGGTAAGAAAGGATCAATGCCTCAAACGCTTGACTCACAGGGAAGCTATCCATTGAGCTTAGCGCAAATTGCAACAACTCTTGCTTTGTGGTAGTGTTGAAAGCAGGCCAATTGGTCCAGTCCGAGCAGTTTCCATAAACCTTTGTGGATCCGGGGTAGGTACCTTCCCATCGGGTGCCATACCCGACGAAATTGACCCATTTTCCGCCTGTCAAGGTGACGTAAGTTTACGGGACGCCACGGGATAAGCCCGATGGCGTCAAGCCATCAACACAATACTCACAATCGTTAAAGCTCAAACTCCACTCTCCGGCAATGGTGATGCCGAAATCTATCATACTTTTGTTGAACCCTCGCGCCCATGCTGTGCAAGGCTTATAAACCTGCTCTGCAAGCGGACGCGCATCCACCGCGGAGCCGAAGGCGAAATATGGGTGTGAATCCAGCACCAGCCTATCCGCTCCACGCATATACCCAGACCAAGAGCCGACACCAGTAAACCCGTCATGTATAGAGAGATATGCTCCATTCCCTGTACCGTAGCCCGTGATGTTCCTAATCATATCGTGCGTCTCCAGATAAAAGTGGCTGATAACGTCCACTGTGATATTTTTGGTGCGTGGTTCGTTAATGAATCCAAAGAAAGGTATGACGTTGCTATATTCAGGCTGAGATATGAACTCGGTGATGATTCGGATATAGTCAAGAGCACGTTGAGCATTCGCAATACCCATGGGGCCCATAAGGAAGTTGATCTGTCCTATCCTGCCAGAGTGGTTGTATCCATTTTGGGAGCCGGGAATGGTATGGAGGTCGAGGTTAATTCGAAGTCCATATTTGCGAGCCCATTTGACGGCTTTGAGGAAGTACCTGATCAAGATAGTGAGAAGAGAAAGTCTGGAGACGGATCTATACGCACTGCCAGGCGACCCCCTCAAGGAATGGTTCGTTGTTTCTGACCTCAATAGCCCAGAAAGGAAGGGGGATACGGACCCAGCCGAGGCCAGCACCCGCAATCTCAGCAAAATCTTGTTCCGTCTACACCGCGGCGGTAAGAATAAGTGGCAAAAGAGATGTTCGTCGGCTGGTTCGGACTCACAATGAACGTTTTGTAGTGCTCCTCTAATTGCTTCCGCGACCCTCCGCTGGCCGTGTCTGCATCCATCGCAAGCGAGAGGGTCCATTCGTCGACGGTACCATTATATTTCTCGAAGAACGCCTGATCTTGCCGCATTAGTTTCTGTCCAAGGTAAGGAAGACTTACGTACAGGTGTAATGAATGGCTCCAAAGCCAGCCAGCCCCCAAGGTTGACACTAAACGAGAGGAAGATTAACAACAGAATGCAACGTGCTAACAAGCCATACCCAAAGATACGGTTGTTGACGTAATCCCAAGACTGATTGAGAGGGGGCACCCAACTCTGGGCTTGGGCATTGTTATTGAATGGATTATTCGGATCGTCCACCCAGAAACCCCCAAATTCGTTGATGTACGTAAACTTGGTACCATCTTCAGTTGTGATAACGGATCCATTCCCACCAGTAATCCCACCACTGCCACCACCACCACCACCACCGCCACCCTTTCCTCCACCGGATGTATTCGACGAGCTGTGTTTTCTGGTGACAAGAAGTGGGACGGTCACAGCAACTGCAATGATAACGGCAGCCACCAGTGCAGCAGCAGCAATCATCCAAAGCCGTTTCCTCCTGCTGTCCAACGTGTCAGCGTACGAACCAATGGTACGATCGGGTTTTTCCACGGGGCCGTTATCGCGATGGCCCTGACGCAAGGCGGAAGACTCATCATCACGGTAGAGATGGGGGGTCTGTGGCAGAATTGTTCATAGGGGATGTAGAATAAAGTCGAGCTGGTGTGCTTGCTGAACCGCCGGACCCAAGGCTACCTCTAAATTCTGACGAGGCATTCCCCATTCCTGCAGAACCAAAGAAACGCCTCTGCTGATCAGAAGCCATTGGAATGGGGGATGCACTTGTTTCATCAACAAATGATTCGGGATGTCCGTAATTTGAGGATGACCGTGAGGAGGGTGTTGTTTGAATAGGTTCTGCTGGCGGCAGGAATCTATTCCCTGGATGCCGCGAGGGAGCCGACATGGTGGTTAAAGAATAGGCAGTAAAGAGCGTAAACCCTCGGCGCTGTCAGAAAGTGAAGGGGACGTGGGTTGTTGAACTCGACCTTGGTGCGTGGTTCGCGGTGAACGGAAGCCTGGAGCGGAGAGAGCGTAGTGCTCTAGAACTCACTCCGAATTGCGCAGGTCAGCGTCAACAAACAACCGAGGGTAGCTTGCACGACGGGGTGGAGGAAGAAAGGCGATGGGAACCCCTGGAAGGATTCAAAGACGTATCGCGTACGTACTTAAGTTAAACGAATAAAACGAATAAATTCGGCCAACTCCGCAACGCTTGCAGCTAAGATAAGACAAATTGTTCTAAGAATAACACATGGTCACATGTCCTATTCCTCCCGATTACCTGTCCATGAACCCAAGGACTCCGAGGGGGTTGGCTTTTCAGTTCACTAGGCATGTAGCGGAGTTGGCCGAATCTATTGTGTCAACACTGGTGCCCCTTGCGTCCCTGTCGCATCTAATCACAAGCCGCGCTAATTTAAATTTTCACCTTTTTTAAAGGAGTTCTTCCAAGAGATGTGCCTTGACGTTCCTGCGACTCGTGCGGCACTGCTCTAGCTACTTCTCGAGATCGACACCTCCCTCTCACGCGTAACTTGCCCGCGCTCGTTTCGCCGCTCTGGGAATGCAGGGAACATGACTTATCGGACCCTTCAGAAGCTAAGAACCAGCCACAAGATTAGCCATATCAGGCGACCGGTGACTTCCGCAATCCAATTACAGCTAAAAACGGTCCACCATGATCCACACCCAGTCTGGCGCCTAATCAAGCCTTCTAGCTCCCAAATTTGTAAGTTTGACACGTATTTAATTTGGTTCTTAGTTTGGGTGACCGATAGACTCGAGATACCTTCCGGAAGGCGCGAGAATAGACTCACCCTTAGCCAAAAATAACACAAAACAATATAATAGCTTGACTCATTATGTTGCCAGGCAGTCTGCGTCATGTTATCGAGCCAACAGATCTTGGTTGCTGCACCCGGATGAACATTCCGTTATGTCCATCGACGAATCAAACTAAATATTGGTTAGATAATCACCTTGCTTCCTTCAATGCCACTTCCTTCTCGTGCAGAAGCGCTAAAGATACAGGGAGATTATTTTTCCGCAGGGGAAATGGACTATGTAGGGCGTTCATCATGTTCTCCGAGGCTGTTTCGATTTTTTTTGCACAGTATGCAACAGGAGCATTTGCCCGGATCAAGGTCGAAAATTTACAACACGGGAAGCGAGTGCGAATTCCAATAATGGTAGCGATGGATATTACTCTCAACACGGAATCCTGACAACAACCTGTAACGAGCCATATGGGATGATCAGGTAGGCGGAATCCGTGACCCCGTTGGCATACCATTACCGGATGCACCTGCAACAGTGGAGCTCGCTAATCTGCCCCATGTTACATCACCCGAAAGAACCCGTAGGCAAATATTGATGGAGTATTATCGCAGACTTATCGCACCTCGAAGACAATATCCTACAACTGAGCACGCTTGGTTAATCCGAGAGGGGCATTATGTTGTGGTTCGCAACGGTAATTGTACAAGATTGGCATGCGAGTTTTGGAGGGCGATAGTCTGGCATCTGGCGGCTCCAGCTGCTGCAAGCCTATGGTGGACCCTTTGATCAGTCAACCTTAGCCGAACGGTTGAAAGGCCTTAATTCCGAGCTTTTGGCACCGTTGCCACACCATTGCAGTCACTGCATGGGATATCTTGAGGGACCTTTTTCACCCCCGGGTTCGCTTGCGTCGCTGAGACCACTAGAAGTATATTGGGATTCAAAAGGAGTGACTGAAGTTTCGCCAACAGGGATAGGGAGCATGTCTATGTCCCATATGAAATCTGCTTGCGACTCTGGAGGAGCTTGAGATTGGAAAGGCTGCATGACGCCTAGGAGGATGCAGATTTAGATGTGACCACCAACCTGGAACGATTCACAAGGCTGACGTTGAATGACGGTTCTGATAGAGCTTCTGCCATTCCTCCGTGGCTCCATGTGCCAAACCTTCACCATAACCAATCCCCGCATTGGTTTTCCAGCCTATATCTCGTCTCCCAACTTCGATTACAAGTGTAGATAATGAACCAGAGGATTCACTCATCGACTTCATCAAAAACCATCCTGCCCTCCCTGCGATCGAGATACCCATCACTCATGTTCACCTCATTAGATATATTAGTAATCAGCCAAGAGCTTTAAAGCGCCATCGAGGCAGGCTCGCCTCTTACAAGTTCTGAAATACCAATAGATGAATCAGTCTCTGAGATGATCTCGAGGTTCTTCAGAGATGGCCAGTTCCCTCTTAGGACCAAGGTGCAATTAGTGACAAGTGACAAACATTCAGTGCACGTCCGGCGTTGGAAATAAACAACAAACAAATACTAGAACAGCTTAAGCCCTACGGCTATCATGGGTTTAAGGTGGCATGGTTGTAACTTCTATTTTTCCTTCATTCTTCTTCGCTTTGACTCAGGTCCGACTACTCTTTGGCCTGGCGCACTATCGCTGGTGCCCTATCTTTTTCTATAAAACATTCGCCTTTTCGCATTATCATCCCCCTCAGTTCACTTTAACGTGAAGCTGAGGTGAGATCGATACTTCGACTAGTTGTTATGATTCTTACTAATAACTCATGTATGATGTTATCTCGCGATTAGGTATTAAACTCAGTTCACTTGAAGTGAACTGAGTTTAATACCTAATTACGAGATAACTATCGTACATGAGTTATTAGTAAGAATTGTAACAACTAGTCGAAGTATCGATCTCCTCATTCGTTAAAGTGAACTGAGGGGGATGATAATGCGAAAAGGCGAATGTTTTATAGAAAAAGATAGGGCACCAGCGCATAGTGTGCCAGGCCAAAGAGTAGTCAGACCCGAGTCAAAGCGGAATGTCAAAGCGAAGAAGAATGAAGAAGTTACAACCACACCACCTTAAACCCATGATAGCCGTAGGGCTTGAGCTCCTACTGAGTGCCCGTTGAATTCCAACAACTATGTAGCCAAGAAGGCTGTGCCAACGATCGCCAATGATATAAGGGTCTCTCCGTTCGGTGAATGATCATCGGGACCGGTATCTACAATATATAGTGGGCTACCAAGGCATCTGCCACACAAACCCCCCTAAGCCTGTCGATCACACGGGCCACGAGAATTCCTCAAGATAAATATGTGTACTTGATCACGATAATGCTTGTTTCGGCTTCAGATGAGAATTCAGATAGTACTAATAAGGTAGTGTGTGCGCGCGCAAGACACAGCATTGATTACTGAATTGACGAGATATGTCAAATGTGGAGTGGATAACGTGCAGCAAAAGCGAGCGGACGTATGACAAACGGCTTGGCTGTGCAAAGGGCGCCAATCTTTGCGCCAAGTGCCAAAAACAGGCCTGAAAGACGACGAATGCAATTGACGAGCAACCAAGGTCGGCGAAAAAGAGACCGTATGGCGTTACATAATCCCGCGTAATTTAAAGTCACACAGCAAATTCGATCGAGAACGCACATAGCCTAATAATATTCTCCTACGTAAAGGGGGGTTGAAGACTCAGAGCATTCAGCACTCCCCCCATGGCTCTTGCATCGGCATCGAGGGTAGACCCTGTACGTTCCAAGCGTGCATAGGCAGAAGCCTTTATTAATAATCCTTGCCCTTTTCTACAGGATCGGCTGCCTGAACAACTTGTAAGTTTTTCGTGATTACATATTTTCTGGTTGAAGGTCGAAGCTTTTGACGCCTGGCGCTTGTGACTTAGGTCATCGATGCCTTCCACGTCTTCTTGAAGAAAGCTTTGGCGCAAGCTAAACGCGAGAAACTCTTAGATGACGACACTTTGGAGTCCGCCGAAGCGGACATTATGATCGCTGGTGAGTGGCATCAACCATTCAGTTCACCCTCCAGGCGCAAGTGCTCATAATAAGACACAAGGTCCTGCCCTTTGCTTGTTCTTTGCGGCGCTGAAGTCGAACGCCGCATCCCCTTCGGTTCCACTTCCTACCAAGTCCTCAAAGGGTCCAGTTTTGTTGTCCGCGAAGACATGCCCACCCTCATTCAGCAACTTTTTCGCCCTATGGGCTTCGTGTGTTCCAGGAATACAAGCGCTTACAACATCTCAGCAGTCTGACCTAGCACGCGTTATCTGTGACCAACCCACAGCGTCCCGGATGTCCATCCCTCCACCACTCGGTTGGCTGCGGATCTTCGCGCAGTAGCAATCGAGATCAGTCAAAGGCGTTCATTTCAGGTAAGACAACCCCCGCCAATTGGGCAGCATATATTCAAGTTTGCCAATATTTCCCAGAATCGGTATGGGGCAGATCTTCAGGCCGTGCTAGACGCCAACCCAGCATCGAGTGGGAAGGGGACGGGACGCGCAAAATTTGTGCCGCCCCCTTCATATTACGAGGATGATGAAGACAAAGTGCCACCGATGTCTTCCTCTACATGGATCCCTATTATCTCTCTCCACCATCTCCGGCCAGGCCATCCTCTGCTTCATCCGTAGCTCTGAAAGTGTACGCAGGAGCACACCCTCAGGCTCACGTTCGCCCAGCATCCTGAACGAGGATGACCCAACGATTGATTTCATTCGTGAGACACTTTATGCAGCCCTTGCTGATGTCATCGCACGCACTCCTACTCTCCGGAACTCATACGAAACGATCCAGCTCGGGCATACTTCGCGGCTGTCTCACTTGCCGTTGTGGAGGTCTCCACCACAGCTGTGACACCCGCCGGAGATGTCGAAGGGGTTTTAGGACAATACATTTTGTACGATGAATGTCCAGACCCTCTTAAACCCCTTATGCGAGAATTAGCGGGCATCGCCGCTCGGGTAAAGGAGGTAGAGGTAGAGGACGATAAACGTGCAATGGACCTTATCGCCCAAGGAAGGGATGAAGAACTGGCAGCATCTGTCACGAGGATGGAGAGGCTGCAGGCTATGCTTCGGCGTGGCGTAGGTGTTGAAGGACGGTCGATGAGTCCAAATGGAACGACGATTCAGTTGGCAAATAAGATAAATGGACTTGCGTTGAGGCTCGTGCAGTTGCCGGCTTTCATGGAGCGGCAGAATGATGTTTTCGGGATTGTGTCGGGGGCGAGGTGACCCTTTGGTGGCGCGTTATATTGGTTTGCTTGATCTAATGCCATTATTGTAACCTCGACTCTACGAACGGACGGCCTTTGTTTTATGGCTGGTACATTGTTTAGTATGTATGAGTTATTTGTTGTATGGATGTATATCCTATGTCTCCTATAACTATAGAACTTCGGAATATGGACACCCAATGTACACAGGAAGTTGCGAGACACAAAGCTCGGACCACAGCAAAGAACACGCTTCATTAGTCGGGCACCCGGCTAATGATCATCTTCGAGTTCTCTGGTAGACCGGCTTGTGTGGCGATAATGAAAGCTAAACCATACAATTACTAGTTAGTCCACTTTTTAAGCAATTGATGCGTCAGCATGAAGCAGGTTCAGGCAGCAATGAATGCCAAGGGATTGAGGTGAGAAAGCGTAAATTGATGATATGATGGCAAATCAAACAAAAATAATGGGTTGGCAGGTGAGAGGCAGCAAGGTGCGCACACAGAGGTAGCCAAAGCTAAAAATCAGGGGTTAGGCAGATGGTTGGCTGGTCTCAGGAGAGTCAGCCTTGAATACGTCCGGGGATAGAAAGTTTTGCCTAGGGAAGGTTTCGTGCCAAGCAGCTCCCAAGTAGACGTGCATGGGAAATTAAATCCCCGTGCAGGGGGAAAATACCGCAATCGCTAATAAATGTGCGTGAGGATCTGGTTCCAGTTCAATCGCTTGGACTTCAATCGGACTGGCGCCCCACATGCTCCAGGTGCTCCCGATGTTATAATCGGGGCATTGCAGCCGGACATTCTGAGCACGATATCAGTGTCATTATATATCGTGCTCTCAGCTCACATATTGCGCTTATATGCAGAAAGAACAAAGGCCAAAGCATCAGGACAACAAAGCTTCCCATAGAAGGGAACAATAACCGTGACAACAAAGGGCATCGGAATGCCACTTCAACACCCGAGTGCTCTGGAGCCTCCGGAGCGCTCTAGACCAGGGGACTTTTCTCCAGCTGCCTGTCCGATTTTCGTGATAGTTAAGCGGTTTTCCCGAAATCCTCAGCACAAGTTGAAAATGCAAGACCATGGCACCAATTCCATGCGAAGCCGCATGGGCAATCCCTTATTATGGATTAAGGATATGTGTCTGTCCATGCACTGGCGTCTATACTATAGAGGCTGGTCACCCGCCAGTGCCTAAGCACTGGCGCGGAATCACTAAGCGGTATCTTATTTGACAGTCCGGGTATCTCCGCGCGGTTGCCGAATGTCGAGTGACGCAATTCAAGAAGTTTGCTTATCCGTGGACACCTAACGGCATCACCCTCAGCTGCTACCACTGCACGGCCAGGGATGGCCTGACCTAAGTTTGACGGTGCTGCCTTGCTCGGTATGGTAAAGCGTTATCATGGCTATCTCTCCCGGCAATGCTTTTATGACTGCGCTTTCTCCCTGCATGAGAATTAGTCTTTAAGGGTACTTCCAGCGAGGCAGTTAGCCTGTATTTGAGCTCGGTTGTACCGTCGGGTGACACTTGACCCGTTTCCATGGAAGTTAGCTATAGGTGTTGCAGTCCTCCAGCAGGTACCTGCCACAGGAATATCGAATGGACAGTCGCTTGCTCATGTCCCATGATTGCAATACCGAGACGTCAACGCTGCGAATCTCATCTCAGGGTCAGATCTTGTTTCTCACGATCAACCAGACCCCAAAGATAGCCTTTCTCATTGTGCTGGTGTTTTGGGCGCGGTAATTCTCCTTTTGGCGGATCAGATGTTGTTTACCTTCTCGCATAATCCTTATCACTACACCGCTCCGACCATGAGGGCTGTCGAATGATGTCTCACACGTAAGGATTTATGCTAAATAATTCCTTTTCACCTCTTTATACAAGGGGGTTTCGAGGTAGTAGTTCAAATTGTTCAACCATTCTTTTTGATCTCGTCTCTCTTACCCAAAGGCCCAAATGGGGTCACAGTTGGGCAGCCAGCCACTAGGTCTTTACTCTTTATGGACAACACATGCACAATATGGTCAAGCCGAACCTCTCTTCCGAGTGCGTGCATGGGGATAAGGGTCGTATTTGGGGTCGTACTACATAACCTACATGAGCGCCGTCGATATCAGCCGTTGGATATTGGTGTGGGAATTTTTTTCTATTCATAGCGATGATTGATGCGTGGGCGGCAAACTAGACGAGAGGCAGCGACATCATTCAACTTAAATATTACTGTTGTTGGACATTTCGTAAGCGGCCGAGGACGACGCTTATTGATGCCTCATATCTCAGTTCCATTCACGGAATCGCCGCGACCCCATCATCATTTAGCCTGTCAACTTCATCGTTGCGCTTTTTTTCAAATCAGTGCCTCATTTGACAAGTGCTTCTCGGGAACTTGGGACTGATTGCACTGATTATCTTATTCTGGGCGGCTGCAAACGTGCTTGGGTTCTGCTGAAGGGTATATAACCTCAGGTTATGTCTTGACTTAGCCTCCGAGAACGATCCCGACTGGTCTCTTTCGCTTTTCTCATTTGGCGTACATTGGACAATCGTTTTGTAATGACACTCGAGATTGATGGTTTGATTTCCTGCGTCACACTGGCACCTGGGGCAGATGAGGTATGCGTTTTTTTTGAGATTTCTCACGCTCGGCTTCGGTGCTCATGCTTCTAGCCCCTACCAGTTCCAGGAGGTTTGGCATGCTTCCCTGGGCAATGGACACGGAATTTATTTTCACTTCCTTACAGATTATGTTCACCTTGATTTCATCATTAGCTCCGTTAATGGCGCTGAATCCGTACGATGCTCAGCTCGCTTCTTAGCGTGCCCAACTTCTCACTCTTCGTTAGTGGACATCGACGACCCCTTTCGTCCTGCGGATCGGTGCATCGCCCTCCGCTATACCTGCCATAGAATTGAGTGCGTCAGCGTTTTCAGAGCGGCAAATCCATCATCTGATTGAGCGATCTCTCCCTTCTTGTCTTCAGTGGCCCCCAGAATGACGACAGGAGCACGGGTGGAGATGGTCGTACCTCCGGATCTGGTGGGTATCGACAAGTTGTAAATCACCAAGGGATATCTGCTCAACGGTCTGCAGGGATACGGCGAGCGTGGATATCCGCCTATTGTTCCCGCTAACTCTCCTGTTAGAATTATCTTAACTCTCGTCGACATTACGCGCGCAAATCACGATTAGACTACATACCTGCCAGAATATACTGGGGACATGTGCCACAGGTTCAACTCTTATAATGACGTCGTGTTCCGACGATTGCGCGTTGTTGTGGCTGAAAGTGGGCGACGTAATGGGAGAAAGTCGGTGGCTACAGTTTTAAAGTGGCAATCCATTACTATTACAGTATTGTAAAGCTACATGCAAATAGAAGCGAATGTTGAGCCTAGCCTATCTCCTCCATATCTTCATCTTCGTCTTCATCGTCATCGGCACCTTCCATTTCTTCGTCCTTTACACCCGGGGCACTCATATCGGGTTCCATAGCTGGTGCATTCGTTCGATGGGCAGCCAAGTTAAACCCAGGTTTCAGACTATATTTCGTATTGTGAGGTCCTCCCCTCTGCAGATCTGCGATTTCGTTCAGGATCTCCTTCAAGTAAGCCTCGGGCTGATTAGTTCGTCTGCGAAGGTCTTTCATGGACCAATACGGCTCTTCGTCTGTGAAAAGAGTGAAGAGTTGATCCAGAAGCTCGTTTCGTGAAATACGAGCAGCGCGTTCGAATTGGGGCTTCTCTGTAGGACGAGAAGACTTTTTCTGAAATAAAATGAAGGGCAAGTGTTAATACGATCGTGGCGTTGTTGGGTTATGGTATCAATGGAATCAGCAAGACAGTGATGTGAATGTTCTCTGCTTACTGCAAGGTTGAATCCTGCATTGGTCTGAATGGCGCCACTTTGTACCATCTTGAGGTTCGAGCCCCCTGCATCCTGCCGGTCTTCAAGCATAACGATGGATTTCCTTGGCTTGTTTGCTTGTGCAGCTCGCCGACGGATCCTGGCCACATACTGATCACTCATGAGGGGTTTCAGAGATGCGTGATGCTTTATTTGCCCAATTACCCGCGTTTTCCCTAGAAATAAAGAACTTTTTTTGAATGTGCTTTCGTGTTTGACTGACTAGACTGGACTTACGCGTGCGTTTGTTGGCTGATTTGTCATTCGGTTGGTCGGTGAGGACATATTGGCTTTGAACCGTTTGATTGGTGACATCCAGGCTGTATTCAGTTGGTTCATCGCCAATTGTATATTCAGGGGTCTCGGGAAGCAGCAACTGGACTCTTTGGCTGCCATTGACGTCGCTAAGACAGAGAAAGATGAATTTGTCAAAGACACGGTAGACAGGCTATTGCATACTTGGCCCAAACGCGTACAGTCCCCAGTAGTGTTTGAGGCTTTTGGACATTGGACCAAGTCTCCATGAGGGACTTGGGTACCTACATGCGATTGGCGTCGGCCAAGAGCATCAAAACCAGTCGGCAATTCGTCTACCTTTACCAGCCACACGCTTGCGTCACTATTGGGGTCAAGCTCGAGGTACTCGTTTGGCTCATCCCCGTCCTCTCCATCAAGCAATCCATCATCCTCGAACTGTTCGCGCTTCGGAGGATGTCCCTCAGCGTCCTCCATTAATTGCTAAGCGCAAAGAACAGGTGACTTTGATGTCAATATCACGTGCAGATTGTTTTGTTTGTTTTGACCATCCCAAGCTCTCCTTCGCGCCGGACTCAACGCCAGGCTCAGGACCCGCGAGCGATTTCCGCAAGTATGATGGCGGCGTCTGCGCGCCCCCCTCCAGATATACCTGAGCAGTCCCCTCCACCATTCCCATCAAAGCGGAAGCTGCATACGGAGGATGAGCCTCTGCCTGGCCCTTCAGTGGCTAATAAACGGCCAAAGAAGGTGAGCTATGGTATACAACGGGACGCGTGAGGCATGCATTAACTTGTCGCGTTTTTTGATGGGATCTTGAGACGGCTTCGAAACGTAGGGTTATCGGAGGGTTAACTATCGTTCGCGAGGACATTCCAACATCATCTAAGCACCCGCCATCAGAGGTCACATCTTCATTGGTGTCCACCATGGATATACCTCCACGCCAAACATCTCGGGGTCTTTCTCCTACGCGCTCCTCATTATCCCAATATGCTGGTCTGAAAAAGAAACTACCAGTTTCCGGCCCCGCTGGCATAGGACGTGAGCGGGCACCAAATGTGCCTATCGTTCTCCTTCCCTCTCCTTCACCCAAAGGAAAAGCTCGACAACAAGAATCGACGCCCTCCAAAAGCCCCATCATCGTACCGGCGTATCCCAATGGCATTACCAGCCCCACACAGGCCACTTCCGCAGACGTATTTGGGGATGTCAGATCTACCCCGCCAAACCCCAAATCCCGGAAGACATCTCGTTACCTCTACCACTCCGTGAAACCCCCCAAATTGATCGAAGTCGGCAGATGCGTGCTGAAGCGTCAGAACGAAGACGGAACAGTATCGATCATCGGCGGCAGAGAAGTACCAGTATTGGGAAGTCTGGTGGAATCAGTGCGTTGTCTGCTGCTCTATCCAACGTCAATTCTACGTCTGATCGTCCTGGTGATGATAATTATGATGGTGGTACTGGTCTTGTACCCTCAGTCACGCCTCATCCCACTGTGGAGCCGAAACAGTATCATCGGCACATATCAGCTGAGATACCTCCTCCTCAACGGATGCGACAGCTATTAGTGTGGACATCAAGTTATGCGCACTCGCAAGCTTCTTCATCTTCGAAACGTTCATTACCTGTATTGAGCGCGGAATCGACGCGGATTTTGCGGAGGGTACAGGATGCAGTCATTCGGCAGCTCGCAGATGGCTCGATTAACACGAGCGTGTATTCCACAAAAGGGAAGGAAGGTCGTTCACAGCCATTGAAGTCAAATCCACGAAATATAAAGAATCAAGAACGATTGCAGAAATGGGGGGATAATATTGCACGGTAAGGACCTGCCAGTTCTGCTCTAGATGCTCAGTTTAGCTACCTTCACTATGACAGGGCAAAAGCGGAGGGGGAAGTATGGCAGGACATTCTGAAGTCAGCCAACGAGTATCTTTCCCAGACGCGAGTTGCATCACAATCAAGGAAAGAACCGACGTTAGCTGATTGGCTGCATCATCTTGATGAGCGATGGCGGGCTAGTGCTGAGCTTGCTGAACGGACGTTGCAAGCGTCTTCATCCATCGACGAGGGTGAGGATGTGCGGTTACAAGAGATGCTCCAGGAAATCCATCATGATGTGAGTTCAGTCGATTCTGTAGCGATATGGGTAATTTATATTGGCATTTAAGGTTGACACCCTCCATTCTGATGTGAACACGATGTCCGAAGTTACCCGCCGAGTAGACGCCTTTCTTTCCAAATACTTCTCCGCGATTTCCCTCAACATCGATAGCCGGGGCACACGAACCGGTGCCCCTAGTGCTATGGATGTCATCACTACCATTCAACCCCCATCTTCGATTTCTGACGACCTTTATCACGTGGACAACGAAAGTAATTCACGGGACATGTTCGGGGCCTTACGGGCACTGAGTAGGTTAGAGCCTGGAGAAAGCAGAAGCGAGAAGTCAAATGCTGTGATGAGAGCTGTAAATGAACTCGAAGGGGGAGTGACGAGGAAGATAACGGCTGTGCCCCAAACGCCTGGCCGGACACCTAGAAAAGCTTCTACACCTGGGCGGAAGAGATGAGATGGACAGGGTAGGGACGCTTGGGAAGAAGGATGGGGTATTGTGCTGTGGTGGAGTGTGCTCACTAGCATTGCTTCGATTGGGGCAGCGCTGAATTGATGAATGGGATGATCGTTCGGGAGATGAAGGGCTGTACTCTCTTTGTGAGTGCTGATCTGTCGAATCCGTGGGCAGTTGACTCAAAATGCATTGTTCGGCGTAGGTATACCCGGATCCCGGGCAGTATCCCTAACGTGCCATAGCCACTTGGCGGCTGTGTTACTGTTAACGATGAGCTATAATATTCTTATTATATTTTTTCTGCATCTCGATCTGTACATCACTCGTATGTATTTGTTGTGCCTAATGTTTCCACTTTTTCTCGGTGTCCATCCGCTGCATGATCAATAGGTCCTTGTATGCATGCATTGTTAGCGGTCCCACATTTTGTAGATTAAAGTGACGCGGTGTTCTGCATGGGGGTAATCGTTGAGACCGGCACAAGAGGCCTCAATCATGTGCAACTCCACATATTACCACCATGTGGGTTTAAGAACGTTTGTGAGCATGCATGCTTATACATACGTTCCACAATTCAATTCAGGCTTGTCGAACCCAATGTGTAAATATGTGTGGTACAGGCCCATATTTGAGCGACTTCGCAAGAATGCAACCGCAATATCATTGGCAGCAGTATTTTTCTGGACTTCCTCCCTCGTCAGCTTCTTTGCTACGACCCCTCACGCAGTACCTTGAAGAAAACGAGGGACGATGAGCACCAATTTGGTACAGGCCGCTCAAGCGCAGGCTGCGAAGCGTGGTAGACTTTCGCAGGTCTCTTTGATCTTTGCGTACGTTTCTTAGGGCTTGTCAGAAGCTGCTGGATCTGACACTAGATTGGAAATTTTATTCGACACTTGCGCTTTGTGGCCAAGATGCGGCACGGCGTTGTTTTCCGATGGTGCGTCCATTCCTTGGAGGCTCGAAGACATCTTGGTCGACGATATCTGATTTATCTTGGTCTTTCCTAGGCTATGCGAATGGGAGTGAGTGTTAGGGGTATATTCAAGGAGCCCCTGAGTAAGAGCTAATGATGTTTGCGTTTCACCTTCAGTCATCGGGAGCGTTAACACGAGTCAGTTTGTGGCAGTCTTCTAGTTCTATTCCGTCGCTGACCCTTGGCAACGGTGTTTACTTGCAGTTCTTGGACTTCTCTATCCTAAGGGATTCAAACAACATCCGAAATACAGTCGAACCCTTTCGAGTTTGACCTTTGCAGGTACTGTAGCTGGGATGTTAATTTTCGGGTACTTGAGCGACAAGGTTGGCCGGAAGTTTGGCATGGTGAGTGCTGAGACTTCTGTTTGTTGGAACAAATGCTGACTCCATTCATCATGTCTTGGTTCAATTCGGCAGATGGCAGCAACCGTCATAGTGGTTATCTTCTCCGCACTCTCGGCCGCATCCTATGGAGCTGGAGATACATTCAGCGGTCTCATCACGTCTCTTTCCGCCTATCGCTTTTTGCTAGGAATTGGGGTATGTTTGTTGATCAATTCATTCGAATTTTGATGTGGCTATTTTTGTCTGCATAACATGCTAAGAACCCCCCTTACTATTTAAGGTTGGTGCGGAGTATCCTTGTGGTAGTGTCGCAGCAAGCGAACAATCGGAGGGTCAAGGTATAGCCAAGAATGCGCAGCATAGATGGTTCGCCCTTGCGACAAGTAAGCATCTGAATCAGCTCTCAGCGACCAGAGTGGATTCTAACCCTGTTGTTGTTTGAGACTCAATGATCGACTTCGGCTTCGTAATAGCCGCATTTGTACCCCTTGTCCTTCTCTGGATTTTTGGCTTGAACCACCTCCGAGTCGTCTGGCGTCTTTCATTAGGCCTTGGCGTAATTCCGGCTTCCATCGTCTTTGTATGGCGATTGAAAATGGTTGAATCAACGAGATATCAGAAAGACTCGATGAAACATGTTCAATTGCCTTATTGGTTGATTTTTAGGAGGTATTGGCCAAGTCTGATCGCTATCTCTGTGACGTGGTTTATATACGATTTCATCACTTACCCGGTAGGTCCCCTTGCAATTTCTTGCCGTCGTATGCAATGAAGCATTCTGGCATGCTGACATTGCTGTCGAACTTCATCTCGTTGACATAGTTTGGACTTTATTCGTCCACGATTTTGCTTGGAGTATTGGGGAAGGATCCATCGCTGTACAAATCATTCGGATGGAATGTTGTCATCAAGTACGCGTCCTTTTTGTATCATTCGGGACTTTGCTGATGTGTTCCGCTGGCGTGTAGTTTGTTCTATATGCCCGGGACACTCATTGGGGCATTCGTTGTTGATTACCTCGGTCCTAAGAATACGATGGCAAGCTGTCTGCTTGCCTATTATCGTACTCGATTGACTCTTTCTATCATTGGTAGATTTTTGGTCTCCTAGCCCAAGCCGCTATTGGATTCATCATGTCAGGTGCCTACATACCCTTGCAGAGACACGTCGCTGCATTTGCGGTTGTATATGGCATATTCCTTTCGTTCGGTGAGCTTGGACCTGGAAATTGCCTTGGATTGTTGGCCAGCAAGATGGGGCCTACCGCTGCGAGGGGACATATTTATGGTATTGCGGCTGCCGTTGGGAAGGTAGGGGCTTTTGTTGGGTGAGTTCTGTTTTGGTATGTAGGAAGAACACAAGCGATACGAGGCTGTCACGCATAGGATTTGGGTCTTCCCTCCGATGATCACTGCCTTCTCGCATCACGGAAAAGACCCTAACCGAGGCTATACAGGTCCTTTCTGGGTTGGAAGCGGACTGGCTGTGCTGAGTGCAATCATTACATTCCTTCTCATCAAACCGCTTTCGCATGATGGGATGGAAGCAGAAGATTTGGCGTTTAGGGAATATCTGGAGGCCCATGGATGGGATACTTCTCGTATGGGATTAACGGTCGAAGAGAGAGCTTTAGAAGTTACGAGTGAGTCGGAGGTGGCTTCTATTGAGGAGAAGCACATTGCAGTAGAGGAGACAAAAGTTTAATGTGGGCGGTGGCGAAGGGTTTGCTACCCGAGAGTGTTGGGGAAACCGCATAACCCCACGAAATCTCTGATTGGTTGTCAGAACTGTCGCCTATAGGATGGATGATTTCATTTTAAAGTAGGGCATATGGTGATTGGGGGGAAAGATGTTTGAAAAATAAAGAAATATAGGATGAGAAAGTGTGAGACATCAAGTATCGGGTTGTATGGGGGAGAATAAAATGGAGTGACTATAGGCAGCAGCAGCGAGCGGCCACCTGTACCGGGAAACGGAGCGTTCCGGCCGATGGCTTCGAACCTATCATCACGAGGCGTGAGGCGTGCTAGGGCTTGACAGTGCCTGCACTCTACTAACTGCTGTCGTTGAATCTTAGATCAAATGTTACAGCCTCCTTTTTATTTTCTTCCAATCACACGCGAAATATTGGTTGCGTGTAAGTTCTATCTTCCGAATGAAAGTGTGCATGACCTCGTGTAGCTCCGGCAATTGCCGGAGCGGCGTTGAATCGAAGAACAATAATCTCCCTTGTCGTACCCTTCCGGTCTCAGGAAGCTCATTTCGAACGTTCCAACCCAGTCAACAAAGGCGGGAGACTAGCGTTGACCTGGTATACCTCGTCTATATCCCTACCTTACTGCAACATCAAGAGGAACTCACAATCATCACTTTTTACCTACTTTCGTTTGATCTTCGTTGCAACCACTCTTCTCCTTTACCATTTCCATAAACTCATCCACCCTAGGATATGTCACAAGCACAACCAGTACAACCGGGTGCGCAAGGGAGTGTTGCCATTGTTGGGAACCACTACCAGGTGGGTGTGGTTTCACACCCCGCCGAAGTCGTTGGTGGGCTGTGCGCTTATGGTTTATACATTAGGTTGGGAAGAAGATTGGTGAAGGGTCTTTCGGTGTCGTCTTCGAGGGTACAAATCTCCTCAATGGACATATAGTCGCTATCAAATTCGTACGTCGTTCGTTCATGTTGCACTCCCACATTTGTGCGTCTGCGCGCGCTAGCGGTGATTGACATTGTGATCCGTTGGAATTGGAATTTGTTTTAGGAACCTCGCAAGTCTGATGCCCCACAACTACGGGATGAGTATCGGTCCTATAGGATATTGCAGGGATGTTCAGGCATACCTCAAGCATACTATTATGGCACCGAAGGTCTTCACAATGTCCTCTGTATTGATCTCCTCGGTCCAAATTTGGAAGACCTGTTCGATCTTGTATGTCTTGTTACTCTTTACCTTTGCACTCCCCCCTGACTTGCTTCGGCGATATAGTGTGGGCGGAAGTTCACCGTCAAGACTGTTTCCATGCTCGCAAAGCAGATGGTCTGTTGCACCGCGTGATTTTCAAGTCGTTCGCTGTTCGCTGACCCCGCACCACAGATCGAAAGGGTCCAATGTATCCACGAAAAGAACCTCATTTACAGGTCAGCAAGCGATCCTCAACTCCCACTTCCTCGCCTGACAGTGTTATTCACCCACCCTCTTACTTTCTGCCGCCAGAGACATTAAGCCAGGTATGACGCACTCCACTTTATCAGGGGAGGCACAATCTAATGACAAGTGCACTCGAACAGACAACTTCCTCATTGGACTGCCGGGCACCGACAAGTCTGACATGATCTATATGGTTGATTTTGGAATGGCGAAACTTTGGCGTGATCCACGAACAAGACAGCATATTCCATACAGGGAACGCAAAAGCCTTAGCGGCACTGCCCGGTACATGAGTGTTAACACTCATCTTGGGCGGGGTATGTTCAGACCCTCTGGTCTCTTTGTCTGTGGTGTATCCAACTGCTGATCTTATCGCTTTACAGAACAATCGCGACGTGATGACCTTGAGGGTCTAGGACATGTTTTTATGTATTTCTTACGAGGATCGCTCCCATGGCAGGGTCTCAAAGCCGCTAACAACAAACAAAAGTATGAACGCATCGGGGAAAAGAAACAGAGCGTCCCCATTGCAGATCTCTGCGATGGTTATCCAGGTAAGCTTATCGTATGCACGATTTGTTTGGATCGTAGAGCCACTCATCGCCTGATTTTAGAGGAATTTGCTATTTATTTGAACTACGTTCGGAAACTCGGGTTCGAGGAAACTCCAGACTATGAGTTCTTAAGGGAGCTTTTCGCCAAAGTGCTGCGGGCCGCTGGCGAGGTTGATGACTCGATGTTCGACTGGAAATTGCTAAATAACAAACAAGGCTGGCAAGCGAGCTCTGTGGGTATGGGAACCCCTGTGTGGGAACGGCTACTGATGACATTCTTCAGAAACTACCATCGAGCCTCGTTCCACCATTGCAACACAGTATCGTTCACCGTACACGGGATGGCGCCACGAATACAAGACAACGGTCATCTGGGATGCAAGCTGCGAATGGCACGAATGCTGCCATGACACCCCCCTCACCCGCTGCCATCAATCGTCATGTCTCCAAGCAACGGAAGCACAACTCTGCCGGCCCAACTGCCGGCAATGTACCTGGTACTCCAGGTTCTACTGGTTTACTCGTTGGGAGTGCGCGTGCTTCGAGGGCTATCTCACCACTGCAGACGCAGACGCAACCTTCGGGTGCTGTCGGCAATCCCCTTCTATTGACATCATCCACTGGGGGCCAACCAGCAACGGGCACACCACATCAGCCCCACCCATATGCAGCTGCCACAGGGATGCAGTCGTATGGCGGTCGCCAAGGAGGTCCGAACGCTCCGGAGCGGGACCAATCGTTCGGTCCTTCGACGCCTGTTCAAGGGCTCAATGCTTTTGGGACAACACCTGGTGCGCGTAACTCAGGGGGATTGGTTCCCGTGCAGTCTAATATGAACAACGCGGGGCCTCGGATGGGCGGCGCTAACGGTCCCTATACATCCACGGCCCAGATGAATGGGAATCTGCCCAACGGAGGGCAGGAAAGGGATCTACCAGCCCCACCGAGAAGGAACGCGTTTTTGGACATTCTCAGGTGTCGGTGCGGGTAATCGTGTGAACAGCTTGACCATAAGGTGGTAAGTACCCTTTAACGATTTGGAATGTCGTCTTCATGATGGGAATAGGAGCAGCGTCTCGTATTGAGAGCCAACCTCCAGTTTTACAATTGGACCGAGGACTAATCCAAAAATCTTTGTCACCCACGATTGTCACCATGCTCCCTAACTATGCTCTATCCCTCATTCTGCACCACTAACATTGTACTCTCTCCCCCTTTTCACTCTCCTTCACACATTCCGGTCTCAAGGATTATTTCAGACCCGCTAATCGGTAATTCCTCCTCGCTCTTCTTCATACCTTTTCACTTGAGCCACTGCCTTTTTTCTTATGAAAAGCCCCATGTAGTACGGGCTTCATGATATGCCAGGACAAGCAAACTCCTTTCTGTTGAATAATTGTCTCACTTTCACCCAAGTCACCACCCTCGTTCTGGCCTTTCATCTGTGGCGCATAATATCGTTATCCCCGCGCACTGTCACTGTCATTTCTTATTCCCTTCACCTCTATTCTTTTTGGCGTGCGGCTGGTTACTTATTGGCTGATTTTCACTATGATGCTGGTAATCAAACATACGAAATGACCGGCGTCCGGGTGTTGCTGTTTATTGTCTTACGTCCGTGTTAGAGTGTTTTGAAGAGACGACGTCGAACGGAAGAAAGATGATGACTGCGCCAATTGATCTGCTCCTTACCTGCAGTAGGCGCACCGCCTCCTTTGCCCGGAGGGGGATTAGCGTCAGGGGGCTTGCTCCTGTCCTTGTTCTTCACAATGACACCCTCATCTTGAATGTTAATGCCATAATCTACACCTGCATCGAACCAGGAGCACTACGATGGGTTGAGGCTGACGTGTTGAATGGTTTGAGATCCGGGTCGATTGGGCGAATTGGGTCTAGACTTGGATATAGATTATGTGAGGAGTCCGCTTTAGGGCGGAGGGTTTCTTCTGGTTGGGTGATCAGAGGATGGGATGCTGCTTGTGGGACGAAGCGTAAAGAGGGGGCGAGGGGATTCTTCTGAAATGTATTCAGGTGCATGGTTCGTGGGTGTGCGGATCATAGCTTGAAGGATTAGGCTTTTACTCGCCTCTTGAACGTCAACAAGGATGAAGGTCGTAGCATTGTGAATCATTGCCCAACAGTGGTCACCGACACCTGAGCTCCCTTGGCCCGTTGCGCATTTGGGGCCAGGGTCCAAACTCTGACATCACATCATGTAATCATGGGGTTTTCCGTTGTTCTCATTTCAATCCTGAATTTGAAAAGCGCTTGTTTCGGTCAGCTAACTCAACTGGCAATTTCCGTTCTTGGGATCCGCCCGCTCGACGGAGTTACAGCAGAATTTCTTTGCCCGCTGGATGAAATACGGACTAGATGGCTCTCCTGAAGCCGAACAACCCCATGATTGGCTGAGCTTGCGGGGCATTTATTTGGGGTTGGTCTTCAACTCAAGTCTTGCCAGTAGCCAGAGCTCTGGCAAAGGCCGATTTGTTGTCCCTTCCTTGGGTAGCCGTGTGACGTACCCAACGGTCCTCGTGTACGTATCTGTGTCCCATCCAGCCCAGGTACGTTCCAGGCCACGGTTGCTATCACTAAATCATTGGTTCAGGTCGCTAGTGACCTTTATCATGGGATATAAGTCTGGGATGTTTTCTTTACGTTGCTGAGCGCTCGTGCCTGCCGATCTTGCCCACTTGCCGATTATTGCAGCTCAATCGCCACGGGAAGAGGATGCAAATCTAATCTCTGATGCAGAAAACAGCGCATTACCTAGTTCCTCGTTGCTTTTGTCCTGGCTTCGCCGCGTATGATATCTGATCCTTTAGTACCATTGGTTTTAAGGCCCAGGCACAACACGTGGGCGTCTTTGATTGAGGACCAGTTTCTCGCCCACTGGCCAAGCCCAGATCCCTGAAGAAACTTCTTCGAAGGAGGCGACAATTCGGAGCCTGCAGATCATCGATCATGAGGTCCTTCCGTATGTGATTGCAGTCGCGACTGACTGTGCTTCCCGATAGCTGGGAAAGGATCTGGATCTTTGTCTTCAGCTCCGCTTTTTGTCCCTAGTCATTACGGTATCGGTTATTGCCACGAGCCAGGTTTCGCAGGGATGCCAAGGGATGTCCCATATCATGCGAGTCCCTGGAAGACAAACCCGTTCAGCGAGATAGCGGGTCGCCAGACGAAAACACGAAAGTGAGGGCTTTAAATTTTTTCTCGTTACGATTGTTCCCTGGTCGTCAAATATTGGCGGCAATGCCGCGTTTTTGCAATGTGAATGCACATTGGCGATGTCAAAAGAAGCAAAAGACGAGATAAGCCTTGTATAGGTTCTGCAACCCGAGATGCTGGGTCTTGTCATGAGTTTCCTTTGTTGTTCTACGGGCTCCAAATCGGCGGTGTACTACAGAGGAAGGTGCCAGCTTGGCGCCGACATTACACAGCCGAGACATATCCCCGCTTGAACTTGAATTACCGCGGTCGCCTGTTCTTGGTGCTATCAATGCATTTTTCGGGTAACTCCTCAGCACGTTCTTTCGGTGATATGAAGAATGAATGATATGATTTGATTATCATTTAAGATGTCAGTTACATGCGTCGCAAATATGCGAAAGTATAAATAAAATGTACGTAATAAGTTTCAATCCTAACCTGCTATCTGGTAATATTCAGTACAACAGGGTGCATGAGACCACGCAATTGCCCCGCTCGAATCATGCACAGAAGGGAAAAAAATCAATGCCATCCCCCTATGTACAAGTGCACCGACCTTGGAATGCATGACCACTTGTCAATGGATTCGGGTTCTGGCGATTGCCGAATTGATCTGATCATATCCGTATAAGAAGAGTCTTGGGATTGGCTCCCCGACTAGCTCTTCTGCGCCCATCCTTGCACATACGCGCTCTTCGCCTTTAATCAGTGTTGCTCTTGCCTCATCACTTTCGACGTACCCTCCGAGACAAGTAGTACTGTCGCATCTCCTTCAAAGGTACAAAATGGCCTCGTCCCGCCCTAAGGTCTACTTCGACATCAGCATTGGTGGCACACCAGTGAGTACAAAATATTATTCCTAAGATGTCGCATTGGATTCATTCACACGTACAATGCGACTGGTTCATGTTGGGGAACGTTCTCGCTGCTAATCTACATGCTTTTTTCGCCTGGTCACTTGGACCGTTTCAACTCGCGTCAATTGACGACCTCCCGACCCTTCCATCCGTTGCTTGTCATTGCTGGATCACAACGCGCCACGATACAACTTATCCTCATTGTGAATGATGACTGTCATTCTCACCGCTCCTAATGATGGCGCCGACAAATTGACTCCTGAAACATTTCGGAAACTTGTCGGAAAACATGACGTGACACGATCGGTGGACCAAATAAATATCAACAACATGTGTGAATCGATCATGCCCGCGGTGCCGAAATCAATTCCAAATTCTGCGTCAACGAACCACAGGAAGGTCGCCTCGTATTCTCCCTCTACAGCGATATTGTCCCAAAAACAGCTGAGAATTTCCGAGCATTGTCTACTGGAGAGAAAGGCTTTGGATATGCTGGATCCAACTTTCATCGCGTGATTCCTGGATTCATGGCCCAAGGCGGCGACTTCACGGCTGGGAATGGCACTGGAGGTACGCAATTGAAACCCTTCATACATATTATCAAAAGAACCAGGGAAATCCTTTCTTCTCATGTTTGCGTCCAATGGACGTAGTGATGATACGGATCTTTTATGCTGTGATGCCATGATTGTCCCCCCTACTTCGTTGGCTGCTCCATGATTCTGTCCACATGACGGGTTGTGGATCAACTGACGCTTCTTTTCTTCCTCTGTTGATTGATAGGCAAGTCGATCTACGGATCCAGGTTCGCGGATGAGAATTTCGAAGCCAAGCACGATCGTGCGGGTCTCCTCTCAATGGCAAATGGTGGGCCAAACACCAACGGTTCTCAATTCTTCGTCACCTTCAAAAGGTACGTACTCCTTTCATCATATATTTTACTCTGAAGCTTACATGTGGCCTGGCTAATTTTTCGTAGCACTCCGCACCTGGATAGGAAGCATGTTGTCTTTGGGGAACTTATCGAGGGTGAAGGACTCCTCAGGAAGATCGAAAAGAACGCCACGGGTGCCCGTGACGTTCCCAAGAAGGCGGTCAAAATCGAAGCTTCTGGACAGCTACTGCCAGCCTAGAAGCTGCTGATGATGTTGATGCTGCTCTCTTTGTTATTATTGGGTTTGATGTAGCGTTCATGCACTTTTTTTCAAAAAGTTCATCCCACTTTCCTCCAATTGCAAAGTTCAAGTGGTCACAGTAACCTCCTTGAATTCGATGCATGATCCCCTCAGAGTGGGTGTTGGTGCGAGCATTGCGTGTGAACTTGGTGCCGTGAACATGAGGACGGTGGGTCGGCAAGGGGGAGAACAAGGCACGGGTGAAGAAAGTTCTGCGAAGAACAAAAAGGGACAGGGAAAGTAGAACGGTATCTCTTGTAGTACATCGTTTCGCTGTTTGTAGGTCGAAATTCATATATAGTATTTGAATATGGGTCCCCTTGTTGTGTCCATTCAGTGTTGTGACGAAACCAAGAAGGCCCCACTGGCAGGAGTATCAACCCTGGATCCATGGGAACCAGTTTTGAATTTTCCACGGCATCATCTCAATTTTTGCGAGTAATCTTTACGCAAAAGTCAGATTGTGCAACGCGAATATAAGAATATTCCCTAGACGGAACTAGCTTTTCCACTCGTTCGGGCAAGATTAATTTTTACCCTTGTTTTGCTCCAGGATCTCTTCTCATTCAGGTGCAGATTGAAACCGTCCCCTGTGCATGAGCGGTATAGAGGCTGGTATCCTGCCTACATGTGTGGACGGAACGCGGATACAGGGAACAGACTGCAGGAAACCGTAAAAGGGCTGGTCATCCGTGTTACTAGACAAGGGGTAGTAGGGGTGCATGGGGTGGCCGCGCCAATTTTAGACGTGCCGCTTTCAGTGGATAAAAAAACTTTTATCCAATCTTAGATATGTTTAAGGATGAAAAGTGTAACTATTGGGGGGAGTGCCGGGCTAGCATGTAAGGGGTTGGTGACTCCTTCCATGATTGGGTTTTGGCAGAGCTGTTTTATTTCTCATTGCAGAAAGAAACTCAAAAAGGAATCACCCACAAGTCACTTAGGGCTCCTCGGCCTTTGCCCTTTCCAATACAACGAACTGATAAGTGGTAGATTACGTACTGCAATGAGCTCGTGATGGTTCCAATTGGCCTGTTCGGGATGCGCCGATCTGTCACGCGGTTCATGCCGACAGATCAGGTAATACATGGAACGCTCGGCAACTCGCCTCACTTTTGTCTTCTAACCAATCAACCACCACTTTTTCGAGTTCGATCTGTCGTTATCATCTACCCTCATCGGCCCTGACAAGTTCTGAAAAGGTTACTACAACTTCAACAAGAAAGATGGCTGCCCGCCCTTATACTTACTTCGATATCAGCATCGGTGACCAGCCGGTGCGCATCTATCCAACTTGGGCTCGCTTTTTTTTTTTTTGTTTCGCTACCTTGCTTTTTTTTTGGTGATTCATATCGGCTTCGTACATCTACGTCCCATGTACACTGTAGCTGTTACCCTGATCTTGTCAGGCTACTTACTGCCCGATCTCATTCAGCCATCTCGACAATGGGCCTTGTTGGCTAAATTGGGATGCCCGTGGCGTTAATCTCAGATCGCAGCTTTAGGGCTGGGCGGATCGTCATTTGGCCTAACTATCCTGTAGCGATAAGATCGTGCGGGATGGTCGATCTTTCATCTTTCGATTTTGCTGTCCCGTAGCTGGATGTTAGCCATCTGGTTCCGCCGGCATTCACTCCTATGACCCTTATGCTCTTACCCTACACTCACCCTTGATTCCTTCGATTGACGCATATTACGACATGTCGCACTTATTTACGATCCTTGGATTTTCAACTAGGTTGGCCGCATAGTCTTCTCCCTCTATAGTGACATCGTTCCGAATACGGCTGAGAATTTCCGCGCGCTCTCCACGGGAGAGAAAGGATTTGGATTCGCCGGATCATTCTTCCATCGCGTGATTCCTGAGTTTATGGCTCAGGGCGGCGATTTTACCAGGGGCAATGGGACCGGTGGTGAGTTGACATTTTCGTCGGGTTCACTTGATGGATGCTGAGGGTTTTCGCCTTCACGGGGATGTATTCCGTCTAGGAAAATCGATCTTCGCTGGTGGACAGTTCAAGGACGAGAACTTCATTGCGAAACACACCAAGCGTGGCCTTCTGTCCATGGCAAACGCTGGACCAAACACCAATGGATCGCAGTTCTTCATTACTTTCGTCGCGTATGTGGCATGATGACCTTCACTTCATTGGTGCGCTCAGTATTTACCGACGTCTCGTTCTCTAGGACCTCGTTCCTTGACAAAAAGCACGTCGTATTTGGAGAAGTTGTCGAAGGCTGGGGTGTCCTGGACCTCATCGAGAAAAACAAGACCGACAAGAACGATAAGCCCCTTAAGGCTGTGAGGATCGATGCCTCCGGACAGTTGTGAGCGATTCATAGCGCTCAGGGCTGGCTCTGCCGTGACCAGATATTGGAAGATGCTGTGAAACCCAAACGAAACTTAACGGACTCGTTGTAACACCACCCGAAAGTGAAATGAAAATTCGCATGTATGCCTTGTTGCGCTATGACATTTTCGGGGTCACAGCAGGATATCCTGACATACTGGTATTTCGTGAGATAGGATGGGAACACAAATCGTCTTGTTCCGACTGTAATCTTATTTGCTTATTAGTATGTATTTGCTGCCAGACCTTGCGCTTACCTAGGCAGGTCATCTAAGGTCGCTTACCCAGCTCGAGATGACAAAACGAAGCAACTGATTTCTCACAGTCACGGGGTCTCCACTTGGGTCGGACAAAACATATGATATAATCGCTGACTCAATCAATCAATATACATAACAAGGGCGTCTTTGCGCTGGCCACCGTGCCACGAGAATGATGCGTAAAAAGCGAGTTGATCCTCCACCGACCCGGACCAAGACCAAGGCACCGCACTACCATAGAACTCCGGTATCGTGTGTGGATACTGCTACAGAGGATATTTGAACGCTGACTAATGAAGCGGAAAACACTTATTGATTGTCCCATTTTGGGTTCAGCGGTTGGATAAGTAAGCAGAATATCCCTTTGCTTATTGAGGCGAGGCGTTGTCTGTCTGATGTGTTCCTCCACTGCAATGCGCTTTCCGAGCGGCTTTGCGGATGGATGAGAGCCGGTGTAGTGGGCTGTGGGCAACTGACGCGCACTGAGGCGCTAAGCGGGATACCAGAACCATTCGTTCCGATTGCATCACTGCATAGCATAGGATTAGGAAGGTTTATAAAGTGTAGTGTTGCGCTCCGGCGTTGGCATGCGGATGCTCTCTCCCCCCTTTCATCTCCACACTCACCGCATCCTTACGTCCGCCACGCACGTCCAAGTTCCGCTAGAACCTTAATCCTTCTGCCCCTGTTTCGCACTCGAAAACACGCCCTTGGTGCAGAGCGATTCCGCTCAGTGTTCAAGCAGCTCGTGTCAGTTGTATACAACCATCACTAAGCTTTCCCTGGAATATCGGAACTTGCTTACTCAATTGGACCAAGGTGCGAAGATATATACTTCCACCTGGCTCAGCAACCCTTGCAATCCCAACTCAGTCCTTGGACCCACCACCCAGAACCTTGACTTTCGGGACCCCATCCCCAACCCCGCCTCGTCTCGTTCTTCGCCTGTGAACAACGGTTCGCAATATGACAATGGGATCCTTATACCCATCTCCTGCAACGACTTCCTCGGCTGGGGAGAAGCTCATCAAATTAGTCATCACTCAGGATAGCGGTGAGTGATCGTCTCCACACGATAGCCGCGTTTGGATGCCTCATATGATGTATCACGTTCTTACACTTAATTCAGTTTGTCCATGGTGGTGAGCATCTCCCCTCCCCCCCTCCGCATTGTTTCGTGGGACTCACTCGTCACCTAACGCATTCAAATTGATCTCGATGTTCTATTTGCATTCATTTCGATTTTTGAACCGATTGCGAACAGTTACATCGGGTGGAAGGAAATGTCCTATGCCATTCGCCTGGCTGAGGAGGCCCAGTTACCCGTCAAGTTCGAAGTCGAGTTTAGACCATATAGGTCGGTTTTGTCTTTTTGCTCCATTCTGTTCCGGATCTCGGCTATGAGTTAACGTGGATTATTTCTCACACGCAGGTTGGATTCTTCGCTCTCACCCGACGAACCTGTCGACAGGGTACGTGACTGTGATGCCCTCGCTCATACTTCATTTCATTTGTTCTGATATAATCCACACACAGGAAATGAGATTGGTGAAGAAATTTGGCCCGGAAGGATACGCAAACGCACGCAGTATGGCTAACAAACGCGGAGAAGAAATCGATATTAAATTGTGCGTTACACACTTCCATTTTCTCTGGAACTCACTTTCACACTCTCATCACCTCTTTGTGTTATAGTATTTGGAAGGGCGCGATTCGTCAGACAGGAGACTGTCACCGTCTTCTTCGATATGCTTATTCTCGGTCGTCTGGGTCTAGCCTCGCGTCGGGAGAGAGCATTAATGACACCGTTCAGGCACGACTTGCGGACGAAATATTTAGAGGGTACTTTGAGGAGGGAGAGGATATTGGAGAGTATGACAATCTAGCACACTATGCCGTGAATGCGGGGTTGTTTGATACGATAGCAGAGGTGAGTTTCATTTTGATCATTTCTTTTGTGTGGGTTTATCAGAAGGGGTGCTGATGAGATTATTCTTGTGTAGGCCCTCGAATTCCTCGCTTCTGATGCCTGCAGGGATGAAGTCGAGGACATGATCGAACAGTCCCAGGATCAGGGTATCACTGGGGTTCCGCATGCTGTCGTGAACGATCGCTGGGCGATTGTTGGTGGGCAGACGGCTGATACTTATTATAAGGTATTGTTGGTTCACATCGGGTGGTTGATGCGACGTTGACTTAACGGAACTGGTTAGATTTTCGAAAAGATTGCCACCATCCCTGTTCACTAAATGCGAAACGTACTCCACAGTCCGATTTTTTTATGCACGGTCCGGCTTCCCGTTCTTTCCTCCCCTTCAATCTTCTTGGCACGGTCTTGGGTTTTTGCTTATAACTCTTAGCGCTGTTCCCGTCTTTTTCTCAAATTTCCCAACACAATCGGGGCTTGTCTTTTACCTTTGTCACATGCATGCATTTCAGGGGTAATGACAATATTTGACCCATCGCACATGTCTTTCCGGGTAGGAAACGAAACGCCGATTCATGAATTAAATTTTGAAGGTGCGCAAATGATATGTTGAAACTGAATGGACTGATGCGCGCGGATGTAAATCTGTTCGCGAGAGCCGACGTCAAGCCGCCCTGAGTCCATCCTTTCAAAGGCACTGCTGGACTTGGTCTTTGCACGTAACTTGCTGCCTTACCGCGTACGGTGGGTTTGGGTTGGGTACAGCAAGAGAAATTTGTGGGGCGCCGTAATGCAATGTATGCACTCAAGCTGGCAGCATGCAGCACGCATCGCGTACGTTAGGGGTAGGGGTATAGGGTTCGGTTTGGATACTTGCTTATACCTGGCTCATGCAACTTTAGTGCATAATATCAGATGTTTTGTGGTTTCGCGCCCGAGAGTCAACATATTGTAGACGGAGCGCATGCCAATCGTCGATCAGGAGGAATACTAGGATAGGGCTAGGCGTGTCCTACTAGCATGCAACGTTACGAACTGACATTTATCTTTACCGTTCAAAGATATGGTCATAGTGAGTCGGGGTGGGTGCTATGTGATTTGTTTCAACAGTTTTTTAAAAAAAAATATTTTATTTCGGACACATATAAATTCAGTCGCGCGCACACCCTTCATTGCACTTTCATCACGGGGTGTAAACGTCAACATTTCCTGGGCATTCTGAGTCTCTCTTCATCTCATCCCTTTCGTTTGGAATGGTTCTTGTCTCTGGCCGTTATGGGGAAATTGAGGTTTGGGTCGAAGTCGGCGGAGAACGCGTCCAGGAATTCGGATGCACGAGCACGAATGGCAAACTACAAACGTGTTATATTCCTTCAAAAGCTGGAGAGGTAAGCTTTCTTAGTGCGTCTGTTGAAATTCTGTTACGTGCAATTCAAACGCGCCGGTCATTTGGAAAGTATTTTGCTGTCGCTTTTAACGCGATCCGTTTACAGCGAATGTCGAAAGGGACATTTCTCATACTGGAGGTGGACGGGGATGGTGTATCACTTGGGGGGAACAGCATTGACAACGAATCGATCCATTCGGGGAGGATAGATGCTGTGTGGGAATCTGAAACCACCGAGAAACTGTCTGTCCTTATAATTCATCGTTATCGTACGCATATGGGTGCTTAAGAAACCTATAGGTTCACGTTTGCACCCCTTCTTCTGACGGGTTGGTAGGCAAATCAACTTGTTGATAGGTCGAATGCTTACCGTCATACAGAGGATGATCTACACCAGCAAGGTGCTGACTTGGCGGAAAATGTTGGGGTTGTGAAAGTTAAAATTTACCGTGCAACGGCCCGTAAAACCCAATTTACGCCCAAGACTATTTCCATGCCTGGAGACCGCCCCATACATGAAAAAAATAAGAAGGCTGTATCTCACGCGATCAGGTAAAGGGCTCGCTCTATTTGACGCATGATCATAAAACTGATGTTACTCTATCAGACTCGGTGAGGTGCGCTCAACCAACGAACACCCATGTGAGTGGGTCTCTCCGAAACGCAGCCATGGAGCTATAATGTATGGTGTGTATCCTCATTCACGCTGTGCCTCAGGCTGCTGAGGAGCTTCAGAGGTCGACTTCAGATATGCCCCAATTGGTAGCTGTTTCTTGCCCCAGACGATCACTCTTGAAATCTCATAAGGATATATCCCCAAGACTATTTGCGCGCGCGGGGTATAGCACCTCAACTAAAGCCCCTCGTTCCCCCTGAACCTGCTCCTCAACAAACAAGGAAAGTGCACGAGTCGACGACGGATATAGCGACAGATCCACCCCCTCAAACAAACAGTCGCGAAGATCCTTCCCTCCATAAGCGCAAGAAAGCGGATGGGTTAAATGCTGAGTTGTTCAGTGATGATAGTTTGAACAACCTGACCCCAGAAGAACAGGAAATGTACGCCATTCTTAGGGTGAGAATTGCATTCGTCCACTTCATCGTTCTGATGGGTTATTTGAGTGCACCTATTATATCATTAGAAAAAAGCGAAAGAAGGACGGAAGTCGAAGAAGCCTAAACACAGGTATCAGGGCTCGACTGCTGCCGAATCGATCGTCATTAGCGATTAGAGAAACTGTGGAATTGCACCTTGCATGATACTTCGCCTCTTCCATAATCACACCATGTCTTGATCGTTGCCCACTTAAGCAGCTACAATGTGGGCATGTTAAACGGCACGCGAGGTCGATATAGATTTGTCCATCATTTGATGCTTTGATAAAAAAAATACTATTATCACGGTTTGTCAGTCAGTGTCGAGAGGCCGGTACTCGTCATCTTTTTTGTACCACTGTCACGTCACGTCAGATATATTGGTGTCAAACAACTTGCGAGGGAGGGCAGTTGCCTGCATTGTTCCGTGTACAAATTAAACCAGGGGTCACAGTGAGTTGGGGTGGTGCTATGTGATTTGTTCAAGAGTTTATATATATATTATTTCGGATACAGTCGCTTGGATGGGGATGCATACATGGGTTCATTTTAACTGTGCCTATCGGCATATGCCATACTATAGTGACGCGGGTGAAAAATGTTTAGAAAATAGCGGTGGATGGAGAGCAGTTAAGGGTCAATGGGTGGATGAGACATCGAGTATCGGGTGGTATGGAGGCGCGCGCGCCTTCTTTGCTCCTGCCAAAGAGAGGCTGGTCAACGGGACGACTAACCTCCCAACACGTGATGTATCGCGAAAGCTAGTACTGGGTTCCACCAAAAAAAAAAGAAGAAAAAGAAAAAGAAAAGAAAAGAAAAGAGAGGCTGGTCACCTGCCTGCTTTCATCACGGGGTGCAAACGTCAACATTTCCTTCATCTCATCCCTTTCGCCTGAAATGGTTCTTGTCTCTTGCAGTTATGGGGAAATTGAGGTTTGGGTCGAAGTTGGCGGAGAACGCGTCCAGGAATTCGGATGTACGAGCATGAACGGCAAACTACAAACGTGTTATATCCCTTCAAAAGCTGGAGAGGTGAGCTTTCTTAGCGCGTCTGTTGAAATACTGTGACGTGCAATTCGAACACGTCGGTCATTTGGAAAGCATTTTGCTGTCGCTTTTAACGCGATTCGTTTGCAGCCAATGCCGGAAGGGACATCTCTCACACTGGAGGTGAATGGGGATGGTGTGTCACTTGGGAGGAAAGGCATTTACGCGCACAATGCATTGACCCATTCGAGGAGGATAAGTGCTGTGTGGGAATCTGAAACCACCGAGAAACTGTCTGTCCTCATAATTCATCGTTATCGTATGGGTGCTTAAGAAACTTTAGGTTCACGTTTGCAACCCTTCTTCTGACGGGTTGGTAGGCAAATTAACTTGTTGATGAGTTGTATGCTTACTCTCATACAGAGGATGATCTATACCAGCAAGCTGACTTAGCGGAAAATGTTGGCACTGTGAAAATTCGAATTTACCGTGCGACGACCCGTCAAATCCAATTTACGCCCAAGAGTATTTCCATGCCTGGGGACCGCCCCATACATGAGAAGAATAAGAAGGCTGTATCTCACGCGATCAGGTAAAGGGCTCGCTCTATTTGACGCATTATAAAACTGATGTTACTCTATCAGACTCAGCGAGGCGCGCCCGGCCAAACGACACATGCGTGGGCGGGTCTCTTCAAAACGCGTCCCTGGAACTATCGTGTATGGTGAGTATTGATAGTCCTCATTCACGCTGTGGCTGAGGAGCTTCAGAGGTCGACTTCAGATATGCCCCAATCGGTAGCTATTTCTTGCCCCAGATGATCACTCTTGAAATCTCATAGGGATATATCCCCAAGACTATTTGCGCGCGCGGGGTATAGCACCTCAACTAAGGCCCCTCATCCCCCCTAAACCTGCTCCTCAGCAAACAGGGAAAGTGCACGAGTCGACGATGAATCTAGCGACAGATCCACACCCTCCAAACAGTCGCAAAGGTCTTTCTCTCCATAAGTGCAAGAAAGCGGATGCGTTAAAGGCCGAGTTGTTCAGTGATGATAGTTTGGACAACCTGACCCCACAAGAACAGGAAATGTTCGCCATTCTTAGGGTAAGAATTGCATTCGTCCACTTCATCGTTCTGATGGGTTATTTGAGTGCACCTATTATATCATTAGAGAAAAGCGAAAGAAGGACGGAAGTCGAAGAAACCTAAACACAGGCATCGAGGCTCGACTGCTGCTGAATTGATCGTCATTAGCGATTAAAGGAACTGTGCAATTGCACCTTGCATGATACTTCGCGTCTTCCATAATCACACCTCTTGATCGTTGCCCACTCAAGCAGCTACAATGTGGGCATGTTAAATGGCACGCGAGGTCAATGTAGATTTGTCCATCATTTGATGCTTTGATAAAAAAACATTTTTGTCAGTCATTGTCGGTATACTATACCACTTGTTGGAAATGCGAGTCACCGGAGATATCCGGGGTGTATGCACAGGAATTGCCTTAGGTAGATTTTCCTCTCCTTTGTATATATATACGCACGGGCATTATCTCCAAATCACTAGTTATATTCCCGCTTCTATCTTACATCTGTGCTACGAGTGAGCCGCTGGGAACCGGGTTGCCTTATCGGAACGCCGTTTACAACACCACTGCCACGTCACGTCGGATATATTGGTGTCGGGTTGCTTGCATTGTTCCGTGTGCAAATTAAACCCAAATTTATGAAGGGGATCACAGTGAGTTGGGGTGGTGCTATGTGATTTGTTCAAGAGTTTTTTTATATATTTTTTATTTCGGATACATATAAATTCAGTCGCGCGCGCCTTGGATGGATGGATGGATGGATTCATTTTAAAGTACGTATCTGTGCCTATCGGCATATGCCGTACTATGATGGTGAAAAATGTTAGCAGTGGATGGAGAGGAGTTAAGTGTCAATGGGTGATCAAGTATCGGGTGGTATGGAGGCGCCTCCCACCAAAGAGAGGCTGGTCACCTGCCTGCTTCCTCGCACTGTTATCACGGGGTGCAAACGTCGACATTTCCTGGGCATTCTGGGTCTCTCTTCATATCATCCCTTTTGTTCGAAATGGTTCTTGTCTCTTGCAGTTATGGGGAAATTGAGGTTTGGGTCGAAGTTGGCGGAGAACGTGTCCAGGAATTCGGATGCACGAGCACAAATGGCAAACTCCAAACGTGTTATATCCCTTCAAAAGCTGGAGAGGTAAGCTTTCTTAGCGCGTCTGTTGAAATACTGTTACGTGCGATTCAAACGCGTCGGTCATTTGGAAAGCATTTTGCTGTCGCTTTTAACGCAATCCGTTTGCAGCCAATGCGGAAAGGGACAGCACTCATACTGGGGGTGAACGGGGATGGTGTGTCACTTGGGAGGAAAGGCATCAATGCATCGACCCAGGGGAGGATAGATGCTGTGTGGGAATCTGAAACCACCGAGAAACTGTCTGTCCTCATAATTCATCGTTATCGTGCGCGTATGGGTGCTTAAGAAACTTTAGGTTCACGTTTGCATCCCTTCTTCTGACGGGTTGGTAGGCAAATTAACTTGTTGATGAGTCGAATGCTTACTGTCATACAGAGGATGATGTACACCAGCAAGCTGACTTAGCGGAAAATGTTGGCACGGTGAAAATTCAAATTTACCGTGCGACGACCCGTAAAATCCAATTTACGCCTATGAGTATCTCCATGCCTGGGGACCGCCCCATACATGAGAAGAATAAGAAGGCTGTATCTCACGCGATCAGGTAAAGGGCTTGCTCTATTTGACGCATTATAAAACTGATGTTACTCTATCAGACTTGGTGAGACACGCTCGACCAACCACCTGCGTGGGTGGGTCTCTATGACACACGTCCCTGGAACTATCACGTATGGTGAGTATCAATAGTCCCCATTCACGCTGCTGCTGAGGAGCTTCAGAGGTCGACTTCAAATATGCCCCAATTGGTAGCTATTTCTTGCCTCAGACGATCACTCTTGAAATCTCATAAAGATATATCCCCAAGACTATTTGCGTGCGCGGGGTATAGCACCTCAACTAAGACCCCTCGTTCCCCCTGAACCTGCTCCTCAGCAAACAGGGAAAGTGCACGAGTCGACGACGGATCTAGCGACAGATCCACTCCCTCCAACAAATATCTGTAGTCGCGAAGATCCTTTCCTCCATAAGCGCAAGAAAGCGGATGGGTTAAAGGCTGAGTTGTTCAGTGATGATAGTTTGGACAACCTGACCCCAGAAGAACAGGAAATGTACGCCATTCTTAGGGTAAGAATTGCATTCGTCCACTTCATCGTTCTGGTGGGTCATTTGAGTGCACCTATTATATCATTAGAAAAAAGCGAAGGAAGGACGGAAGTCGAAGAAGCCTAAACACAGGCATCAGGGTTCGACTGCTGCGGAATTAATCGTCATTAGCGATTAGAAACATTGTGCAATTGCACCTTGCATGATACCTCACCTCTTCCATAAACACACCACGTCTTGATCGTTGCCCACTTATGCAGCTACGGCACGCGGGGTCAATGCAGATTTGTCCATCATCTGGGTGCTTTGATATAAAAAAAATATTATCACGCTTGGTCGGGTGGTGACAGGCCTCATCGCCCATCTCTTTGTACCCCTGTCGCGTCACGTCGGGTATATTAATTGGCAAGTGTCAACAACCTGCGAGGGCAGTTGGCTTCCCGAAACCTGCATTGTTCCGTGTGCAAGTTAAAACCAAAGCCGGCTTCTTCTAGCTCAGGGAACGAGACTGATTGAGAGCAATTCAATCTCTCAATGTATCTAATCGACTTGACACCCCACTCCCGACAACCTCAATGATCACCACAATCACGCATACTAGTTATAGGCTGTGTTCTGATCCATGACAAGCTACAAGTCAGCGCAGTGATATGAATAAGAGTTGAAGATGTAGCTAGCTCTCTGACGGCAGGCACTGGAGACATCTGCGAGAGGAATTCTGCAAACGCGTTATGCGAACCCACCTAGGCCGCAAATAACTGATCTTTACAATGAACCCCGACTCCTATTCGAACTTAAGTGGTGGGCAGACGTGGTACTTACTAATGGTGCTGTGCCCAGCCAACGCTGGCAAAGATACCAAGGAGAACCTGGCCCTACGCTAATTGATTGATGCACAACCTGAGTTATCTAACAAACACTTTTCTTTGGCATTCACGGCGCCCACGGCAGTCTCTCCTGGTGAATACAAATGAGGTATGAACGCCCTCTCACTGCTACTCATTTGAAGAGTGTCAAAAAACCACCAAAGTCGCCGGTCAGATATAGCCTGTGGCGGCATTGTAAGTATATTCCTGCAACCTAAACCGTATTTTACACTATAAGTTCTGTATGGCATCTCGTGAAAAGGATCAACGTCCTAGCTTGGTAAATTTTTCCATTCCACGCAGGGCGAAGTCGCGCTGCCTCCAAATGATCATTTTGAACCAAACACCAACTTTGTTTTTTGGGGGTGGAAACTGATGAAAATGGACCTCACTGCTGGGGGTTACTTTTGAGACTTTGCAAGTTCGGCGAATGCGCCGGGGGTGTAAATGTTTGCGCTCGAACGACTATGCCCTTCGTCATCAGTCTTCGCCGATTGTTTCCTGCCACGTTGTTTCTTGAAATGGTCAGATATCAGGAAGGCGAGATCTAAATTGTGATGCATCAACATGGTAGTCGAAGAGAGCGGGATGGCTCCTACCGAGCGACTGCTCGAAATTTAGTCTTGGATCACAGAAGGTCTCGTAGCGTAAGCCGAGGTCATCTTCGGCGAGCTCCATGCTGCCACCCAAGCACTCTGTGACGCTGAATCTTTCCTCGTTCATCTCACCTGTGAACTCAAGACTAACTCCGCCAAGACGCGAGCAATTTGCAGCATGTATTGAAAGACATGCCGTCAGCTCACGTACGATATTGGCGAAATGCCTCGTTTTATGTCCAGTAGAGGATACTTGCGTGCTGTTGAGATAACTATTAGTGATGAAGACTACGGGAGCGGCGTAAAGATGCTTACTTCCCATGCATGGGATCAGATACCCAGATCACTGGATGACCAACTTGCCGAACGGCCGCAATATGCGCAGGGAGATACTGTTCCACTTTGGATGCACCGTATCTTGTGATCAGAGTAACCTTGCCATTCTCCCTATCGGGATTCACGACTGCAACGATTGACCGTATGCCTCACAACCTCACAACTTCGGCGGAGATGCACATGGACTTACTGTCGAGGAGTTGAATAAGTTCCTCACTTCCCATACTGGGGCCGACCTTGATCCCGATAGGGTTTCGGATTCCTCTGAAGTATTCTATGTGAGCACCGTCAAGCTGTCGCGTCCTATCGCCCACCCAGATAAAGTGCGCAGACGTATTGTACCAAGCGCGAAGGACAGGCTTGTCCTCTCCACTCATGTCCACACCATTAAGATGGTTTGGTGTGTAGGAAGGAGATTGGCAAGGGTTGGCTGATAGGAGCCTCGCCCTTGGCGAAGAAGAGGGACTCGGCAAGCTATCACCTGGAACAGGGACGGGGAGTTCCCTCGTCAGGGCCTCCTCATAGTTGAGCATTAAGCCTTCATGACTGTTTACTTCATTTAGTAGATGAGCCCCGACTCAGACAAGTGGCGTCACCTCGTGTAGAAGTCAACTTCACCCAGTACACCCCTTCTTCCACCGGACTCAAAAGAACTTTCAGCCTCAGCACCGATGGTCTTGCTGAAGTCAAGTGCGTCTGCAAGTCCTTCGGAAATGCGCTCAAACTCCGCCCTACAAATAAATGTGAACAGACTGATCTGTGCGTGCCAGACGAGGGGTCGAAATACCTTAACGCTGGGCTGCGGACATGCGAGAGAGACCAATCGCTCGGGTGATTCAACGAAGCAAAACCGGAAGCCAACAACGAACGAATATAATTGAGCGTCGTAGTGGAGTGGAAATACGCTGATAAGAGCCGGTCCGGGTCCGGGGTCCTGTGATCCGGGGAAATCCTATGGCGAAGCAAATCGGGCATCAGTTTTCCGTAGGGTTGGTGGCAGTAGTAAAGGCGAAATTCAACTCAACTCGTTTACATTATCGCCGCGAAAGCTCAAGATCTCTTTTCCGTCAACGGTCTCCGTGCTGCTTGAACGGGGTTTGGCATACTGGCCCGCTATGCGACCGATGCGAACAATTGGGAGACGGGCACCCCAGATGAGAATGAGGGAGAAAGACAAAATCAACCCAATTTTAGCTTCAATGTTTTCCTTTGTCACTCGTTTCATTGACGCATAATTTACCAAAAATATTATCAAAAATACTCACCTGAGTGCACGCCTCGAAGCTCTCAGCGCAATCTCCAGCATGCAGAAGAAACCCTTGTTTTCCTGTACACCCACGAGCTGATGCCTTAGACGCTCAATCTGCAAGCCCAAGCACGTCAGGAAACCCCTCGTTCTATAAGAGAAATGAGATGCTTGCTTCAGAAGGGGTGATGAGTGGCGGAAGAGTTTTGAGCTTCTTCAGAACCCTGCTTCAACATCAACAGAGGCGCTCCAATGAACAAAGATCGGATAAGCAACCTTTCAAGATGCTCCTTATCAGGATAGTTGACGTCCTAGACGAATACCATAGTCATGCAGAGAACATTGGAGTCAGTCAGTGCCAGGACGTTGATGACTCTAACTCTGTTTCGTACCTGAGCCACTTTGCGCTCTCTCCACGACCAAGGGGTCCACTCTGAAAGCATGTCTGAGAGGGAGTTTGAGAGGAAAAGTAATTGCGAATGACCGCTATGACCCAACGAACTCACTCTATATAGAGAATTTCATTCAATTCATAGGATGTAAGTCATTCCGTGCACATGTTGGCAAAGTGCAGCGCATAATTCCAGGACATCTGGCCGCCGCTGTCCCTCCTGTGCGGGCGGCGATCTGGGCTATAGCTGGAGTAAGTACGTGTAGCTGGTTTAGGTAGAGAACTGTATTGGCATTGTAAATGACGTGAAGTGAATACGTGGACAGTGAATGGGGAGACAGCATGTGGGGTGGGTCGTAAATGAGGAAGTGGGGCAAGCGATGGGACATAAACAGTGAAGGATATATAACCATATCCGATGACTATCGGAAGAGAATTAAGGGAAAAGCCCGGTGAGGTTGATAAGGGGAGCAACGTATATACATAACGTATAAAGTGTGATGCATGAAGAATGTGAAAGAAACACAACTCAGCGGATCGAGGGTGAGTAGAATGGAGGGGGAGCAACCATGTTACAAAAAATCTTTGAAAAGAGTAGGTTCACAAATGAAGTTGAACAGCTTATCTAGAGGACTCCACGAGATTGACAATCTCAACGGACGGACCTCTCATTACATCAGGACCGGGGAATATTCCTGGCGCGGAGCTCGACTCGGTAACAGGACCAACTTCAGGATGGCTTGTGAGACCCGGACCAATCACTCTGACATCTGTGGGTTGAATGATGGGGCCAGTAGGAGGGCACGCGATCTCACCCATAATGGTATCGTTGTCATCATCCGCTTCTTGCGATACGGATATAGGTGGCTGATTCGTAGACAGATGTTGATCAACTTCCATCTCACTAACTTGACTAGAAGGCACGTCTATTTGTGCGGAGAGGTCGACAAGGCTATCAGAGTGGGGATTAGACACTGCATTTGGGGGTTCAGCGCTTGAAATGTCCAGATCGATGAACGCTCCTTCCATTGGACATGGCTCGGGAGCGGGTGGAGGAGGCACAGGAATGGCCGTGGCACTGTTACTGTTACTGTTCATAGGAGGCGACTCTGTGGGTTCTGCGATAACGTGATTGACTAAAGTAAATGACAGGATCAGTGTGCCGACACGTCAAAATAGCTTTTAAATCTTACATTCTTTTGAATGCGCTACCGAAGCAAACAGAAGCATCAGTAAGATGGCCATAGATCACTTCGAAGAGCACGCACAAAGTTCTTTCTGCTGAGAGCAGTGCCTGCCTTCTGGGCAATCTCTTCTTGCACCAACCCATGAAGGGATCTTAGGCCCGGAGTTAGCGCCTCCACTCCCGACACCCCCAGATTCCCTGCTCTCTCCATCTTCATCATCGTCATCGTCATCCCCATCATCTTCAGGATCATCGGACTCCCCCATAGACTGAGACTCTACCCGAACAGATGATGAGGCTGCGAGGGCAGCGGCAGCAGCCTCCTCAGCCTCCGCGGCATCAATGGCCTTCTTTCGTTCCCTAGCCCACCAGGGGTACAGTTCGTGAAGGAAGATTTCGAAGGCACAATCTCTGCAGATGCGTGTAACGGACCCACGAGAGCTGCTCGAGCTGCTCACCGATGCACTGTTTGGATCAGACGATGAGGGCGAAGCGCTGCGGCCCTCGTTACTAGACGTCATCGGCGTTTCCGCAAGTCTTGGGGAACGAGCCCCCCCGCTCGATGCAGCGGAAGTAGCTCCAACATCATTTCCATCGTTTCTCTGAGATGGGGCCATAGGTTCCGGCGAAGCATTAAGTTCTGGACGCATAGAAATATCAAAGTAAGCAGCGGTAATCATGACATCGACTTGAGCACTCGCACCTGATGGTGAACGATCAGCAGAAACGGTCGAAGAAGAAGATATGGATCCAGGCGACAAATCAGATCCAAAGAGTCTTCGGAGGTCCTCCATGGTGACACGCTCAGTCGCCGCAGGGGGTCCGGTGGCATTAGACCCTGGGTCAGTCGAGGGACTCTCCTCACTAGGCGGCGAGTTGATACTATCTAGCGATCCCGACGAAGCACGTTCTGCGAGAACTTGTGCGGCAAAACGCATCCGCTGTTCGTACAGAACGCGACGACGCTCGTCGTCTGACGAACTAGGTGCAGTTCCGCTGCTATTAGGGCGATCAAGTGATTGCCTTAAAGACTGAGGGAGAGGAACGAACGATATTGCTGTCGAGCGACTACCCGATGAAGTTGAAGATGAGGGCTGAGATGGGCGGTTGTACTGGGCGAGTTCAGCCTCCGAAAGGGGGTTGATATTGTTGTGTTCTGGACTGAACAGTCCTGCAGCGATCATAGGTTGGAATCCATCTCCGGAAGCCCTTACGTGGTCAATCATCTATACAAGAAGTCAGAGTAATATTCAAGAGGCAAGGAATGAAGAGTTTCAACGCTGACCTCCTGATACACTCCCCTCATAGAGCCACGGCGACCGTCACGCAACCAATCAATTAAAACCTCAACTTCTACTTCATTAAAATCGAAGGCATCCCAGATGGCCTCGGAGTGTTGCTCCAGAAGCCCAGAGAGGGTATTAACAGCCTGTGGAAGGCGTGAGGAACGTACAGATGGCGCAACACACAGATGGGGTATGGAAAGCCCGCAAAACGAAGTTCGACAAAGTGAACAGGCAGACGAGCCTGGCGCGTAAAGCGCGTGCAGTTCAGAACTAATGGACCATCAAGTGTCATTGTCTGCCGGTTAGCCAATACGTGGGGTTTCGAGAACATACCATGCTCCGCAAAGTCCATGTCCAGGTGGGGGCCCTGATGCAACAGACAATATAAACATTGGATACAATTGTTGCGCAACCTCACGAACCATCATCTAAATTCCATGCTTCAGCGGGATTTGCTTCAGGATCGGGTATAGGGCGCGGACACCTCCAGCCGAACTGGTTATGACGGGCACAGTGCGGACAAGGTCGAGCAAAATTGTCGGAACCAGGCTCGTGCCCGCGGGATTGAGGCAGCAGGATATCGGGGTTCGGTGGCCTGGGTTGAGGAATCTGCAATTGAGAAAGTAAAAGACGTGGACTCCAATGAGCACCCAGGAAGGAGAAATACCTTAATTTCCGCCACGGGTTGCCAGACCTCGTCGGCTTGGACACGTTCACTCTCAGCACGTTCAAAGTCAGGGCGGTTTCTCAGGAACACATCGACGATGGATTGGATCATTCGAGAAGCGACAGCATGAGTGGATGGCGCGCGGCATTGTGGGCACGTATTGAGGCCAGAATTCTGAATCCATAATGTAAGGCAGCTACCACAGAAGAAGTGTTGGCATGGTTGGAGAACGACTGGGCGGTACACAAGGCCAGCGCAACAACCGCAGCTAGGACAATGAGTAGATGTGAGATGACTGAGAAAACAAGCGGGATAGGGGATGTGATGGGGTGCAGACGCATCCACCCCAACCATATCGAAGTTCGGTACTGACCTAAGCTCCTCAACGAGTTCGTCGACCAGTTGAGCGTTCCTTTCCACCGTCCTGGTGCCAGTTGTAGATTCTTCATCGGCGGGCCCAATCATCTTTTGCTTCCCCTTCTCTGCAGCTGTGTAGGACGGTGACGGAGTCTCGTCGCTGACCGTATCGGTAAACGTTTGTGACTCGCGGGCCTTCTTTGGCCGGTGGTTGTCTTCAGAAGGCGCCTCTTCAGCTCTGATACGCTTGAGAGGACCGACCGAGGAGAGGGCAGGTTCGTGTGAGGTTGCCTGCATGTCTCTCTCCATATTGAATCAATGGAGCCAACACCAACCACACAACTCTCACTGCGATTCCTGTCACGCGCGAGATCCATCATTCTCTATTCAATTGCATCGCCGCTAGACTCTTTCCGGATGTTCACTAGGCAGGACTCCGTAGTGTTGACAACACACTGCTCGCTGCTCAATTATGTGCCATAGAGGTTTCTTCAGCCTATTCCTCAATGACCTTTTGGAATAGACAAATGGAACAGCCGAAGGCTTGAGCAAGCAATGGTTAGGTTAATAATACATATCAAGAGCATGATGCTATCGAAAGAGACGCATGCATTTGGGTTGTCCAATGGAAGATCACAGTCGCTACTTCCATTGTTAAGTTTGAAATGATGAGGGAACCTCGGTCGAATCGAAAGGTGGGGATATAGGTCTTATGTACCACTAAAAAAAGCAGACTCGTCTTGATACTAAAAACAGGAGGCACCAGCAGCGAGGCGAGCATGCGTTTCCAAAATCTTTCTTTGGTCTGTAAATCCAAAGCGGGTTTTATTGAGAGCACGCAGTAAAGACGACGGCGTGCCTCTCGAGGGAAAGATCGACAGAAGGTAATGCGGAAGCAACACCATCATGCTAAGATCAAGCGCAATCAGGAGCGTCGGATCCTGTTCCCATACTCTCAGATACCTGAATGAACACATGAATGTTCGCTGTGGTGACAAGAGGGCAGTAACGAACCGTGCAATCTGTCCAATGAACTAGGGAATGAAGTGGGGTTGCCTGGCACGTTCGAACCGGTGATAATTTGTAGATTGCCCAGTAGATACTGAGCGATGAGCATTTGGCGTTGCACTGACGACTAAATTTCAGCCAACACATCGTAACCGCGCTGCCGCAAAAGGTACTCACGTCACCTAAGCGCCTTTGCACGATTGAAACGAGGACCACCTCTTGATGCGTAGATGGGTTCCAGATCAAAGCCGGAACTGGAACTTAGAGTGAGATGGAGCACGTTGCGGCTCGTGCTGGAAAAGAGATTAAGTGGATTCTCTTTCGCAGGACAAGTGCTCCATGATCCTCACATGAAGAGGAATTTATGTCCGTGATAGACTGGCATTTTGCTCGCCGTCAGGTCAGGCGATCAGAATTAGTGCCAAATTAGACGCCCACTTGAAGCTTTCTCATGTCGCAAGAATGAGATGAGAATCAAGCATAGATTATGTCTTCTCCGTCTCTAGCCATGCGTTTATACCGAATCCTACTTTTCACTGAGTCATCTCCTCGTTCCACTCCACACACAGGCAACTGGCATACAGCAGCTGCGAACGCGCGTTAAGGGCCCAAACAGAAGCCTTTGGAAGGGGTTGGGACCGTCTGAGCCATTTAGCGAGGCGTACAATGCATTGTGTCTCCAGGAAAAAGGATGTCGAACTTCAGGCGAAATTGTTTAGCAAGTGGGAAAATTGATCCGCAAAGTCAAACGGGTAAACTGCACATTCCATGGTTTAGTGATGCCCAAATTCATCGGCCGATCACCATGCAAGGCAAATGTGCTGCACCAATCCAAAACGGTGTAAATTTTCTTGACGACGGCGTTACAGTGAAGAGGGCACAGTTCACGGAACTATTTTCTGGGGATTTGCTCGGGTGCAAGTGTGAAGCACGTCCTTTGTGTTTGGGAGAGAACGATCCAGTTGGTGGCCGAGAATAAAGGGCAGGTGAGGTGCTAGAAAGAGGAGCGAGCAGTGAGGGCACTGCATTGGACCCAAATCCTGAACAAGCCACATTGGCAGCATCAATGTTCAGTAACCCTAACGTGCTGATGATGCCATCAAGAGTAAACAACGCGGATCGAGCGCGCCACTCAGAACAATGTGGTTGACATGATGTAAAGGATCTGGATAGCCATGCCATGTTAAGCTGGCTCGAGCCGGATGTCTAAGAAGCACCCCAGTGCAGCTTGTGCCAACCCCGGCGAAAACCATCCAGCATTAAGCAATGCTTCCATATGCGCCTGAGTCTCGTCTCGGGACCGTACTTAATGGTTGTAAAATTAGTGTAATCAATTCATTCCCGCTAAAAGCCTACAAGCGCGTTCCCTTCCACTGGCACCCAACTCGAGGCCACGGCTTTTCAAGAACGTGGACAGCGCAAGGATAGAGTGTCAATGAAGGTTGTACCATCTGGGCCCGTTCTTCCGTATGACCAAGAAACGAGGGACATCAATGAAAGAAACAAAATGGGGTTAGAAAGCAACGGTATACCATAAGCATGCCTAGCGACCATGAATAAAAAGATCTCCAGCTCACAAATGAAGAATATCATCTGCCTCGCGATCTCTACGTTAGGATTGGACTGCCTGCAAAGGGCACACCCAACTTGTCTTGTGAACGACGCTAGGCTGGGTAGTCAATTCACCATAGTAGAACTCCTCCCTCGCGCCCATTTGGCCAATGAACGATGTGCCAGTGGGCACAGACCATGGCGCGTCCTGCTGTAGGAATAGGCTGGACTGTTGGCATAATGGAGCCCAACCGTTCACTGGGCATGGAATGTCTGCGTCCGCTCAGCTGAATCCCGCTCTCCATTGAGATGCGCTTGGGCTGTCGCTGTTGTCTCAGACACTGCAGGGACGGTAGATTGAGGCCGGTCAGGGAAGCTACGAACCAAGGGAAATCCACGAGCGAGGCAAAGTGGGCAACGAAAATCATAGATCCAAAGGATCCAACGGTGAGAAAGTGGTAGCAGGGAGGAAATCCTTCAAGTCCGCAATTCGTTGCATATTGCACAGTCCGCCGCATGAGGCCACAATGAGTTTCGATCCCCATGATATGTTGGCGAATTCTTCCGCCTCCCCTTATCATGAACCTTATTGAGGCACACTAACGGACCGCTCGCGCGAAGGAAAACGCTTAGAAAGCTCGTCTCGTCTCGTCGACACTCAATTCCATCCCCCGCTATCCCGTTCCCTTCTTAGGGGAATACCCGTTACCTCTCCATCCCCTAGTGTGACCGGGTCATAGCTTCCTGCCTTTTCAATAGCACCGATGATGTGTTCGGTAACGCTCTGAGTGTTTGGTCGAGTGGCCACCAACGAGTATGTTGAGGATGATGGGACGTGACCATGCTGGAAAGCCAAATTTGGCACATCCGAGGGTAGGTGCATGTGCGAAGACGAGGGACCAAAAACGGCTCCACTCCAGTCTTGAGCGGATGCATTGGCGAAGTCCGTCAGTTTCCTCACCGACAAGCCACTTTGATCCATAACTGAGGCAGAAGCAACCGGTGGTGCCAGGAGCAGAACATTGACAAGCGCAGCTTGGTCATCCGCCTTGCTAAGCTGGGAGTTCAGCTCTGATGTTAAAATAGTCATACGAGATGCAGATGCAGAAGGGTTAGACACGTAATTACTCAGGCCACCAGCTTGCTGAGTACTTAATAGATACGCAGGTGAAGGCCTGTCAGACGAAAGCAAATTATCAGAAGCATTATCCGAGTAGGATACGGAAGAGATGGGTTGCAGCAGTTCACAGTCGAGTTGGTTCATAGGGGATTGGTGGCCGCGCAGAGGGGAAGGATTAACTTGAGATGCTGTACATGCTCTCCATTGAAGAGTCGCCGCGGTGTTGTCCGGACCAACAAATGAAGACCCACGGGCTAAATGATCGTTATGTGTCAGCATCGGGCCTAAACCGAACCTGGTGGTGGTGGTCAATGGAATGTTCGTTCCGCTCATCAAAGAATGTTCGTCAGGGGGCCAATTGAGGGCACCCAGCGAGTTATTCATTTCAGGCACAACCTGAGAAACAGATGCAGACCCAGACGCTGGCGTGGAAGCCTTGATCTCCGACATAGCGGCACCGCCATTCCGCAGCTCAATTCCTGAAGCGTCGCCCAATACCTTCTCTGGTTTGGGCAGACCCTTACTAAGGTCAGCCCCCTTCGTCCTAGTAGATCTTGACGAGACTTTCTGAACATTCTCAGGCTGCGTCCCGAGCAGCAGAAAGCGGATCTGGCCTGGTCTCGCTCTGGGGATACGGTCAGGACCACGCCGTTTGGGAACAGCGTCATATTCGCATTTCGGTGATTTCCGTCTAATGCATGTTGAGCATCTCGGTTTGAAGCCATCGCATCTGACTTTGCGCACACGGCTGGAGAGGCGACAACAAACGATGGAGTTGCATGTAAAGCGCCACCATAGAAAGCGTGAACAGAGTCTCCAAATAAGCAATGATGCCAACACCATCCCCAGAACCCTCACCATTGCTGACAAGCCAAGTAAACTCTTTCATTTCCAGGCCCGGATTTCTGCTGATCGGCAGCGGCTTCCTGTACGGCCGTGGTGTCGGTTGTGGAACTTGAAGGAAGCGGTCCGGTAGTTGAAGGTGCACTTGCGTCATCCGCTGCGCCAAAGCCAGGATAAGCGTGTTCCGAGCTCATCTAAGGGTAGCTGAGTAGGTGTTGGACGTAACAAGAATGAGTGTGCTCATGGAGTCAACTTTAGGAAAACGACTGTCATCAAAGGCTCGGAATATCGAGTTGAAAGGCAATGCCCGGGAGATGCTTACCTTATTGGGATACTATCATAATGTGCGTCAGGATGGTCGAAGGTAGGCAGGTTACCAGCCTCTATTAGAGGTCGAAGGGCGGCGTGAGGTCACCTCGTCAAGCTCATCTTGATGGTTTGTGCCATCGATCGTGAACTGGTTCTGGCGCTCCCAGGCCCGAGGCCAGCTCTGCCACGCATAGCCCTACTCGTGCTATTCCAAAAAAAAAAACCCTGCCAGAATCATCGGCTGCAACATCGGACTCATGCTTCAGAAAGCCCCTCCTTTCGAATGCGCAGGAAGCGCGACCAACTTATACTCCCTGACAATGAGTTTTTACATATGTGCTGAACTCTGTGTGGTTTATTTCCGCACTCAGGGTAATATATGTTGCCCCCTGTCAGGAAACAGCCAGTACTTCTGGACTGTTGAACATCAAGCCTGAGCCATGTTTCTACACACGTTCGCGTCGTAGTTTTCTATCAAAGGGGTCCACTCTAGCAATCATGCGAGCTCGTCATGACCAATGGGCTTGGATGGTTGGCGTGCACTCATAAACTTCGTTTTCCCTTTCCGTTCTAAGCCCCCCTATACCGTCGCACGAGGCGCCGCCGCGGGTTAACAAGACAACGCATTCGGTTTAGCCTCAGGGATCAGTACTGGACTGGCTCGTATTTCCGCTTCATTTAATGTCCCAGTCTGCAAACCCCCCCGCATTCCGGCGTTGCCTGAGCTTGGCGATGGATGACGCGCGCGCCCTGCTTTCGATCTTCGTCCCAAAACATTTCGCTTGTGCCAAGCCATCACCATCACTTTGGCAACCGTCCCAAAAGCGTTGGAAGTGAAGTGATATATATTTGATGAACGTTCGTCAGTGGAACCACGGCGCAGGTATAGATTTTCTGTGCACAGGAATATAAACACCGCCCTAGGGAAAACCTCCTATAGCAACACGTGTAATGCGGCGGCCACACGAGCCTCCTCTAAGGGAATCAATGGAATTATCGTTTACTCCGTTTGGGGTTCGAACTCTCTTCACTATGACAGGCCAGGCGGCGCCAGACATCTACTAATTAAATGACTAATTCAAGTCCCCCCCAAGTCTAGGGCAGGATCCCAGCCTCTACTATAAGTAGACCCAAAATCCTTCTTTTGGCCTACCTCCACCCATTACCTAGTCAGAGGCACACTACATTTCGTTTCCTCCATCCTATCAAACTATCGCCATCCATTATTAAACCCATTCTGGGCAAGGTATTCAAGCCGCGAGTTCCCTGTCAATTCATGGGAGCCCACTTCATTCACCGGCTTTCATTCCACACTTCATACACGTCTTCCTTAATAAGCTAGCTTGAGCCTATCTAAGAGCATGGATCTCGCGCACTGGCCATATATACATATATTGCTCAAAGAGGCTACCCTCGCGAGATATTTTTGACCATCTGCTTATCAACTTAATTAATTTGGCTCCTGAGTTATCCGTTCAACTGTGTCCTCCATGGCCAAGTAGTTGTACAACCCCGCCTGCAGACGCCGATGGTCTCGGAGAAACTCTCATATGGCTCTCGCAATGCCCGACCAATGCCGACCATGCAACAAATTGGACCAAAACTCCCCAGTTGCCCGAACGGGTGGATGCATATTATTATAGAGCACACAGTACTAGAGATAACTCATGAGTTGCGGGAGAGTGATAAGCTAATAGCCCCGCAAATTAAATAAACAAAAACCAGAAGAAAAGAGCGGAGGGGATCGATATCGGTTGGGCAGAAGAAAAAGGCAAGTACTTAATTACTCAATATTGCAACATACATAACTCCCCCTCTCCTCGATGTACACAAGCAAAGGTGGTCCCCTGCAGCGGCTCGAGGGCGAAGTCCATTATTTACAACAGCTGCTTGTACCCGTTATTGCTCAAAGATTTGACGACTCTTTTCACCTCTTGCGATCGCGCACGTGTCGTCACAAGAAGAGCATCGGGAGTGTCCACGATAACGAGATCGTCGACGCCAAGGCAAGCGACAAGACGGTTTGCAGCAGGAACGACGATGCCACCCGCAACTTGTTCGAGAAGGACTAAAAAAAGGGTGGACGGAATTAAGGGGGGGCCCCTTAACAGAGAATAAAGATGATAACGAACCAAGAGAAGGATCGCCAAGAACACGAGCTTGGTTGCGTTCCGCAGGGAGAAGGTCACTGAGGGAGCCAAAATCACCAACATCATCCCAACCTGGGGGGGAATTGAAGGAAACAATAATGATATTCGTTCGTCAGTCGTATCTCAACTAACAGTCGAGCACAATCAGCAACTTTCTTACCGAAAGTAGCGGGCACGACTGCGACCTTGCCTGCAACAGACGCCGGCTCCGCCACCGCATTATCAATGGCAATCTTGGGCAATGACGGCCAAACCTCAGCGAGAACCCGTTCCCTCTCTTTCTCATCCTCCCAAACCTCCGCAATCTTTTCCAACCCAGCATGCAACTCTGGGGAATTCTCCTTCAAGAGCTCAACAAGCATCTGTGCCTTCGCGACGAACATACCACCGTTCCAACGATAATTACCTGTACTCAGATATTGGGATGCAGTGCGAGCGTCGGGCTTTTCTTTGAACTGAGACACACGTCTAGCATTAGGCGCCTCCTTGAGCTCGAGAGACTCTCCTAATCGGATATAGCCAAAACCAGTGGCAGGATGAGAGGGTGCAATACCGATCGTAACGAGATAATCATGTCGCGCGACAGCAACAGCTTCGGTAACAGCACTTAGGAATGCTTCATCACCAGAAATCATGTGGTCTGCCGCAAAAGAACCCATCACAGCCGTAGGGTCCCGGCGTGCTAAGACATATGCCGAAAGGCCGATAGCAGCTGCAGAATCCTTTGGGCTAGGCTCACATAAGAGATTGTGGGGAACTAAGTCAGGAAGTTGAGAGGAAACGCCCGATGCGTGAGCACGCCCAGTGACAATCATGAGACGACTAGGCGAACATATAGGGAGAAGACGATCCCATGTGGCTTGAATCAAACTTCTTCCTGATTGGGTAAGATCGAGCAAGAATTTGGGGTGAGCCTCGCGCGACAACGGCCACAACCTCGAACCTACACCCCCAGCGGGCACGACAACCCAGAAACCTTCAACTTCCCTGTGACCAGGATCGAATTTCTCGCCAACACCATTAGGCGATGGGACCCATAGAGCGGGCGGAGCGGTCGGCGCGAAGTAGGATGGGCTGCGGCCGAACTGACGCGAAGGTGATGGAGGTCGCGTATTCGCGCCAAAGTGAGAGAAGTATCCCCCCGGGGTTCCAACCGAGGGCCCTTGAAGCTGGTCACGAAGCTGACGCTCGAGTGCCGCGTTGGCGAGTTTTAACTCGTGATATTCCTGTCGAAGCTCAGCCAGCTCACCGCTCTGTGGATCGAAGGCGACGAAGTTAGAAACAACAAAGGCAATTCCACACGAAGCTCACCTGCTTATGAACGGCTTCCAAAATCTGGGTGAACATTGCCTCGACGCTGAGGGTTACAACTGGTTCTTCCTTGATCTTACCAATGCCTGTACCATTGGAGGAGAAAAGTAATCCCGACATTGGTACAGAAAACTAGAATATGCTTTGATCCAAGACAGAACACGGGGGGCCCCATTATATAAGTTCAACGTGGACATCAATTCAGACAACAAGACGTACATGAAGCTTGTGATTGCGAAGTATAGCAAGGACAGTGAAGAAAGACGTCAATAGTTGGTCGATTAGCTTGGGGAGTTTTTATGTAATTCTGGGGCTATTTTTCTGAACGAAACGAGGGCTGGAGAGAGATGAAGGGTTGCAACGTTGGTCAATGGGTTTCAATTCCGAATCCAATTTCCGTTTCGGGTCCAGCCGCGGCTATGCCTGGGCTCAATACAATGTTGTTGCTTCGCGAACGTGGGGCAAGATGCTAATCTAGTGCACAATGCACAACGCTCATGCCGCATGAAGTGAACTGAATGAACAATATCGAGATATATCTCATTTTGGACGTCAGCAGTAACACACGCACCCCAATTTTTTCGGCAATCATCTATTCGGTCGGAATGATTTGATCATGCCATCCTTTGTCAACTGACCCTGTACCAAGAATGGACACCGATATGTTGCTGACCAGTTTGGCGTGAACGGAGGCTCTCCCAATAAACCTGGCGGCGACCATCGTGATGAAATGAGACTCTAGGTAGGCCGTACATATACGAAATTGATCCAAGCGAACATAGTTTCCCTCTGCAACATTAATAAACCCGACGGACTCGGTTGAGTTAAGTAAAGATGATCAACAAAGAATTTAAGAAACGTGTGATGCATGTCCAGCTGACAGACAGGCCATGCGGTGTGGATAAGGCGAATGAGCTAGGCGACAAGTGGCATGCCAGATCTAAAACGTACTTCCGTGATTACAAAACGCAATAGAATTCCAAGAGAAAGGATCGAATCTGCTTTCGAAATCGGAGGTGTTCTTCAACAATAGTGATGGACCCCGCCCCGGTCCTACATATAGTTAGCACCGTGTGGGTTTCATCCCCACGGATTGCCGGGCTCGAGTGAGAACGCCAACGAGGAATTATGCGAGGAAGTGAGTGTAGGTAGCTCGTCAAGTGATTTCACCTTTGATAGGGGTAGCTCTGAAGATTCACTCGTGACTCGCTACCGCGCTTTATATCCCCAGTTCGTGAACAATGTTCATCATCATGATGAGCGCACATGAGTTAGACTGCTGGAGCGCGCCTACCATTTCATGATTCATTTTCCTCCAAACTAGCATGACATCAGTTCTCCGGGACACTGTCGCCGGGATTCGCGCTTCGGCGGCTCCAAACTGCCGGCCGAACTGCATCGCATTATCACGGATGTATTTTTGGGTCAGGAGACCAGTCTTCCCGAGTCGGTCTAAAGAAAGCTATGGGACGGTGAAAACTCGAGGACGTTGAAGCGCTATTAGCCTACCTTCTCCACCTGCAAACCCAAAAGCGACCAGCGACCAGGTCCACGGAAATTAAGTTTAAAACCGTGACATACTAGATACTTACTCGCGAGCCCGTACAGCAACTCGTCTTGTCCGTCTGCCAGGCCGGCGTGCGACTGCTATGACGGAATCTTGCAATAGCCTTTTATGGTTAACTAGGCTATAAAGCTCGCCTATAGCACGCAAGTCTTGTAATATCGACAAAGTGCATCGGGAAAACCCGACAATCCCAGCTCCCGGTTGAGTACTGGAGTAGGACACGACGCTTTTTTCTGATACGAGGTCTGCAGTACATCTTATCCATTTCCCATGTTGGACATGGAGCCATGGCGGAATCGTACACTAACTTCCCACATTTGGCTGGGCTATAAAACTCACCAATAGCACAGAAAGGCGGGATAACGTCGCTAGGAAGACAGCGTGAAGTCTCGGAATCATGCCAAAAACTGCGAGCGAAAGGGGCATTGGACATCGGATATCGGAACAAAAAACTGGGCTGTTTTTCACTCGGGTTTAGAATTGTGCTGGGCAAGATGGGGGAAGTGGCTAGCAAGGCAGATAACAAGGACGCTGAGGAGTATCGGCGTGAGCAACCAGGCACTTCCACTTCTTCTATCATGATAAGCGAGCTCCGGTGTCATGTACCACGCTTACCACGACCCCGCCTATAATTCTATCTCCACGGGACACACATATATACTGACTTGGACGGCCTACTGACGCCCAAGTGTAGAAGAAACAGCAACCCCCAGAACCTGTAGAACCTGTGCTTCTAGATCTCAATTGCTACCCGCCAGGTGGAAGTGTGCGGAGCGAGCGAACACGGTACCACTTGAAGCGGGATAGGTGAAGCACCAAGTCCAGAGGACAAGTTCGGGGGGAGTTGTTTTTCACGTCAGGCTGGGAAGAAATGAGGAGCGTTAAAAATGGTCGTGGAGCAAGCGGAATGTTCCGTCTTTTGAGGCGGAACCTATTTGACAGGGCCCATGCGCATTGGAAACTCTACGTAACTCCATCATTACGGCACACTTCGGCGTAATGACAACATGGACGAAAGAAGTTCGAGGCTAGGTACGGGAAGGTCATATTCATTACTATTGTGCTGACTAAGCCAATTTTTATTGTCCTAACGCATGACCTCTAAACAATCGAACAAGTCTAGTACTATTCAATACCCTCTCATCCGTCCTCTGGCTTGCGTTGACGCTAGGCAGGATACCAGCCTCTATAAGTTGACGCCGAGATGCTGATCATATTATCCAGTGGTCACATCACATAAACTGTTGCGGCTTGCAATCACCCATCCCTAAGGGAAGATAACCGGGTTCTCGGCCCTGGCCGGTTGTGAGCCGACAAACAGCCCTTGCGCCACTGGTTCACTGATGAGTTTTCACCCTCAGTTGTCCGCAAAGCTTTACAAAGTGTTCTTTCAACCTCACCCTGTTTCATGCTCGGTGATGCAATAAAACTCGCTACTTCTTCCGTTGTGTGGACCTAGGGATCGGGAATGCCCTGTACTGATTCACAGTTGTTCGATGGTATAAGGCGGTGTCACTGAAATCGACTCCTTTGGCCTTCAATAACTGTCGCTCGGAGGCTAATACGTGGATAGTGAAACTGAGACCCCGCAGCATCGAGAATACCGTTCTCTGGCATTGTGGTGAATTTTCTGCGCAGGGGGGCGCACTGAGGCTTTTCTATGACTGTTAACATAACACTCCGTGTATTCCCATTGTGGCCCACGACGCAGCGCCACGTGCGATGCAAAGACATATCGTCGTACATGCCGCTGTACCATCTCAGCATTCCAGCCTTCGGTTAATGACCCAATCAAGGCTGGTTTCGTGCCATCTGGACAACTCGGGTGTAGTTGTGATTAAGATCGAAAAGAAAAATCCACACGTTAGGTTTCCAAGAACCGCAAGATTCGCCTTGTTACCAGGCGCTTTATTCATTCATCCCTGTATGCCATCGTGCATGCTGCCAAAGCTTGATGGATGTACCCGGCCCTGAGCTCTATTGTTTCAACATCACGGAATTGTGTTCGGATGTGCATTGTCTCTCCTTGAACATAATAACACGAAACATTCATTCCAAACTCCCACGCCTCCCAAAGCTCCCTAGTGATTCCAGCTCATGCGTTGTGAAAATAAGTCTTCAGACAATAGGTGTCTGCTGGTATATAGGACGAAGATGTGGGTCGTCCTCACCTCTGTCTCTACCAACATCACAAAATGTCAGAAAACAAGCTGGTGCGTTCCGCTTTTCGTCCCGCTCTGGAAGAAAGTCAGCTAATGGTTAGCGCTGCCGGTATCTTGACACTACCTTGCCTGTCGCACCGATCAATAATCGACACATCCTTTCTCTTCATAGTCATCGTGTATGTCCTACGATTTCCGTATTCAGATGGTAATCCCAAACTCACTTGGGGATTTTTTTTGCGCCCTTCAAACGCAGACCAAGAAGAGGGTAAGCTCCATCTCTTATCTTATAACCCCCCGCTTCCATGGATAAACTCCCCCCCCCCCTCACACCTAGCATTTTCCCGAGTCTTCCGTGATTGGCGCGCGGATTATATCGCCTGGTATGATGAGGAGGAAACCTCCGATCTCCCCGATGATCACTTGCCAATCGGGGAGCTGCTCTGTTTACTGGAGTCCATCCAGTACGAGATGATGGACGAGGACCGGGAGTGGGCGGAAGAGATGGGAACTATTCACATCGACGAGTTTAAGGCATTAATGGCCAGCAAAGTCGATGGCCCGGATGAGACAATCGGTCCCATTAGTACGTTCAGCTAACAAAATTTTCATCCATGGATCCCTGTTTCTTACAAATATGTCCGAAGAGTGTGATGATTTGGAGGGCGGGTCATGCAATGGCGATGACAGTGACAATGTACCTGGGGAACTATACGGTACGCGAGTCTCATAAACATTCTTCATCAAATTTGAAGCTGTCAGATGGTTGACCGACAAATCCTTGACTCATTCAGATGACTCTCAAGTGAGTTTCTTTTTTGGTGCACCGAGGCCTCCTGCTGATATCTAGCTTCCAAGTGGCTGACGCATCCGCTGTGCTCGTGGGAGGATCCTCAGGTAGCAGATTGGGGATTTGCGCTTGGCGCTGTAGAAGTGTGATCAGAAGCTTGTAATTTCCTTGTTTGCAGCCATGCAGTATAGTTCACGATCCCAATCATATCGCCAGGTTTACTCCGCTACATCGACGAGTCCATCCACATAAAAAGTGCACAAACAGTGACATTTTGCAGAGCGACATCCTACGGAATCGATCAGGATGTACGTTCGCACCGAAAGACCGCTTTGTATATTCGGGCATCGACAGAGTGGACGACTTGATCGGTAGTGGCGGGAACATAGAGAGCGACGTTGAGTCCAGGGGGGGTGAAACTCACTACTGGCTGTCGACACTCAGCTACAGACCGGCGGGTTGAATAATGCATTCATAAGGGACGCTGTTGTTGGAGGGTCTTGTTTTGCAACAGTGCCTTTGTCCTAGAGAGACTCTGTTACCATGGGGTGGGATTGATTCTGTTCCTGAGCAGTGGTCAGAGACCGAGGGGCAAACGGGTCGAAAGGTTGCCAACTACTTGCACTTCAGCGCACTCGGACTTGAGTACTATGCTCGGTGTCTACGGAGAACTGGGAGGAGAAAAAGAACGGAGGGTTTTTCATCTATACTATGAGATCACTGTAAATCGCTCAAGTACTCGAAAGTGAGGGCGAAGGTTGCAACCCGGGAACTTACACTCACCCTCCTGCGGCGTGTCCCAGACTCGCATCTAGAGAAACAGTGTCAGCCTAATTCTGTATATAGAAACCTTTCACCACTGCACGAATAAGAAGCGAACAAATAATAAACCAATTACACTAGAGAATAACATACGGGGTGCTTAGTCCACATTCTCCGAGGAGGGTCCCGCCTCGTGTCCTTCATACTTATCCATCCAACCCAAGTACGAGTCTGATTCAGAGAAGTAACAGGAGTTTGATAGTTCATCCAAGCATTTTCAGCGTGGGGATATGGAAAATTGTCAGCGACAGGAAGACATTGTATTAGAATGATACAATTGTGTGGACTCCATTAACATTGAGGCTACTCATTATTTGGATAGAACTGAAACACATCTGCACTAGCAGAACGCAGTCTTTCTTTTACTTAAACTGGACATAAGAGTCCGTCCACTTATCGGCCTTAGCCGCCTCACATTCACCCACTCATCGGCTTTTTCCAGTTGTAAACAAAGCGTGACAAAATGAAAAAATGTAAATGCGAGTGGTAGAGGTTGTGAGGTGAACGTATAGCGATACGGTGGGTCTTTTGGAGGCAATTCTGAACCGGGGACGTCACCTTTGTGAGCCCCAAAAAGGCTTGATCGACACCAAACATGTGTTTATCATTATTTGCGTCGGCAATTCTAATAACGTTTTTTTTACTGCTGGCTACGGGATCGTGGTTTTCCTGACTAACTACCTTATAGAGCGATAGACCCATTAGCCTGCTAGGCCTTTCCCTCCCTGCGTGGTTGCAAGGGCATCATGAGCCATGCCCTTAATGCGTCCCATTTTCCCACGACTCGCCCAGAATCGATTACCAGCCTACGGGACGGCGGACTTTAGAGTAACGCTAATGTGGTTCAATTCAGCGAATGAATCCAATTCGACCCTAAGCGAGGACCAAGGGTTCTCGGATCTGGTCGACGTGAGGCATGAGCTTGCATTGCTACGCAGGGTTCTGAGTACTATTCTGATTTGAAGATCACAAAGCGGTGTCACGCGAATCAATCCTCTCAACCTCACGAAAATCAATTTGGTTGAAACACCCTAGCTCGATCCTAGAACGTGGTGGACCAGTCTGGCTAGCATTCAAGCCTGTAACGCACCTTGTTCGTTTTCCAGGTGCGACGTGGTGCTATGGCAGAATCTCACATCAACCTTTCACGTTGCACTATGCTAAAAGATGCGATATGTTGCTTACGAGGAAGGAGGATCCGTTGATTTTGCCTGTGAAAGGCACCGACACCATACCAGAACTATGATGCAAAATGGGCATAGAACATCGGATACCCTTCCACTTAATTTGATTAGGATTGTGCGAGGCGAACGGCGCAGTAAACGCTGAAACAGATGACACAGTGGAGCAGAAGCTGTTCCACGCGACCACCATCCAGGGCCCGTTGCGCATTAGAGATGATACGTAATTCCGTCATTATGGACATAATATTGTCGTCAAAGTGACGCAACGCGCCAGAGGGGCTAGAAAGATACGTAAGGAAATTATTTGGGAGTGTTGCGGCTTGCAAGTCATTCGGTCCGGCTAAGCGAGGATAAAGTGAGTTCTCAAAGATCTGACTGGTGAGGCTAACGATAGTCGTTGCGCCACTCAGGCTGATTCACCAATGCAAAGTGTTCCTTCAACTTGACGTTGTTTCACGGTGATGAAATAGAACTCGCCACTTATTCTGCTCCCGGGACTGACAGTTTCTCCGGTCCGTGGTACAAAGCGATGACACTGTAATCAACCCCCTTAACCTGCCGCTTCGAGGTTAGTACAATAACAATGAAATTGGTCCTCCCGTGACCCTGCAGCATAGGGAACAACACCCTTCGGCATGCATTATGGTGAGTTTTCGGCATAGGGAGGGGGGCGTTCTGTTCATATGCGCTTTGTTAATATTCATCCTCGTGTATATTGCCAAAGCTCCTACCCGAGTCCTTATTTTTCCGATATCACCGGATTGTATTGGCGCGTATGGGCGCCACTGGCGTTTTTGTCGACCACTTTGAACAAAGAAACTGATTTTTTCAATACATGAAATGCAACAAGTCTCATTCCGAATTCCCGTGAACGCCTCTCAGAGCTCAGTTGGTCAACCTCATGCATAGCGAAACCAAGTCTTCAGACAATAGGTGCCTGCTGGTATATAGGACGAAGATGCAGGTCGTTTTCACCTCTGTCTCTCCCAGCGTCACACAATGTCAGAAAACAAACTGGTACGTTCGCTTCACCTGCTGCACCGATCACCGATCGATTGTCCCTCTTGATCCCTCCCTTCATAGTCCTCTTGTAAGCCTCTCCTATGGCCGGCGATTCCTGGGAGTCAGAAGAAAACTAACTTGAGGCTTTTCACGTCCCCCCCCCTCCAAACGTAGATCAAGAAGAATGTATGCTTCATGTCCTTCTAAACTCCCGCTTTCCGTGGATAAACCTTCCCCCCCCCCCATTCAAATCTAGCATTTTCCCAAGCTTTTTCTGATTGTCGCACAGACTACATTGCCTGGTTTGATGAATGTAAAACCTCCGAGCTTCCCGACCACTACCTGCCGATTGAGGAGCTGCCGACGTTACTGCAATCCATGCAGTACGAGATGACGGAGGAGGACTGGGAGTGGTCCAAGGATATAGATATTATCCACCTCGACGATTTTAAGGCCTTGATGGCCCGCAAAGTCGGTGAGGTAATAGGCCCGGCCACACCCAGTACGTTCAGCCAACAGCTTCATCCATGGATTGCTTTCTGATCTGATGCCTGTTTCTCGAAGAGCGCTGTGGTTTGGAGGACGGGCCGCTTAATGAGGTTGAGAGCGAGGGGACATCCGAAGAGTCGTCTGGTACGCGGAGAGTTCTCGTAGCATTATTGAAGTTTGTCAGATGATTGACCTGCATTCCCTCGACTCGTTTTAGACGACTCTCAAGTGAGTTTTCCCCCTTCGATCATACACTGGAGCCCTCCAGCTGATGTTTCCCTTGTTTGAGTGGCATACCCATCCGCAATGTTCATGGGAGGACCCTGTCGCCGATTGGGGGACCGCACTACTCGGCGCGGTGGAGGTGTGACTACACACTAATAGCCTCGGTAAATACTGTAATTTCCCCGTTCATAGCTAGTAGTACTGTGTAGTTCACAACTCCCCCCAATTACATCGAACGAGTCCGCCTATAAACAAGCCTGAGAGCCATTTTAGCAGAGCAGCCGCCGCCATCCTAGAGTGAAACGACTTGTTATGTTCGAGTCGCCAGGACAAGGATGGCTTGATCGATTGCGATGGGGAAAATAGAGCGTTGGATCGATCGAGCTCAGGGGGGTGAAACTTCACTCACTCACTCACTAGCTAGCAAACACTCCACTATAGACCGGTGAGTCCAACAATGTGCTCACCGGCAGCAGCAGCTACGATGGCCCAACTCCAAGTTGATATGGGAGAACACTTAGTGCTTACATAATGATGAAGCCAATTCACTCTCCCACGCAGAACAGCCAAGACATGATGTCGAGCTGAAGCGGTGAGAAAAGAGGATTTCCCCCCTGTACCCACATCCGCAAACTAGGCACAACCTCGAAACAATACCTGCCTCACTTCTCGCCCTGACGTTGACGTAAACATGCCCTGGGCTCAAGCCGTTTTGCGCAAGAGGTCCGAAAAAAAAAAAAAAAAAGCAAGAGTTTTCAACTATGTACATACGAACAGCCAGCGCGCCAGATGCGTGGAGCGGCTGGCCTGGCTACTTGCATGAGAACTTTTTCGCTGTGAGTGTTGATAGGTGGTCATCGCCAAATGGTGTACATATATATTCCGGTGTTGCGACTGTCAAGGTGTTTTTTTTGGGCCGGCTGCTCCCATCGGCCCAGGAAGTGACCCTTCACGTCAGATGAATTCCCCACCCCCCCGGATTCCCAACACCAATCACTCCCATCTTCGGTTGGTCATGAGTGCACGGCTGCGGGCTGCGGGTATCTCTCAGGGAGAGGGATCGCTGCAATACTACATTGGCGCGCACCAATCACAGCGCTTTCTATGAGTGTTGTCGTTGAACTCTCTCTTATTGCTATCCTAGCTCTTTTACACCGTAGCGTACATTGAGGGGGGTTCGTCAGTACATGATGGGTTTTCTGGTTTGTGTAGTCAGGAGGGGATCCTCGGGTTGGGTAAATGTCAGGTGGAATATTGGGGTTTGTGTGAGGTCACTGTCTACTACTGCTCTGACACGTGTCTGTCTCGTCCCACTCAGTTCCTCCCTTCTCTCCTAGTTGCTCTTCGTCCTTGAATGCGTGGTGGATTTGGAGTCCGGTCTGCTTCTGGGGTCGGTCGCAACGGGATTTCTTGAGGAATTTCGCTAGTCCCAGAATGCTCGTTGGCTTCCTTGTATTTCTTGAGCCTCGGACGATATGTTCTCTTGTTCGGGTCTCAAGTCCCGCAGGCACACTTGTCTCCTGTGTGACGGTGATGGTACCCGCCGATGTGGCCGTGGCCGGTTGCGGAACTTGGAATACTTTGCTGAAGGTTTTGCGATCCTAGCGACTTGAACCTTACCTTGTGGTGGGCTTAAGTGTGACCGGGTGGGATGCGGTTTACTGTGTGGAAGCCTAAGCTGTGCGGTTTTTTTTTTGGTGAGATTGTTCATCGGTCCCTCCAGATCTCGAGCATGCTACGTCTGTGTGCGCCTTTTACGTTCGTCCGCGCGTTCGTTTCCTCTGATGCCACTGTAGCCTGGGCACCAGCTGATCGCGACCTCTCTATCGGAAGATGCACTGGTGTTGTCCGAGTGCTTTCTGAAGGTGTTCGCATTGACTCACTACTATCCCTCGCTAGAATCTCAATTCGCGCACACGTGTGCAAAATTGTGCATCACAAGATGAAACCATGCCCTTGCACCGTACCCGTTCGAATGGCGGAACAGTATGGTAGGTGTCCATGCGAAACAAGCGAGTCAGTAGCTCGTGCACTCGGGTGGGCAGGGGCCTTGATGAATGATGGGAGCTTTGAGGGTTCGACTGGAGCTTTGATCATTTGTTTCAACTTGACCTCTTTTGTACGACAACCTTGCCACTGAGCAATGGCTGGATATGAGGAGACTGAATTTTTGGAACCGTCTCCCTCGGAGCTTTTATTCGAGTCCAAGGTGAGAGCTTCATCTTTCCTCCATTCCTTGGATACTGTATTACTAACTGACACTGCATGGGTATTTACAATCAAGTCTGAGCTAACGCCATGTAGCTTTCATTTTTAGAATTTACCCCCACAATTTCACCGGCTGAGTGGGCGTGTTTCTCATTTTCATGATCGAGGGCATTGGCCTCTCTCTTTTTTGACGTCTACATCTTCAGCGTTAGACCTCACCTTGCCGATTTCCACGGGATTCCTGTCCAATGTTTAACGATCACCAATATACAACCCTGTTTGATACATCATATTTTGAATGGTGAATGTGAGGGGTTCGGTGCTACGTGACCTCTGTATCGCAACCTGGATGAGCATATATGTACACTCGCTATTTCATCCCGCCTCCTTCCCCTCATCTGAAGAAACTGAACTCCGCTTCATTCGGCGTGGTGCCCCAATGTAGGCGTTTCACTGACTATGCATTGCTGTCCACTCTACATCACTTGTGCGTTTTCTTTTTTGGGCGATAATTTATCCGCTTTTGGAATTCCGCCGCCTTTCATGAGGATACCTTGAATTCTGTATCACTACCAGATACTAGAATCACATTAGAAGTTGCCTGTGAACAACCACAAAAACCAGCTTGCGGCTCGGCCGCTAATCGATTGTGCCCCTCCAATCTATGTGGGAAATCAGCGAGATCACTATATGTATCGTCATTTGACTTGAGGCAAGTGAGTGCAAAGTTATTGAGGTGAGCCTCCCCCCCTTTGATACCAGTGGGACGTAAATTCGCAAAAATGGACATCGAGCACGCTCAGGCGCAATTATATCGAAGCAGTGCAAATACAACCATTCTGGCCACGCTGGAGTTGAGCTGATCTTTGCAGCATCCCTTGCAAAACTGGGATCGCCGAAGCCTTGACTCGCGCAATGAAAGGTATGGTCGAACGTTATGCAATCGGCTGTTCCTCGGACCACCGCTTTCATCTGTCAAAAACTCTTTCCGCGGGTGTCGTGGATTTTGATTGTCACGGGTGCGATGCTTATGATCGATCTGCAGGATGGATCACGTCATCCACGACGTCGACAGAGCCGTGTGGAGTACGTCAAGTTATGACCGTACACGCCTCCGGCCTACGGGCATGAGATCCACGTCTGATCGTCGTGCGTACGATTAAAGGCGTCATGGAGCAAAAAGCTGAACGGATCCTATAAATCCTAGAGTTTATAATACAACAATACGCCGGTTTTACACTTCCGGAACCCATAACGAGATCACGACGATATGATGGATAAATACGTGGACGGTTCCTCCCAGAGGCCAACAAGAATCGAGCTTGCGTGTCAGCCTGCTAGAAGTATTCCGACTAGTCACTGAGGACGACGACTTGACTCGAGTTTTCGAGTTTTGGCTTCTTGGAGGACCGTGCTCCTCTCGCCTTGGCCTTAGTATAATGGATGTTAGAATTAAGTCATAATTAAACGACAAACGAGTTTACCTTGATACGAGCTAACTGGTCCTGTTCTTCAGTGGTTAGAGCCGGACTATCGTCGTCAGACGAGATTACGATAGGATCCTCCTCTTTTACGCGCTTCTTAGACTCGTTTTTCACTTTGACCGTGGAAGGGCCGCTTTTGCCAAGTGAACTACTGGGCTCGCCCTTGACCTGGTCCGTTGAATGCTGTCCAGAAGTGACCGACACATGACGAGGGGCAATTTCTTGGGCTTGCAGGAAATCTGATACATAGAATTTTGTCAAGTGTAAAACACCCGTGAAGAGAAGATTGAGACCACACCAATAGGGGCATATTTGAAAATAATTTCTAAGGGTTACAGTTGGATTTTTGCAAGAACTACAAAAATGAGTGATGACTTGCCGTGAGGTACGGTACCCATAACGGGAACTGTGGTTATAAGGGATCGGGGGTTGCGGATTAGTCGGGCTTCTCCGAGCCTGTGTGCCTCAGCTGTTGGCATGTGCAGGAGAAAGGCAAAGGTAGACGCACTTGACGGCATGAGACCCAGCTTTCTTGCTTCTCTCGTTGATTGGGTTATCCCCAGGAAGGCTTCGAGTTGATCCAGAGAACTGCGAACGTCCAGTCTCTACCACTGGCTGGATAGTGATCCTCAGTGTGCCCATTTCCTCAAGCGACGGGCCTCCCCGAATAGCGGTATCGTCATCTAGGGATGTATAATCAGCTTTTGATTGATATAAGCCCGGGGATGTGGTTACCAGTGAGGCGTAAGCTCGCAAAAATGCACCTAGAAGTGTTGGTAAGAATCGTGTGGGGTGACGGAAGACGTGTGCCTCACGGTCTTTCCGTTAAAGGACTGTCCATAGCAGAGTCTATGCGGGTCACTTGGCCAAGGGTTGTTGGTCTCACTACGCGACCCCCTACATACACTCCATCGGCATAGAGCGAGACTGAGAGGGTGTATCCTGCCATCCAAGACGCCGTAAAGCAGACCGCAAACGGCTACATCGGTTAATTAGCATTTCCCCTTACAAAAAGCGCATCGGGATCTATACCTTCCCGGTTTCAGATGGTATGTGACAAGTTTGAGAATTTGGTGTGGGTTGTTCGGCGCCGTATTCATCCAGTTGATGGCCGCCACTTTCCACCCAAGCTTCGAAGTCACCATGCTCACAGGAAAGACGAACCATTTTAATAGATATGTAACTGTGGGGTGTGGATCACTCAAGGGATGGCGCTGAGAGGCGTTGGTGGCGATTCGAAAGTCCACCACGGCATTGCTTTGCATCCGGAGCCTTGATCTGCAGATGTTCCTGTTTTTTTTTTTTGCGCCTTCCACCGTCTCACGGCACATCGATCAAATTCATCAGGCTGGCGCAGTGCCGGTCTTTAGAGTCCCCGGCGGAGCCACTGGTAGAGAAAGCCTCTAGTTTGGGGTTGCTTTGAGGACTATTGCCTCAGATTCAAATTTCAGTGGGCGCCGGGCGCCAATGCAACGTTCGGCCGCGTGGTGGTAGAATGGAAGGCTTATCCCCTTATTATGAGATCCCTGGCGTGCCGGTATTGGGAACTTCCCTGATCCGCGTTGGCACTCTGGGGTGTTTATATAATAATCAGGACAATTTATCCATCGAGTCCTTGCCTTGTTGGCTTGACGAAACGACTTTCTAGCCTCAATCAAACCCATCGATGGTATCTCGATCAACACTTTTGCGTTCATACTGTTTATTATTCACCAACGAACCGGATGTTGTCACCATCCAAGTGCTGGCCTGCACCTGGAGTCATTCCAGTTCTAAAATTGGCTATCCCGAACTTAGCAACGAGGGTTTCTGGGAGATTATTGGGACGCCGACGTTGTAAACCGAGACTTACCTTACCCAACCCGATATTTCTTTGCGAATCCGGTTTCTAGCGTACTTACGTACCCACTCGCCGTCTGATGATTGAAAGCTCATTACGACTTGAATTTTAGTAAACTTGGACTCATTCCCGATGTTTCTTTATTTCTGTGCATTTATTCTGAGCACCTCTCTACCCAGAAAAGACTGGATGAACACTCGATGACTTTATTGAAAAGTTCTTGACTTTGCCTGGGTCATAGAATGAGACGTCATAGCACACGTGAGTGCCCCCGCTGTGCTGAATTGTATTGTCCTATTGTCTCATCATCAGCTCCAACCCCAATCATGCCCTGGCCAGCACATATTGTCGCGAAATCCTCTCGTCTACCAGACACGGAGACTATCGAGAACAAATTCTATGGACTCTATAATGCCATTCTCAACGAATGTTTCCCTTCCACCCAGTTCACGATCACACCTCAGTATGCGACGTCAGGGGCTCAGGTGGGCGGTATCGGCGCCAGCAATTTTGCGATCACTTATGTCGTTGAGCCGCTGAATCTGGACAGCCCCATATTTTTCATCGAAATTAAGCCTCCCACTCATCTTGCTGCCATATCCGCTCGCAAGGACGCCGAAAATCAGGTTCGATCCCGGTTCGCACAACTCGCGCACCTCGTCCAAATACCCAAGTTGTACGGAGTTAGCGCTATAGGAAGACAACTTTCCTACTACACGTACGACAGGGCTGGTAGAACCGTTGAACCCGTTGCCATAGCTGACTCTGCCACTGTCATCGTGGACACTGCTCCCGTTGAGAGATGGGACACGAATATCATGGAGGAGGAGGGTCATAATAAGTTCGTGACGATTGTGGAGGAGATCAAGCAAATAGTCCACAATTTGTGGTACGTCTCTACACTTGGTTGTTCTAACGTTCCCTCATGTCCTCCAAGAAACGTTGTAATATTCTTTCGTCTCTTGATCTGTCCGTGGCTCCAACGCCTATCACCAGTATTGTAGTTGGGAGGATGTGGATGTATTAGGTTACTTGTACAGCAGTGTCGAGATTTGCCTCGAAATGATTCCACTCCTGCGATTGTACGGCAAGTGCTGCCGCGCCCACTTTTGGGTGCCGATGCGTGGTGGAAAACTGATCCACTTAGAAATACGTGCGCAGCAGTTGGACAAGCAAGGCTTACTTATATTCGAGCCAAACTCCGTCAAACCGGTCCTGCAATTTTTATTGTCTATGTATATACATGACGATATATACATAATGCAAGCGATGTACTGTACTGGCACGACCAACAACCGGTTCCCACGGCCTCCGGGAGTTGCCGGAGGCTGCTAATCAATTCAATCGTGTTGATTTTCAATTCAATCCAAGGTCCTCGCGTGACGCGTGACCGGTTGTTGGTCGTGCCAGTACAGTATCTCAAATAGACGTCATCCGAAATCGGATAACTGCTGACGATTAGACATAATATGCCTTTTATGCATTCTCGTCCACGCGATCGGTGATTGCCGTGGCAAAACTGGAATCGGCATACGGGTACTACAAATCCGCAGGAAACTGACTTCTGAAGTGCGAACAATTACGTGGCAGGGAAGGCGTGGCGAGGACTCAGGTGACGAGCCAACTGGACGCGTTTGGATCCGTTGAATTGAACCCACATATGGTACACGTGGTGTCTGACGCAGATATTAATATTGAGGATTCCCTCTGACTGTCATTGCACTATTCACGAAATAGGCTCGAGCGTGTCTGAAATAACCTAGATGCCAGGGATCTTGAAGCCTATAAAGAAGAAAAGTGGGACGCTCCTTCAGAACGGATATACATCTCGAGGTGACAATATGCAAGCATTTTCTGGCGCTTCTGGCAAAGGATCCGCTTTAGAGCAAACGACTCTGCCTACAGCTCGTAGAACACACGCTTCCGATGGGAACGGGTACCAGAAACATCTGGACGAAAAAATATCGCCTTTAACAACTGCCCATGCTCAATCCGCACCTTCTCTGCTGACAAACCGGGATCGGAATGCTATTGCCCTGCTCATTGTACTTTGTAAGTACAGTGTATACTACCACCTCGACGTTACTGTGGGCTACATCTTCCCAAAAGATTTTATTCAAGGGATACCTATTGGCTTGGCTTTCGGTTCTATTCCATTTCTCCTCAAGTCAAGGCTCTCATACACCCAAATTGGGACGTTCTCTTTGAGGTATGACGAAATGATAAGAACCAAAGTGGAACGCTTTTTCACATACCTTCATACACTTCAGCACATACCCATACTCTTTAAAGCTCTTCTGGAGCCCCATCATTGACTCGGTGTACCATCCACAAATTGGGCGACGGAAGTCTTGGATTGTTCCGATTCAAGCCATCTTAGGGTCTCTCATGATATGGATGGGGAGGAACTCCGAAGAGTTGTTGAAATCCGCAGAGCACGATATATCAAAGTTGACCTTTGTCTTCGTGACACTTGTGTTCTTTGCCGCAACTCAAGGTGCAGGCTGATTCGATGTTTCGTATAATAGCTATACTAACTCCTGAGCACAGATATAGCCGTTGACGGTAAGGAAGTTCAAGCTAGTCAGAAAAACCACTCCCTCATTCCAGCTAGGATGGGCTCTGACATTATTGTCGGGGAAGAACTTATCATACGCATCTACTGCTCAGACTGTCGGACTTAACTCTGGTTATTTTCTTTCGTTCACTGTCTTCCTCGCACTCAACAGCCCCGAATTCGCGTAAGCCACTTCTTATTCTTCTGCTCCTCATTCCTAATTATCTGTGCAGCAATAAATATTTCCGTGCGGTTCCCTCGGCTGAACCTTTCTTAAATCTTGGAGGATATCTTAAATTTTGGGGATATTTTTGCTTTGTCGTCACACTTTGGCTATTCTTTTTCAAGAGAGAGGTCAGTTCGTCGGCTCCGCGACCGTTGTCTCTTCTCCAATTCCTCCGTTCCATAGGACCCTGTGAGTGCAGAGGAAGAAGACACAGACATATCTGTCCGAGGAGTCTACCGTACCATGTGGAAGATATGCCAGCTCAAACGTAGAGACAACGAACTACACTGTGTGATGTGCACTTACATCTAGTCCTTTTCAGAGATACAAACCCTTGTTATCATTCACCTTGTTGCAAAAATCGGTTTCCAAGCAAATGATGCTGCGACAGACCTTAAACTTATGGAAAAAGGTTTACTGACTCGTGAAGATCTTGCGCTTGTGGCTCTCATTGACTTCCCACTGCAGCTAGTGGGAGGATGGGTCGCAGCTCGATGGAGCACCGGTGATCATAAGCTGCGTCCTTGGTTGCAAGGTTACGTCGTCCGATTAGCCTTCGCCCTCGCGAGCGTTGGCCTTGTAAAAGGGTTCAATGCCGAGGACGCGAAATCCAGATGGCTTTTGCTGTTGATAATTGTGGTCAAAGTTCTAACCTCCTTTGCGTCGTACGTTCTCTTCTGCCCACCATACGATCCAGGATGACTGATCTCACCATTCAGCACCTTCCAATTTGTTGGAGTGTCCGCTTTTCATACTCACATATCTGACCCCGTGGTTGGGGGGACGTACATGACTGTGAGTGGGGACTTTCTGTGGCCCCGCCATGACTTTTCTGACTCATGATGTAGTTGCTCAATACAATCTCCAACCTTGGGGGTACTTGGCCACGCTGGTTCGTCCTTACAGGTATGTGCGACTCTGACAGGCTCTATCGCTCGGTTGGCTTATATATGTAAAATCCAGGAGTGGATGTCTTCAGTTCTGCTATGTGCCATGTAAACGAATCAACGCGCGAGATTGTCATACAAGGCGAGTTAGATCTCAGTCCACCTTTGAGCAGGTCGTTGACGAGTCTTGCTTCCATCCAGCTCAAGAATGTAGTTCTGAATCCGGAAGAGAACGTTGCAAGGGGCTCGGCGGCGAATGTGTAACCGAATTTGATGGCTACTATACCGTATCGTTGATATGCGTAGCGCTGGGAGCTATTCTCCTCGTTGGGTACATATGGCCGAAGGCCAAGCAGCTACAGGGTACGTATGTTTCGCGCAATATATGACTTCAAGTTACTGATCTGGACTCTGACAGCTTTGCCATTATCCTCATGGAGAGTCAACATGAGCAAGTGAAAGATTCCGCGTAATAATTCTGCAGATACCATCATCTATAATTTTCTGATACGTCCGATCGGGCTAAGGGACTTGCTTAGTGAGGGCGTGGTGATCTGTAATGCCATTCTGGCAAATGGCGTTCGTCCATGACCTCACCATCTGCATAACCTGGCCCTGCAGACTGGAAGTCGAAATAGGATGCGAAGTGTATCGTGTATACCCCATTTAAACAAGCTCTGTTTGGCCCTCTCCAGGCACATGCGGAGACCCAGGAATTCAGCATAATAACATTCCCCGACGTCTCAGAACCTCTACGGCATCACAGCTGGAGATCAGGGAGAACAGTACCAACCCCCATCCTGCCTGTGACAATGACCATGACTTGAAGCAGGCTCGATTGTCTTTGTTCTTAGGACTCAAATCAATTAGTGCTATCGGTTGGACATGCAGGTGGTTCGCAGCCCCTTCAGAATGTTAGAATGAAAAGAGAAGTCAGGGGGTTTGAAATGGTCATCCAGACGCTCCTATACAGGCGTGACCGCCAAACATAGACGTTGATGTCAGGCAGCAGGCGGCAGCGTGGGAGGTCATGCGACCACCTAAGATCTTCGGCGTTACATTGTCACGCTTGGAGCCAAGAGAACTCCAAGCTGGGGCTGTTGAACCCCAATAGCTAGCATACAACATGTCCATAACCTAGAAACTAAGCTCACAACTCAGGCGAACGTTTTACCCCCAAGCTGCATTGGTGCTGCAAAATGGGAAGGGTCTGAGGTGACAGGCACAAAATTGAAGGAGACTCCGTGCGTACCTATAGTTTACTATTAGGTGCCCTTCAGTCGCGAAACACTTCCAGACAGAAAGAATGAGACAGGGTGAATGTAAACCATAAAAGGATATACCTTGAATAGATTGCTGACAGTATCATCTGGGGCTGGAGAGAACGCCATATTGATATAGGTGAACTGGGACCAGACATTGTTAGCGAGCACTCTAAGGCCGATTTTTTTGGCTTCACCAAAGGGTCAGTGGGCTTCCATCCCAGTTCTTTCCGTAAGAATTGAATGACAGCCTGGAAGCGATTCGACGCTGTGATCTTGTAGTAATTCTGCTTCATGATCGGCGCATTACCAACTGCGCGGAAGCGAACGATGACTAGGAAGGAGCGATCCTTAACCTGGCAGCCAATTACGTTGTAATGGGGCCTACCTTTGGACCCATCGCGTCGTTTGTATGCCTCTAGAGCTTCGAGGGCTGGCCCAGCAGGAAGCAGCCGTGAGGGGGATATCGGGAAGTCCGCCATTCTTCAATGGCACACCAATCGAGGATTCACTGAAGACGCCTACAATGCCAGACGTAAATAGATCCTGATCCAAAGACGAGCCCCTGACGATTTGGGCGTCAATTTTGCTTCCGGGACGGCGCTTGGAAACGATTGCGTCTCATTTCTCAATGCAACGTTATGTGTTATGGGCAAGAGGACGGCTTATTGCCCCAGCACTCAAGCCATTCCGTCCCTTGGGTCATACGTCTTTGAGCATTTTTCGCTCCATGGTGACAGGCTCTCCTGAAACACCTCAGGTCTGGGCATCGTTTGATTTTGTGGGTGCCTGCGGCCTAAATTATTCATCGGTCAACAGTTAGCAAGAACTGGGCTATATGACCTCCATATCGAGAAAGGGGCTCAGATGGTTCCATTCGGAGGCTACTCCATGCCGTTATTGTATGGTAAAGTGGGACAAGGTTTGTTTCTATGGCCTGGTTTCGGAGGGGAGCCCTGACACAGCTGAACACTCAGTTGCGTCACACAACCATGTGAGGAATAGCGTAGGACTATTTGACGTGGGACATATGGTGCAGAGCTTGTGAGGAAACTGGTCTAAATGAGCACCACCTCACTCATAGATCCCCTTCCTCCAGCGTCGAGGGTCCTACCGCCACCGAATTTATGGAGTGGCTAACTCCTTCAGGACTTTCGAATCTTGAGCCTTTCAGCTCTACTCTTTCTGTTTTTCTTAATGAGAAAGGGGGCATAATTGACGACACTATTATTTGCAAACATGCATCGGATCGTTATTATGTCGTGACGAATGCGGCCTGCCGCGACAAGGATATTAACTGGATTCAAGGGAGAATCGCTGAATGGAACAAGACCCATGCGAATCATGCGCCCGTTACATTTAAGGTGCTTAGCGACCAGGGCCTTGTTGCTTTACAGGGTGTGTCGTGTATGTTTCCGGTTAAAAGCTTGGCCCTTACGTTCGTTTGCGGTAGGTCCTAAGGCCGCCGAGCATCTCCAGAAGCTCACGGATTATAATCTCCCATCCCTTGTCTTTGGCAAGTCTGCATACATGAAGATTGCTGGCGTCGAGTGTCATGTTGCGCGTGGAGGATACACTGGAGAAGACGGTTTCGAGGTAAACATACCTAATTGTGTCCCCATTCTTGTACTCACTCGACGCGGGGCTAGATCAGTATACCTGGCGAGCATACTGTGGCAATTACTGAATTGATTTCATCCGATCCAGTGCAGCTTGCTGGTCTCGCGGCACGGGATAGTTTGCGCCTGGAAGCGGGAATGTGTTTGTACGGACACGATTTGGACGAAAGTACATCACCCATTGAGGGCAATCTTAATTGGGTGGTTGGTAAGTGCAAACCCAAGTGTCCTCAGATACGGATTCCTCATTCTTCTCCTAAGCTAAGGAACGACGCAAATCTGGGGGTTTCATCGGATACGAGAAAGTGGCTGACCATCTCAATAACGGAATTTCTCGCAAGAGAATTGGACTAATTGTCGAACAGGCACCAGCTCGAGGTAGGTTGTGAGAAGTATTTCAAAAAGAACGGTGTTTCATACCGTTATTTCACAGAGGGTGTCAAGATCCTTCATCCTGAAACGGGGACAGAGATTGGTTCGTAATATTTTTGTGGCGGTTTCACAATCTCCGGACTCAAGAGACGTATGTCTGTCTAGGCTTTGTTACCTCAGGTATACCCTCGCCAACCACGGGCAAGAACATTGCAATGGGTTACATCCAGACAAAAGACAATTTGCATAAAAAGGACTCTCAGGTCCAGGTGCTCGTCAGGGGGAAACCCCGACCTGCGACGGTGACACTAATGCCATTCGTCAAGACACGGTATTGGAGAGGCATCGCTTGAACATAGAAGAGAAGTGGCCTCTCCCGGCTCCTCACAGCAACAATGAAGGAATTGCACATGATGTGTAAATAAACAAACGATGTTATTTGCACACATTGATTAGAGGAACCGACTATCCGCATATTCATTCATTCATCATGCATAATCTATGCGTTCATTCCTTCATGGGTAGTCAAAGTTGGGGAAAGGAATGGCGGCATTGCCCGACCAGGAAGGAACACAAGACAAATAGACAAATATATTCGGAGCAGATTCCTAGCGAGAATCACGCGGTCTCGCAGATTTTGGTGTGGTTGATACCGAGCCAAACTGACCGTTGCTTGCAAAGATGGACGACCCTGTGACAGATCTTCATCCATTATTGTTCCCGACGGGGATGTAATTCCTCTGCCCTCTGATGGCTCAAACTGCGGCAGGAACGGCCCACGAACACCATCCGGACCATCGGATCGGAAGGGGACTCGAAACCTTGCTCAAAACTGTACGCCCCGTTGAGGATGGTGTAGACATCGATCGGGATTTATTGATCGCGGTCCACGCCAAAGCCGGTTGGTAGTGCACAGTCCTCAATATTTGCAAATTGTGGCTCCGTCAAGGCCAACACCCCATTGACCGAAATACCTGGACACGGTTCCGATGGGCCAGTATATGAAGCCACCTAACGAGAAGAACGTCCCCATTGAAAAAAGCAAGATCCAGAATACTGCAGGTCGCAGGGAATGATAGCCTGTCTCATCTGGAACCCTGCAACGCTTTAGCTGCCTTGTCACTGTGCGTCTTCTCGACTCACAGTTTTGATCCTCACAGGAACAATGGGCGATGCATGCAGTTTGAGCTTAGTTTAACCATAGATCGCAATGCGGCAGAACAACAGGGGTAGGTTGAATCATTCCAATAGCAAGCGTCAGAAAACCTGACCGCGTAGACAATAGTACGTGCACCCTTCCGGGCTAGCTAATTTGGAAGGAGGCGGTGCGATCGATCGTGACTGCAATCGATCGCAATTGGTCAGTGTCAACTGACCAACCCAAGTGCAACCACATAACCTGTACCATTCGCGGCACTTAGCCATTTGTGAGCCAACGACTCCAAACCGGACTGGAGGTCAGTCGTCAATAGTACATTCTGTTTCGCCATCCCTGGCTTATCATGCCAACAACGATGATTATGCTAGCTAGCACCATTGTCACAGCGAATTTTGACGCTGCGATTCGCATTCGCGTCGTCATTTCCCTCCGTAATCTAAAGAACTCCGTGTTTCGGCGGACTGCTTATCCGATTTTCTGATGGGAGAGTCCTCGAAAGATAACGCCCTCTCCTTCCCCGATGGCGATCTGATCCTGATTTCCTCCGACGGCACTGAGTTCCGAGTCCACAAAATCATCCTCTCTCTCGCATCTTCATTCTTCAGTGACATGTTCAAATTGCCTCAAGCGGACTCCCAAAGTGAATTACCATCTGTTACGATGACGGAAGATGCAAGGACTCTGGAACTCTTGCTCAAGATTGTGTACCCGATCGAAGCTGGCCCGAAGGAAATCGACCTTGAGCTGGCAATGAATGCTTATCGTGCTGCCGAAAAGTTCCAGTTTCACAAAGTTTCATCAACAATCCATAATCAGTTACAATCTATCCTAAAGACGGTTGAGAACCCGTTAGAGGCATGGGCGATTGCTGTACAGCTGAACTTTCCCCAGGCTTCCAGAGACGCAGAGCTTCGGTTCATCAGCATGTATACGAGGAAGTGCTTCCATCCCTTGCCGAAACATCTGAACATGGTTCCCGTAGAGAAATTCGCGTTGCTGATCGACAAGAAGGAGTATATCATTGAACAGGCAAGACGCAAATTAAAGCGTGCTCTGACGTTCGAGACAAGCCACAGGCCCCCCTGTCAATGTGATCCTTGTCCGCTCTGCAACTCCTTCGCACACATCTTTGTCTCTATGACCGCCAAGTTTAACCCATTCAATCCTAGGTGCACTTCTACATCCACACTCCAAAAATGCTTCCAGCAAGCCACAGCACATCACTCGTGCCGCAGGTGGGCACGGCCTCCTAATCAATCTGATCAGGAGATGCTGGAATTGGTGCTTACGAAGGTGTTGTTGTCAGCAGAGCCTAAATAGATCTGTAACCTCTCGTATGGCGCATGCGATGAACTGAGACACCCGAGACAGGAGGTTGTCTGTTTTAGTGATGCAGTAGTGGCTCAAATACATGCATAAAAGTCGTCGCCTTGGATGTATATATTTGCAGTTGGTTAGCGCGTGATGGTCGGTTTCTTTCATCTTAGGAGAAGCGTTGCGTCTGGAGTTGTCATGAAATTGGGTTATACAGGATATCAGTGAGTCAAATCGGGATAACTGATTCCATGTCGCAAATATTTCGAGAATCCGCCCGCCCCAAAACGAAGTAAGAAGAGGATGACGTATGTCAAGCTTGCAGTGTGTTAACGTCACTCAGGAGCTAAAATCATCCAAGCTCTTCTAGAGTTGAAGTTAAAATTGGGAGATTAAAAGCATGGGCCATGGCTCAGTGTTGAGATTGCCGCTGGAGTTGCCCCGCTGGTTAGAAGGACGCATGGGAGGAGTCCATTGGGTAGCCCTGCAATTGCAAGAAATAACAACAAATGAACTCGGACGGCAGATGCCATACACGTGTGATCTCGAAAGTTCACACCATCGTACGGACTCTGTTACTCGCCGTGGATGCCCCGGACTTGGAATGGCCTTGAAGCTTGAAGCAGGTACGCAGTGTCTTGATTTACATCTCACCAATTGACATCTCACAGCCACTCAGAGGCTAGATTGAGTTGCAATTCCAAGTGCGATTCATCGTGACTGCTTGCAACTGAGCAATCAGAGTGCAACTACATCACTTGCACCTTCGTGGCACTTACATAGCCATAAATTGTGAGCCAACAACTCCGAACCCGACCAGAGGTCAGTCGTCAATACTGCATTCTATTTCGCCGTCCCTGGCTTATCACGCAAACGACGATCATGCTACTAGTTCACACCACCGGGTCGAGCGGACAACTGGTGCAGCGTTTTTGACCCTGTGAAACAACGACAATTCGCCTCCGCGTCACATTTTCCTCCGTGATTCAATCAGCTCCGCGTTCTGGTGATGGATGGTCATTCGAAGAATACTGCCTTTTCCTTTCCCGATGGCGACGTGATCCTGGTTTCCTCCGACGGCCTCGAGTTTCAAGTCCATAAACTCATCCTCTCTCTCGCATCCCCATTTTTCCGTGACATGTTCAAGTTACCTCAAGTGGAATCCCCGAAGCCATTACAATCTGTCACCATGACGGAGGATGCAGGGACTCTGGAAGCATTGCTCAAGATTGTGTACCCGACTGAAGCTGAGGATGTTAGCCCCGAGGTGGCAATTAGTGCTTGCCGTGCGGCTGAAAAGTTGCAGTTCTCCAAAGTCTCATCAATGATGCACTATCGGTTGCAACCTATCCTAGAAACGCTTAAGAACCCCTTGGAAGCATGGGCGATCGCTGTACAGTTGAACTCCCGCCAGCTCTCCAAGGATGCCAGAATTCGGTTCATTAAAGCGAATACGAGGGACTGCTTCAATCCCCGGCCGAAGCATCTGAACGTGGTTCCTGTGGAACGCTATGCGGCACTGATCAACGAAAAGGAGGTTATCATTAAAGAGGCGAGATCCAAGTTGGTAGAAACCTTGATCTACGGGTATCAAGGCTCCATCGGCAGGCCTGCTTGCTTAGACCCTCGGTGTCGGACTTGCGGAACCTTTGCAGAGGCCTATGTCTTTTTGACCAGCAACTTAAACCCATTTGATCCTGCATGCACTTCCATGACTATACTTCGAGAATGCTTTGGGCGAGCGCTGTTGGAGAATCGCTCATGCCAGAGGTGGAAGGCGGGTGCACCTCCTGATGAATCCGATCGGGAGGCAATGCAATCGAAGCTTAGAGAGGCGTTGTCGTTGGTGACCTAGCGGATCGGTCTGGATACCCGCTTATGTGGACGACAAGAGTTTAACTGTACGCCACATCCGTGCCAGTATATATAGTGATAGTGCTGGATGTCATATTATCTTATCGCAACCATAGTTAATTGAACAGACCCTGAATATAGCCTGCTAGCAGCTCAGCTGTTTGGCATATGCGTATGGTGTAGTAGTCGGTTTTTCGAGCTTGGGAGACGCACTGTATCTGTATCTGAAGTTTTCATTGAACTGGGACATGGAACAGTCTATGGGCTTACGAGCTATAATTTCCAACAGGTGCGCACAGACATTAAGTGATGGTGAATCCAGGAGGTGCAGTGCGATCGATCGGCCCTCCCCACGAGGTCAGTCAGTCATAGTGGATTCAGCGGCACACAACGACGGTGCTAGTCAGCGCCACCCGGACCGAGTGCGAGTGGACAAGTTGGTGCAGCCTCTTTTGACCCACTGTGAAGTAAGGGAGCAACATCTGCGTCGTCATTTCCCTCTGCGATTCGTATAGTCCCGTGTTCCGACGGACCGCTCATTCGACTGTACGATGGAAGATCCTTCGAAGGATAATGTCTTTTCCTTCCCTGATGGCGACGTGATCCTGGTTTCCTCCGACGGCCTCGAGTTTCAGGTCCATAAACTCATCCTCTCTCTCGCATCCCCATTCTTCCGTGACATGTTCAAGTTACCTCAAGCGGACTCCCAAAGTGCATTACAATCTGTTACGATGACAGAAAATGCAAGGACTCTGGATGGCTTGCTCAAGATTGTGTACTCGATTGAAGCTGGCCCGGCCTTGACGTTAGCGACGGATTGCTTCCATCAACATCTGAACGTGGTTCCTGTAGAAAAGTACGCATTGCTGATCAACAAAAAGGAGTATAGGATTGAAGAGGCGAGACTCAATCAAGTTAACAGTGGGTGGCCTGACGCTCAAGACAGGCCACAGGCCCCTCTGTCCATGTGGTCCTTGTCTACGTACGTTGCTGTGCGTCCTTCACACACGTCTATTACTTTTTGGCTCGCAACGTCAACCTAATCGCACTTCTATGTTCCTGTTCATACTTCAACACAATGCTTCCAGCAAGACATATCACAACGTCACTTGTGCAGGTGGGAGAGCCCCCCACTGAATCCAATCGGCAGGTACTGCAGTCGGAGCTTGAAAATGTTTTGTTATTCTTGGACCGGTCATCAGCAGAGCCAGAATAGATCTGTGACTTCCCATATGGTGCAATGAGTTGAGATACCCGATTAATTGGACGACACTGGTTACCTTGGGCATTACACGCAGTGAGGATGGTTCAAATGTATAAGGACCATTATGTTTACTCGCCGGACTGAACGGTTCTACAGCACCCAATGTATACTGCCAACTGGGTAACAGAAGGGTCGCGAGTACTTACGTGCTCTGGACATGGGCAGCATCAAAGGCAGATGTACCAGTTATAGAACCTTAGATTAAAATGAGATTTTGTCGAATGTAGATTAGGAATGCTTTGGATAACCAACGCCGGATACGACTCAAGGGGTTCCTGCTAAGGCAAGTGCCGTGACCCCCTCCTGCGCTGCTTGTCCCTCTACCCAAGCTTGGTCTCTTATACTGATCCTACGGATATCATAAGTCATATATGTTGTCCGAACATGTCAACAGCTCAGCAACCCAACAGACAAGCACAGGTACGCTTGCTGACCTCGAGCAGTACCTCGGGGCCCCGAGCGGAAACCAAGTCAACTTGGACGAACTACGAAGTATCTACCAACCAAGGCCGCGGTCCGCAGCCTTCTAGCCTTCTTGCTCGGGGGGGAGCACCAGCCTTTCCACAGAACCAGTGGCGCGACCTTCTTTGCGACAGACACATCGGCTTTGCCACCATTGTCGGAGACCACAACGCGAGTTATCACGAGTCCATCGACCTGGGCCGAGCTTACCCTTAACCAACCAACAGCTAAAGGGAGATCAAAAATTAGGACTCAGGGTGGTTTTGAGAAATACAAGTGCGCAGTCATCTGGGCCTACCCCCACCGGCGTGCGGAGTTCGAACACTACTATGGACATATGCTCGACAAATTCTGCGCCTGCGCCGACCATTATCGCGCCTTCTGTTACGACTCCGCAGTTCGAAAGCCCGTATAAGAGCGTTCGTACCTCACCCTCGCGGACACCCGCCTCTCAGGCGACGTCGCTTTTAAGCATCTCAATGGAGGTGCCGGCCGCAACCTCGGCGACAGCAACACAGAAAGGACCGGGTCGAAGGGCAAGCAGGGAAGAAGAATTGGTGGGTCTGTGGCGAGTTCAATTCCAGGAAGGGATGCTCCGAACAATGCCGCTTCAAACACAGCTGCAAACTTTGCAATGGCGACCCTGTTTCCAGTGTCCCAGAGAACCGGCGCAAAAGAGATCTGCCTGATGGGACAAGAGTGATGCTCGCCAATGCCGGGAAGCGACCAAGGCACTTGAGATTCCTTTTTGGACGCAGCGATTGCGGGCGTCCCCCTTCAGCTACTTACACTGAGAGCGCCCTGCCTGTCCCGCGCGTTCTAGCTGGGGACTGCAAATACCAAGATATCACAGACACTATTGCTAAGCACCCTCACTTGTTTAAAATCGTCACCCCAATAAATGTTGACAGGTTCGAGGCCTTGCTAGCAGATCATCCGAACCGCGCGTTAGTAGAACCAATGTGTCAGGAAGTCAGGTTTGGTTTCTGGCCTTTCGCCGATACCGAAGATCCAAATCTGCAGCCGAAAGGAATTCTAACCCGGCCGACTGGGTTACCGGACCTGGTTGATGAATCTATTGCTTTCCTCCGCCGCCAGCGAGACATGGAAGTACCCTCTTACCTGGGACAACCGATATCCACGGTCCCGAAGCGGGGTTCCTCCAAGTTGCGTTTGGTCAATGATCACAGTGCAGGGGCTAAGTCTCTAAATTCGCTTCTTCCGGCTGAAGGAAGATTTGTCAAGTTAGATAACCTGGCTACTAATGTCCGTGTGCGAATGGCGGGCAACGGGAGGTTCAGTACGTAATTCGGCAGTGGTGATCCGTGCTGCGCGTCCACGCCGGAGCATCTGCCTACGTCCTGAAACGGCCCGGCGGCTGACTCTGAGGCTGAGTTTGGCCTGTAGCTGATAAACACATGAGCAAGAGAACCCAGAGGAGGTTTGCTCGAGGACGTAAGGAAGTCTAGAGTGCTGAATATCACGAGCAATGGGGAAAGAACCAGGGGAATGTTGTGCAGGAGAACGTAATAGAGGGAAGGTCCGGCCTGGGACATGTGCGGCTCATGTCACATGGTTGCAACTTGTAAGTTCCAACCCGGCGAGACGATGCAGTCTAAGCCCCATGATTAGTCACGTGAAATGAAGACATTAAACAACAACAACTGCACTACTTGCACGCAACCGTGCACATGCATTTGCCCCTGTACATTTGATGTCTTGCTAACCTGCTTCAAGTTGGCCGCTGTCCAACTTCTTTCTCCCTCTTGAGCGGAGAGATCTTGTTGAGAACATATATATCTATAGCACTGATATAACTCTAGATTCTAATATCTGCGGCACTTAACCAACAGTGACTCCATCACCCCTTTGAAGACCCAACCATAGGTCAGTCATTAACAGTGCATTCTGTTTCGCTGTCACCCGAGCTTATCACACCAACCACGAACAACGACCATACCAGTCAACGCCACCACATCAAGTGGTCAAGTTGGTACAGCCTTTTTGACCCTGTGTGAAGCAATCGCATCCGCGCGGTCATTGTCTGATGGAAGGTTCTACGAAGGTTTCCTTTCTCGATGGCGACGTGACCCTGATTTCCTCCGACGGCTCTGAGTTTCGAGTCCATAAACTCATCCTCTCTCTTGCATCTCCATTCTTCAGTGACATGTTCAAGTTACCTCGAGGGGAATCCCGAGGTGCATTACAATCTATTACGATGAGGGAGGATGCAAAGACTCTGGATGCTCTGCTCAAGATTGTCTATCCGATTCAAGCTGAGGATGTCGACCTCGAGGTGGCAATCAGTGTTTACCGCGCGGCTGAAAAGTTGCAGATGCTCAAAGTCTCATCAGTAATGCGTCAATGGTTTCAGTCTATCTTAGCGACGCTTGAGAACCCGTTGGAAGCATGGGCGATCGCTGTGCAGCTAAACCTCCGCCAGTTCTCCAAAGATGCAGAGATTCGATTCATTAGGGCGAATACGAAGGACTGCTTCGATCCCTGGCCGAATCATCTAAACGCGATTTCCGTAGAAAACTACGCATCCCTGATCAACAGGAAGGAACGTGTCATTGAAGAGGCGAGATCTGGATTAATGAATGCCCTGAAACGAGGCTGCGTGTGTCAGACCTGCGCGAACTTTGCAGACATCTATGCCTCGTTGACTCACGGATTAAACCCATTTGACCCAGCATGCACTTCCTTGGTGATACTACGGCGGTGCTATGAGCGAGTCATATCGCAGAGCCCGTGCATGAAGTGGAAGAACCGTATCCCCCCTAATGAAACCGATCAGGAGGAAATGCAATTGAAGGTTAAAAACGTGTTGTCCTCAGTGGGACTATCAGCAGAGTCGTAGTAGATCGATCGCCTCTCATATGGTGCAGTGAGCTGAGATCAGTCTTGGATACTTGCTCGGTTGGATGACGGAGGTTTCAACTGTATGCCATATCCGTATCAGTACGCAGCGAAAGTGGGTCAAATGTACAAGAATGATTGTCCCGGGATTCTATATATCAGAACCACGACACGCCTTGTACGTAAAACATTCCGTTCTACAAGTGTTGGGGCAGCTGCTGCTAAAGGAGGAGGGTGTCACAACACCCCTGAATTGACTCATGGAAGCAGGCCAGAAATTTGTGGAATTGGGAAAAACACCCTCATGCGAATTCAAGCAGTATACAGACCGAGTCCAGTTTAGGACGAAGCCGTCACCCTCACCGCATGCAGAAAACACAGTTCGAGCTGGGCGCGAGACAACAATCACGGTTGCGCATGTGCCACAGTACTCCAGCCACGGATATCCGCCCAGATTCGCCACCGGTTTGGGAATAGCAATTAGAATCTCCGCGACAAATACTATACACGTGATCTCGAAATTCACGTTCACAACCTTCCGAGGGGCCTCAGCGCGATGCTCCCCGTATCTAGGCGGTCCCTTACGGGCGTTGTTGCTCGCCATGGATGCCCCGGACATGGGATGGTCCTGAAGCGAGTACGTAGCGTCTTGATTCATTCTCACCAAATGAGCTTCTCACGACTGCTCAGAGGTTAGCTGTCGAAGGTGGTGCCCAGTCAGTCTCTGAGCCTGCAGCGCTCCCACCACCCAGGAGACGCAGTGTATTGAGAAGAGGGCTCCTATACATGGCTATCTCTGGGGTCACCTTCTACGTAGGCAGTACTGCCGCAGCTTTGACGAACGATCGGTTTTATGACTTTTTCGTCGAGTCTGTTCCGTTCGGGGAATCTATCATGGACTACGCTGAAGGTGAGGGGTGGGACCAGGCCATGCTTTCTGGGATCCCAAAGGATGTCGTCGACACGGCGAAAACGGCATACAGTTCCGTTGCTGGTGCGTTTTCCCGAACCATGGGTTCTGGGAATAGTCCTCCAGCCCCATCGCCTCCTACTCAGGACTCGTCTCCACGGCCTGCTGGACCTGCGTCTACTAGCAACGCAAAGGGCGCTGTCTCTCCAACGGCAGCCTCCGCCTCCGCCTCGGCAAAAACTGGCGGCGTGGAAAAGGCATCTACTGTGAAAAAGACCATCAAGGAGAAGACATACAAATGGACCAACGACATCGAGCCTCTTGTCAGAGAAGCCGAAATTGCTCTTAAGGATGACTGGAAATTCCCAACTCTCCAAACATCCAAGTCCGAACCCGATTCCGCTCCCGCTGCTAGTCCTCCGCCAGGAAAGAAGCCTTTCACCGGCCAGCTTCCTATTGGTCATACCCTTCCACCAGGCTACTACATACCATCGGAATCCAAACCTGCAGACCGCGTTGGTCTTAAATCCTCCATCAGCACATTCCCCCTCCCTCTTGTCGCTCCTGCAGTCTCCAATCTCTCCGCATCTGAGCCTGCTATTGCCCAGATAGCATCCAATATTGATACTCTTGCTAATTTCCTTAAGGCTGGTCCTAATGGCGCGGAGGGTGCGCGTGGCATCCTCGAGGCTGCTCAGAAGGATCTGAAGCAGCTTGGGCTCCGCATTGATGCTGCTAAGGTAGAAGAAAAGAAGAAGCTAGAGGAGCAGCTAGAGGCCCAGGCGTTGGATTATTCTCAGAAACTCTTACAACTGGAGGTCGACGCCCAGGACAAGATAGATGCTCAAGAGGAAGGATACAAAGCGATGCTTGAGGAGGAGAGGGACAGGGTTATTCAGGATTTCCGCCAAAAACTCGCCAATGAGCTCGAGACTCAGAGCCAGATCATCAATGAACGGTGAGTGATGGTCGGTGTTCTAAACGGCCTTTTCAGTGACGGTCGTTTCGGTAGCCTAAAGGAGGAGGTCATTGCACAGGGAATCGAGATGCAACGTCGTTGGATACGTGAGATCAAAGTCCGTGTCGAACAGGAGAGAGGTGGTCGCCTTTCCAAACTGGAGGACTTTGCAACAAATTTGAAGAAATTAGAACGTGTCACGCTTGACAATTCATCCTACCTTGACGAAAATCTTCGTTTACACGCGCTTTGGTCTGCTCTGCGTGCTTGCTCTAGCGCCGTGGACTCGCCAGTGCGCAAGCCCTTCCGGGAGGAACTGCGCGTGCTTAGACACGTCACAGCCGCACGGGATGACCCCATTATCAGCACTGTGCTCCGGTCGTTGGAGCAAGGTGATGCCGCTGATACTGGCGTTGAGCCCCTCCCAGATCTTGTCTCGTGGTTCATTGCCTCGGTGGCACCACGCCTCGAAAACGTCGCCCTAGTCCCCGAACAGAACGCGGGGTTGCTATCTCATCTCGCGTCTAGCGTGTTATCAACGTTCAGGTTTAAGAGACAAGGATTGGTGGAGGGTGACGATGTGTCCAGTGTCATCGCGAGAGCGGAGCACTACCTTGCAGAAAAAGATTTAGATTCTGCGGCCAGAGAGCTTAATCAGCTCAGAGGCGTGCCGAAAGCCCTGCTGTCTGACTGGCTCTCAGCTGCGCGAAAACGGCTAGAAGTCGAGCAAGCATTAGCAGTACGCTGTTTTCATCCGTCATTGTCTGCAATACTATCCTGATTTTCATTTCTTCCCCAGATCGTAGAATCACAGGCAACGTTATCGTCATTATTGGTTGTATGATGTTCATTATTCACCAATAGAATTTATTCCTCAAAGAATGATCGGGTCTTGGGTAAATTATGTAATACATGAGGGATATCGGTAAAGACAGCATGCAAGTGACAGAGGGTCCAGTGGTGAACACAAGCCCAGCGTAAATTACAATTACTGAGAGTGGTGCAGATCAGATTCAACAAAAAGTGGAACAAGCCGCAGAAGTGCCCTTATGAGGTGGGTTGCTCAAGGATTCGAAGTGTGATTTTTTCCTCAGCGTGCGACAGAGTGGTGGCCCATTCCTCCTCCGAATCAATCTTTTTGAAGTCAGGCGAGTATGACGTCTCCCCAGGCGCAGTTGACGCACGTGAAGTTGAGCTCGATCTCAGGCTTCCCGCCTTTGCTGCTAGTGGGCTTGCCGGAGGGGAACTCAATCCACTCCCCATCCGCATATAGAGCATTGGTCTCACCCGCTGATCAGCGGTACCATCCCATGCAAATGGAGGAAAGGATTCGACATCCTCAAACTTTTTACTGATCCGTTCTCGAAGCTCAAAGAAGCTGGTAGTGCGAGGAAGACGTAGCATGACTGCACACCCACTGGGTGCATGCAAAACCTTGAGCACAACTGTGTGGGAGTGGGTGGGTGCTGCCAAAACGCTAGCGCGGTGTGACTCCGAAGAGTTCGAATGAGATCTCAGTGACGAGAAGGATTGCATCTGGCGAAGGGAACGGATGGGTGAAGAGGGGTGTTTGGTCGGTGTCGTTGGGGATGGATAAGAGGTCTGCAAAGCAGTCCGAGGCAGATGGAACTGACGCCGAGTCCATGTGGTAGGAGACGGCTCAGGTGTTGCAGCCTGCTGCCTTCTACTCTCGAGATGGGTGTAAAGGAGTGGTGTATGGAGTGGTTTTTGCAAAGAAAGGGAAGATAGATCAGAAGGATGGCTGTTCGATGCTTCAGTTATGCCGTTGCCGATTATACTCGGACTATGGATATAATGAAGGTCTATTTCCACCCCTGCAGGGGGGTACCGCATTGACAACTTCCTTGAACTATCATCTTCCGACCTACACGCTGCCCCCGCACTGATCACGCTGGAGCGATAGCTTGACCCAAGGGAAACAGATCGCCGAACAGAAGCCCCTGTCAAAATGGGCGAGGAAAAAGCACGAGATGGTTTCGGCGAGCCAGAGCGAGTGATGTCCTCCGGACGGGTGCTGAATTTAATTCCTGGGCCGGGAGCGTCGTCTTCCGGTACGAGGCACGTAAACTCCGCATCTGAAAGTATCGGAGAGGTAGACCCTCGTTTTGGACTCTTCAATCCCTCCGGCGATGCAAAGGATTTAGTCTCCTTTGACAGCTTCTTTAATCGACCGGCCACAGACGATGCAACAGAAGTAGGGGGGATATGAATCGATGGGGATGCGCTTCGTGGTCGAAAGGAGAAGACGGGGCTCCCACTGCGAGACGGTGATCCTTGAACACTCATACTCATAGAGACGGGGACCGAATGTCGAGAACTGGTCGATGATACGCCAGACGATAACGAGCTCGATGGCCGATGACGCATCCGGCCACCACCGATACTCAAGAGAGGAGGATGCGACTTGGTCTTGGGGTGGATCAGTGTGATTCCACTCGTCAGCTCGCTGTCCTCATCGTACTGCTTGCCGTCCCCAAGCTCGTCCATCCCATCACTACCCGCCTCAACGATTTTCAACTCTCTTTCGAACTTCCCACTTGCCCCACCCGTACCGCTCTCACCAGACGATAGCGAGAGTGGCCGACGACCGGAAGAGAGACGGGCCGAAGTGAGCGAGGATGTCGGCATGGTTGCTCGCACGCTCCGATTCGCCATACCTTCTATGGAACTGATAGGCCATCGTACGCTAGACCGATCTCTGGTGCGGTCACTCGTTCGCACAGTGTAGGTTGCCATGGGCACTACATCACGCGATTCGGCCTCCTCATCGTTGATAACAACTGGGTCCCGAATAAACCCACGAAACTCGTCGACATACTGCTGCTGTGCTTCCAATACTTCTTCAGTCCTGATCGGAGAAGCCAAGAGCGACGCTTCGTCATTAAAGGGAAAAAGGGTGATGCTGGGTGGAGCAGTTTGTGGAGGACGAGACGAATTGGGCAAGAGAGCATTCGCATGCTGATTTCAAAGTTGAGCAGTTTAATTATTAGACAAGCGAATAATTTCAATATCTCTGAACTTACTCTCCTGGAACCCGTCTGTGGACTCGGGGAACTAGTTTTGCCATCGGGTACACTTGAAGACGCTTCATTGCCATGTTGCCCAAAGCTTCCGGCTGCTTCTAGGGCTGACAGTCCTGACTCATTAGCCTTGACACCTGGTCCAACGCTGGCACTCCTTGCGCGCCTTGTATCGGGGGGTGGCGCCAACGCAGAAGGTACTAATGAAGGAGTCGCTGTAGGGGCCAACGGAAATAGCCTCACCATATCTGCGAGCGACATTGACCCCTCTATTTCATCCGAAGCAAGCTGCGGCCTACTTTCACTGACGCTGGTGGCACCGGTCGGAACAGTACTTCGCGCCTTCGGTTGCGGGCGATAGAATGATGCTTCTGGAGGAAGAGGGGGGGGTTCTGAGGTCGGTGGAGGCAGTTTTCTGGGAATCGGTGCAGTACGAAAGGGCACACTCATGTCATTGTGGGAATATGTGCAAAGTGGGATAGAGGAGTGTGGTGAGGCTGGGAGAGAGTTACTTGAAGAGACCGAAGGTAGAGGTGAGGAGTGCAATCCCTCCACGGACATGGAAGGAAGGGATGATGTGGTGCGCAGTGTGGGCCGATGGGGTAATGGTTGAGAGAGACTTCGGACGGGCTTGGAACCGGAAGGTGTCGGAGCGCCCGCTGAACGTGACATTGGGAAGGCTGCAGCGGGAATGAATGTGATCTCCTTCCAAGTGCTTGTCTTCGGTGAGGGTATAGTTGCATCGGAGTTTATCTTCTCACTGTTGGGGCGTGGAAGTTTGGGGTTTACTGCGATCTCATTCAAGGATCCAGCCCGAGGCTTGATGGCACCACGCTCGTGCGAGTCCTCAGGATTAGAAATGGTCGGATTGCGGGGTAGATGTCCGTCTCTCTTGCGCCGATGGGAGAATGCTAGCTTCGACCATGCATCGTCGTCCTGTTTCCACCACCCAAACCATTCGCACACTTGTTGACAACTTCGTGCGATGACGATCAGCTCATCTTTACTACCAAACACAGCGGTTAGGAAAGAGGAGAATTGCTTCGCGCGGACACCGACGAGATTTGAGTTGTTTCGGAAGATATTGGACTTTTTGGAAAGCTTAGGGACGTGATGATGTAGATCAGTTTGCACGATGGGAGGATCGGAATAAGAGGGAAGGGAGTCAAAGGAGGCAGCGCGGGTTGAAGGGGAGGAGGATTTAGATTCCTTGGAAATTAGTTGAATCTTTAACAACGCCAAGCTCTCGTACTCGATTCCAAGCAGATGCTGTAATTCAAGTAAGTCCTCCCATCGTCTCCATATCTCATATTGTTGACTAGTCATTGTGCTCCGACGTGTTTCATGTTCATCGAACGCAGCGCCGACACGAACACCGTAATACCAGGTAGTGGAGATTTTGGATGGAGGCAAAGGCTCAGCAGTAAACCCTGGTGGAGGAGAACGAATGCATGTGTTTCGACCGATGATAGGTTGGGCACCACTGAGGTGCGAGGAAGCGATTGCCGTGAACTAGGAATAGTCGACGTTCAGCGTTCATGATATTTTGACAAGCAAAAACGCAACGAGAGATCAAGATAACTTCAATATCTCCCTGGCACACAAGAGCAGCGAAAAGTCTGTGACTCACAACTCCACCACTCATTGCCGACATCATATTGGCTCTTTGAACGTGAGGATCACCCGGTACTCCCTGTGCAGCGTCCAGGAAGACCGCTTGGGGCGTCCGGATTGCCTGGGATACCAGATGTTGTTATCAGGGAGACAGGGAATGGAACTTGCGGCAGGTCTGATTAAGGAATATGCGCTGTTTCTCAGATTATATTTAACAGGTATCCATTGATCGGGTCGCGGATATTACTATGACTTTTATTGGTAACGCGGGAAGGTAGAGTAAACGGTGCATGTCCTATGAGCGTACTCAGGGCTAATACATAGGTCTGGAATGTTGGGTAAAAATGAGCGGGAAATTGCGTAACAAGTGTGAATTTGCAATGAATGACTTGGTTCCTGATTTTCTGAATATGTAAGGGAGAGACTCTGATACCCTGAAGACATGATCTGAGATGGTCGTTTGTCGTGCACTTGCTATCCCTAAGGTCAAAAGCTATGACTCAAATTACGTTGAGGCAAAGAATCCGGTTGGAGGCTCGTAAGGATCGGGGCAAGCAATGAAAAAGATGCGATGGCGTGAAAGTTTGTATTGATTGCAATCGGTTCTCACAGCAAATGAAATACATAGAAGTCTATATATTCGTAATGAAACCCAAAGGCTTGACTTCTCTGGCTTGAAAATGGGACGGCGCTCGCCCAGAAAAAGGAACAGGTACTTCGAGAGTCAAGATCCTAACATGCCTCAATGAAAGATCCATCTGTCCAATGCAGAAGGCAATTGTCGCGTCAAGGACTCGATCCAGAGGCCCCGCAACTGGATTCAACGTGCGTCCTTGTTTGGTACTGGAAAATTGACAAAATATATCTTAGCCGATCGCTTGCTTTTCTACGATTCATATCTCTCTGATAACCAGTCGGCCGATATAGGTACCCGCATCGTTGATCAACTAGGATCAGCTCTCTAGTAGTAGGAACAGCACCCTCGTATCCCATGGTGAAATTTGCATGGTTCATCACTACCGACAAGTGCGTGGCCAATTTGTACTCAGTTGGAGTCATGGCTGATTTGTCAGGGAGACGAAAGCGAAGCTCTTGAGCACACTGATCAATAAAAGGAGGGAAACAGGACATCGGCCAGTTGAATGGTTGCAGGCTGAATTCAGAAACGCCAAGACATACATACCTAAATTTGTTCTCCAGCCCGCGTAACGAGGGGCACCAATGTTCCGGCGATTACGTCGCTTAGGGAAACCGCCAGGGCCTCCAGGAATCCCTGGTACGTGTTGGGACCAGCATCCGAGATGGGCACCTGCCTAGGACATAACCGCGATCTCTGAGGAATCGTTGATGTATCCGACGCCGTGCATAGCCGTGATATCGCTCGGACAAGATGCGGATATTGGACAGCAGAACGGGGGGATATTATTCATGTAGTGTAGGGCACTCGCTAGCATTCGCCGACGGGAAAATATGTTTGCGATATCATTGAAAGAATCTCGGCAGCCAATTTCGCTTCTTGATATTTTTCCAATAAGTCAGTGATGACACTACACCACAGGTTTAGGTCTATTTGGGATCCAACTAAAACGCAACGTGTGATTCAGGCTACTCAGTTGTCAGCCGGCGTTGTTCAGTGGACACAGTATGCAGTGAAGGGGAAAATGGCACAGCCACCGATCCCACGGTGTTTGTGCGTAAGTCGACTCAACCGAGGACATTGGGGAACGACTTATGGATGCCTGTGCCTTCAAATCCAGTGACTGTCCCGGACTGATGTGACCGGAGCTGGGCATGCGTTGGGACTCCATTGATTTAACATCGTGTGGTGTAGCGTGGTCTTCATAGCATATAATTATTCAGGATACAGTACTGAGCCTTTTGCCTAGTGCTTTGGGTGATGGAGGCCTTGGGGAATACTCACATTCAGAAAGACAGTGAACCTGAAGGGCGGAGGATGTTCCCTTCGGGCTGCACGCCGTTTCGCAACCTTTGCACTGAGGGACATCGGATATCTTACAGACTTCACAAACATGTCCAGTCCGGGAAGTATCCGACTCTGGATATCCTCACCTGAATTGAGGAAAAAAGGTCGTACGGTTCTCATCTCTGTTTTAGCCAGATGTCAGAAAAAGCGTCATATCCGCACTCGGATATCAGTTCGGGTATAGGATTCCAAAACGCAGCATATAAACGGGCGTTCCACGCACCCGAACAAAGTTGGGTCAACACACTAGTACTAGGACTTCCGAAAGCAAATGAATGAACGTGTTCGTTATTACGTTTTGTCATCCTGATAATCCCAGAACGCGGACAGCAAGCGAGCGTCCAATGGACCGCGGCTGATAGTTACGCGGTTCTAGAAAAGAGGGCAGATCCCTTCCCGCGTGAGACGGTGGGCGCGATTTTTGCCGGGAAGTGCGGAGGGAAGCTCAGCCCAAGCGACGGGAAACCAGGGGATAGAGTATGATCATTCGCACTCGAGATATAAGCGGCCATCAGCAGGCACCATGAATGAGCCCCAAAAATACCTCAGGCTGATTGTGATGCGAAAGGGGCCAGAGACAGGCCTATTGAGAAGCTCCAGTTATCGATGTGTCATGGAATGTTGTATACAGCATGCCCCTGCGGAATCGTAGCGTAACGGCTGTCAGCCGGCGAATAAAGAGGGAGAGCTAAGGAATAGCTGTTTGGTGGAAAGCGTATAGCGAGCGCGATTGTGTGTCAATCCGGATCCTGTTGTGTTGAGTCGTACAACTGGTATTGAATGCTCGAATCAACATTCAAACATTAATCATCAACAATTGGTGTTTGTGGAATAACATATCCAGAGGCGGCGTAGAAATGCGTTCTGAACAACCGTCCCAACCATCAAAATTGTCATACAAGAAAGAAGGTGCAGTAGGTGACGGCGGTTATTTGCCGTATACTATGTCCTAAGCAGTTGCATCAAAACTCTCAAGCACAAGCGCCATAGACAGATGTTCCCAATAAAAGAAACAAGATGTGAATCAATGAGGCATGGTGCCAGTAAGCTGGCGAGCACTATCTTTTGTTCATGAGACGTTATGGAAAGTGAAGTCGAGGACGGAACAACAAAAACCGTGGGAAGAGCCATAAGGCCACACGTGATGCGGTACCAAAGGACCGGGTGGGGAGCGTTTAGCCAGAACATAGCCTTTGTCCTTTTACTCCCCCGCTGCAGAGATGTCAAGAGTACGCCCTTCTATAGCTAAGAGTCTTCGCTCATTATCTTCACAAATATTCCTATTGCAGGCACAGTTCCTGCGTGAATACAGATTGGTCGTCGTTGGCGGTGGAGGTGATGATTTCTTCTTGGTCCCCGACATATCGTGGCATCCTTAGCCCCCAAATGTCTCCTGGTCACTTTTATAGGTGTTGGGAAGTCAGCATTGACCATTCAATTCATTCAAAGCCACTTCGTCGACGAATATGACCCAACCATCGAGGGTAAGGACCACAGTTATTTCGGAACTGTCCGAACATGATAATGGTGTCGTGTGCGCAGATTCTTATCGAAAACAGTGCGTTATCGACCAGGAAGTTGCCCTTCTCGATGTGCTCGATACTGCCGGCCAAGAAGAGTATATGTGCGTCTACTTGTGTTAGCCAATAACTCGGGTCACGACTTGACTTGCGTCTTTTTTCCAAACTTCCCCGATCCCCTCTAGCGCCATGCGAGAGCAATACGTGAAATCGGGCGAAGGATTTCTCCTGGTGTACTCCATCACGTCTCGTAATTCCTTCGAAGAAATCAGCCCACTCCATCAGCAGATCCTTCGGGTCAAGGATCAGGACTCATGGCCAATGGTGATTGTCGGAAATAAATGTGATCTCGAATATGAAAGGCAGGTCGGCATGAATGGTGCGGTTCCGGTTGATTGATACCATATTGTCTACTCATTTCGCGAGTTCTTATTCGGAACCGCAGAGGGCCGAGATCTCGCCAAACACTTTGGGTGCGGATTCCTTGAGACATCTGCGAAACTGCGCATCAACGTTGACAATGCATTCCACGACCTTGTTCGTTCTATACGCGACTTTAACAAGGTTAGTCAGTCACCCACTTCCATATGTCAGATGGCGCTTAATTCCTCGCCCTACATCTAGCAGGACCAGTACCACCGGGCGCCGGGTGGGTTTCCTGTGTCAACCGCACAGCAACAATCACTTCAACCTGAGAATGAGAAGGATGCCCATGAATCTGGTTGCTGCGGCGGTTGTGTTGTAGTATGATGGCGTTGGCATGCTCACTTGTTCTCTGGTCTTATCCCCTTCCGGCCAGCAGCCTCACTCCGCATATCCTCCCTCAATTATGTGACGCTGTTCCCATGCCTACAGCACTGCCGCCTTATGGATGTCTGACTCGTCGCTTTTGTTGCTTTTGCCGTTTCCTCTGATGTAGTCTTGTCGTGCATTGCTTCTCGATGCCAGTTTGTATGTTGTATGTTGTATCATATGCTTGTTCTATCTTCTCTTTTAAGCGAAAGCGAAAGACTTACAATCTTCACAGCCATGGAAACTGCAGGTGGAGCATTGAGGCGATGCTCCCCAGCTCCCATCTGCACAAGCACCCTTTTATTATAGTCGCAAGCATCACATGCCAATTGTATTTCTTCGCAACGGAATCGTGAAGGACGCAAAAGAGAAGCGGATGGATGGGATAGGATCATCGATACCTTTCAACACATACATTAGACTTATCGCAATGTGTGAGAGCAGTATGAAACTTCAAGAGCAGCAGTGATGCTATGTGAAATGAAGAGAAAGGCAGATTAGGAGAGGCGGATATGGCAGATGTGGCGGGTTCAGTGAATGGGTGAGTGAAATTGAAGAGGGGTGAAAGGCAAGGCTGAAGATGTATGTCTGCAGTGATGAAGAAACTGAGCACAGGAGAAGCCTTTATTCGAAGGAGACCTTCCCAAGAATAGAAAGGAATGAATGCAAGACTGGAGAGCAGAGTGGCGAATACAACGCATCACATCAGACACAGCATCACGCGTTTCGCAATTTGGATGATTCAGGTGTGGAGGTAGTAGGCGCAATAACAATGCAAAAACAAAAACGTCCACATTGATAATCAAGCGTGGCGGCGGGCGCTAAGCTGGCGCACAAGATAGGAGCTTCAAATATGATATGTCGATATTCCGTGAACTGGGCACGAGCAAGTCCTTAGAATTCTAGGCGCCACCATCTTGACAAATTCCTCCTTGCTGAACCGGATGACCTATTAGATGGCGACGTGGCAGATTTCGTGCCTGTGGTCGTGCCTGTGGTCGTACTGGATCCTACCCCTTCGAACAACGGCATTAGGCTATATAAAACTTCGCTGCGTTACGAGAGACAAAAATTACCTCCGCCATTGCCTACGGAAGAAGTTGAGTTGAATGCGCGTGTTGTATGAGAGGCCAGCGCCCATGTAATCCCACCCATAACGTGTTGAATGAAAAGATCGTTCTAGTGAATCCATCCATTGGTAAGGAAGATGCATTGGGACACCAAGGTGCGACGGAACAACGACGGTACTCACTTCCCAGATCTCACTTGTATGACCCAATGAAGTATACCAGCTTCGACCGACCTTGCTTGTGATTGGCGGAGACGCCACCCCTACAAACGCACCTGCACCATGCTCCTGACCCCAGGCTGAATGCGACAGGCATCACAGGTTAGGGAGAGACCATGTGTGAGAGAAGAACCATACCGATAGGGTGAGGAGAACCTTGGTCAAATTTGGGAGGATCGGCTGCAGTAAATAGTCAGTTGAGGCACCACCCCCAATCAAGAGAAACTCACGAGTGTAACTTGATTCGTTAACGCTCAGCAGTACAAATGCTCCCAAGGAGCGAGGGTCGGATTTAAAGTTGTATCTAATTTGGATGTAGAGGCATAAGCAAAGCCTCCGGTTGATCGCCGTACCTCAATGCTGCTCACATTTCGTCATAGACGGGCCAATGAGCTGGGAGGCTACTGGTGCTAGGGTTTGAGGAATTTATAACGAGGATTGTCTAGCTAACAGTAAGAGGGTGTACGCTCTTCTCCGGTGAGAGTCTTCGGCACTCACCGCGTTCTGAAGGGTAGCATGAGAGTCGAAAACTGCGCCTGTTCAGCTCTTGAGAACCATGATATAGCTTCCGGATGAGACTGTCGTACCCGTCTCATTCCCGAAGAAGGGGCTGGCGGTAAGGGAGTCTGATGACGAATGGACACCAATGTAATTTCCCCCCAGGGTTAGATACTGCTGGAAGGCAGCCTAATAGACAACAGGGTTAGGAAGATGGTACAGCCTGTGAGGGCGTGCTCTACTTGCCTTTTCATCAGCATCCAAAATTTCTTGTCGTGGATTATTGTCCGAATCCGTCGTTGAGAGGAATAGGATGGCGTCGTAGTTTGCAAGGTTCGGCCCCGTAAATTGCGTCTGATCTTCCGTGGAATCAAAGGTAACATTGTAATTCAATCCATGAGTTTTGAGGGTATTGATTGCCGTAGGTATAGATGCATGCCGGTATCTGTGAAATTCAGAATTAGCGCTGGCGCCCATAAAGCATGAACGGACGAGAAACTTTCCCCAGTGTCCGCGAGTATATTAGTATCTTGGGCAAAGCATTTATGGACGCAACAAGGTTGAGCACGGAAAACAGGGAGGAGGTCAATTTTGTCGACGAACGCATTGTCAAAAATGAACAATTCTTACCAGCGGCCAACGCCGCTGGGGCAATAATAACGTCTCCAACAGATTGAAACCCTGCTACAGCATATAATGCATTATTCTGCAAGCCTTTGAAAATTTGGTAAGACTGCCCGAAACCGGTTTCTTTTTTTGGAAGATGTCGGGAGGTAACGGAGTTGGCCTGAAAATCTGAGCGCTTAAATAAGATGCTTTCTGAATGTTTTTGAGCTTCCTGTCCTCTGTTCATGGGCTTGGCGCTTGCAAACATTTAAAGCAGGCATTTTGACTTCAAGGGACCTTGATACTCGCGCGGTAGCATGTGATTGTCACATTAATTGCAACGCTGTGCTGCACAAATTTTGTAACCCGCTGAGTTCTTTCACAACCAACTTGAAGCTTGAATATATTCTTCACCAAAGATGATACATATATAATGATATACGTGTGTTCTTGACCAGTTGGATGTCATTTGAGTGCACATACTCTTTAGGTGCGTACTGCAAGCCGAGGAAGGAAAGTTCATTGGAAGCAAAGAAGAAGCCATCCAATGGCCAACTAATATGGGCATGTCCCACATCATGGCCGCCCCTAACCCGGATCAAGAGCCCCGTGGCAGAAGTCAGGAGAGGAGCAACCAGCATAGCTATCCTTAGATGTGCATGGCAGGCGTGGAAGCTGAGATGTAAGAGAGTCCTCAGAGACAACCCAAACAGCGACTCCAGCTCCAATGTCTCCCCTAGAAGCTCTCAACGCTCTTCGTGCCGAAAAACTACACCAAAACATAATGCTAACGAACAAATCATCTCAGAAAACCCTTTCTTAAGCACATGGAGTAGCTCACCTGGAAGTGAATAAAGCATTCCAGAGAATGGGCTAAAGAACAGCAGGGTATACTGGACCCTCCAAACCTCTGGGAGCCCCCAGTTGGCGTTAGTACTTAATGCCTGGAATTGCCACCACCGGGAAATGCTAAGAAGCTGGTATCCTGCCCCCTAAAGTATCCTGCCTGGGGAAATGCTATGTATCACACTAGCGAAAATGTCGCCAGCTCATCTTACACCACATGACTCATCGTAAAGTGTCGCTCTCCACACAAGCCTTCACACAACATAGCCGCCCGCGCAAGCTATGTACATATCGAACGCTCCGCTGAAGGGGAAATTAAAATGAACAAATCTGGGCATTTCCCACGGACCCCCACAACAAGGCACAATTGACGGGTTATATAATCAATTGTGATGCCCCTATGCCTAGTCTTTAACTAACTATGGCGGCCATGGCAGTGCCCATATTTCTTACCGCCCATCCTTTTCGTGATTGTTACCAAATTGTGATGGCGCTGATGGGAACCCAAAGTGTGCTACCCCTGAAGTCTTGGCGCTATAAAAATTAACTGCACATTTTAGCTCAAAGTGATAACCTTTTTACCTCCAAGCCAGAATGTCGAGCTCATCGAGTGGCTCTCATGATCCAACACCTCCTACCAATGGTGGGCCCGTCCTTGGGCTGACGGCGGAAATGAGCGACAGCAAGAGGAATTGGGATGAATTGCTGTCTTTGCTCAGCAATTTCACCCACAGTCGTCTTCCAACTTCAGGCGGCCACCAGCCTGGTGATGATGACGATTCATGCGATATCGGTACGTCGTCTCAGCTCTCCAAAGAAACCCGATATCTTCATGAGTACTTCCTCTTCAAAGGCGACGAGCAACTCGAAAGAGAAAGACAGGAACGTTTTGAAATTTTCGAAAAGTGGGCCCTCGTTATCCATGCCGTATAATACTCCTAATCCTTGTAAAGATGTATGAAAGCTCTGGATAAACAATTAGAAAAGATCACAAATGCAGTACGACAACTGAGCTCCAGTGTTGGACTCATAGCAGCGGCAGTTCGGCTACGCGCTCGCCTCTCTCAGGTTTTCCATCTCGTTAGAACGGTCGCGCGTCCCGTTTCGAGTGCCGAACGAAAGAAGCAGGCCAATGCCCTTGACGGTCCCTTTGGATGGAGGAATCGCCCAGTGCGTACCCCTCCCCATTCAAAATCTGGAAAACGAACTATCAAACAAGAAAAGTTCCCTCCCATCGGAACTTTCACTTCCGATCGAGAGGTTTTACCGACTGAGCTGGAGGCACTTGCCTATGAGCTCAATCTTTTCGATGTGGCCCTGAAGTCGCTTCCCGGCTTCTCCCATGTCCCAGACTACACAGCGGAAGACGTGGATCAGTCGTTCATCAGTTTTCAGGACGATCTATTGTACTGGGCCAACAACCTGAAAGACTTTAAGGGTCAGGAAGATCTTGTGTAGCAGGTTCATTGCTTCGCTTAACATTTCTGCCCGTAGGGAGCTTTCACTTGCCGTCTATTCGTCGACATGTTGGCGATCTTGCGGATGAGATGGTGATACACTTGGAAGCGCTGACGGAGGCTCTCAAAGTCTTTTTCGACATTGGTGCAGTGATTCGTTTGGGTCAAATGAATACTCATTTTTACCTTTAAACAGGTCTTCCGACAATTAAATTTGCGCAAAAACATACCACCGACACTTTACAGAACCTTTCGACCGTTGCTACATTCTTCTCTGCTGTTTCTGCCACGGCTGTTGGATTCAGGTGAGTGCCAGTATTCTCGTATTGCGGTAGATCACTCAATCGAGTCTCTGTCATATATTATCTAAGTTATCCATCTAAATACACAATAGCTGACAAAGCCGTCAATCTTTTATGGCTCATATCTTTGGTTTTTTCGATGGCAAGCGCCGTCAACAGCCAGCTGGGCTACAGGTGGGTCTTCAAATGGCCAGACTCGCAAGCTGGCAGAATCTAAACCGACCCTGTGTTGCAGATGGACGTTAGCCGTGTACTCAAGTCCTCCATCGGCCGTTCCTTGGTGGATCTCCATTTGGATCACCAAGACTCCGCTTGTTTTCCTTGTTGCATCTGTGGTATCGTGGGTCGTAGGGTCGGTAGGATTGCTTCGGTTCTCATGAGTCCATTTTCCAGGTTCTCGCTAGGTCTTATTTTCTTTACCTTTGCCAACTTCTCCCACTCGCTTTTTATTCCCGTGTGCATCACCGTGGCGTCAGCCATCTCAGCGGCAGCACTGCTTATTGTCAGCTTGTGGTTCGCTGGTGATCACTATGCCTTCAAGAGAAACAAAGGATCAAGGGTGAGCTTGTTCATTACGCTACGCAGCTGTCCCTGAACTGGGCTGTTTCCCTGTAGTGGCTCATGGACGAGCTGGAGGAATTCGTTCAGGCGTCTAAATTTTACTCCGGTTGGCAGTGGATGTCTCGTCACTTGGGCCCTGCGTTTGGGACCATCTTTAATGCGTTTTCCCGGTGTACATCCTTAGCGCGAGGCGCAATGAAGGCTGTCCAGAATGTGTTTACCAAGCCAAGACAAAGCTCTCTACTTCCAGTGCCGTATATCAGCACGGCAACAGAGGACCTACAACAACTCGAATCAGGGACACATCAAACACATTTTGATTCATCGGCAGAACCATCATTCCAACCTCTCCCGCTGCGGTCTCCATCTTCCACTGCCTTACTCAGGGATGCACGGGCTGCATCGGCTCCTCCGACCTCAACTACCACAGCGTCCCAAATCTCACCAGTGCCACGGCTGTTCACGGTCCCCGTTTCTCCTAACACGTCACCGCCGTCAGCGAATGTTCGAAAACCGGGTTTGAAAAGGTTCAAGAACGTGGGGAACATGGTTGTTAAACAACAAAGGGGGGAAGACGCTTTTGATGTGGCTCTCACCAATCTCTCACCAGACATCGCATTCCCGCCACATCCGACTACTGCCGATCAACCCACACCAGATTCAACACCTGAAGCGCAGGCATTTTCCCCCTTCGCTCGCCCGACCAGGTCTTTCAGTCACCTTGATGGAGAGCCTAGTGGACCTCCTCGGAGGGTGTCCCCCGCAATTCAGCGATTCAGGAACGCGGTAAACAGAGTGATCGAAGCTATCCGGTCTGCTAAGGAAGATCAAATGAGGCGCATGGAATCTATGGTACCTGCACTGAAGTCCCTGGCATTATCCCATACGATGAAAGAGCACACGGCTATCATTAGGGATATCAAATTTAGCCCAGATGGGCGATTCTGTTCGTATTCTATACCCCTTCATTTGTCTCTCTACCACGGTGTCGATTGATTTTACTAGTGGCGTCCTGTGCTTGGGATCAATCGGTAGTCATCTGGAGAGTTGGACCACCAATTCAGCGTCATTACACGCTGCGTCTCTTTGGCCCCGATTTTGCGTCCCAACTTGCATGGTCGCCAGATAACCAGTATCTGGTGACGAAACTGGCGCGTGGATATATCATTTGGAATCCTCTGGTAAGCTCAGAAGTTCATCTTGCTTGTTGTTTTACAGGAAATTTCCTCTTAGACGGGGAAGAAGCTGCGAACAGTCAGTAGAGACCAGCCAGTGCAATCTGTCGTCTGGATGCCGCAAGGGCAAGCGCTTGTATGCACCGAGGGAACATTCATTTATCAGATAGTACGAGTTGTTCAATGCTAGTACCCTTACACAGCAGTTAAGTCTTTTTTAGAGTCTTGACGGAAATGTATTGTGGAGCCATAACTTCGAGTGCAACCTACATGACCTTGTTATCACCCCCGACGAGAGCAGGCAAGTGTTGCCAGATGCATTACTCTGGATGTGCGCGATTGATACTCCTCACCTAGGCTGCTTGTCGTTGGAACCCTAGAAGTTTCGACAAATCATCATCTCAGGCCTTCAAGGTCCCGCGCAGAAAAGCGTATCATTTGTATGTCATAGAATCATCATTATCGCCTCACGCTGATACCCCAGGCGCCTGCCACAGTGTTCGATTTGTTCTCCCGAAGTGTTATTCAGTACGCTAGGCTATTTTCCCTACGCCTCATACCACTAACCCCTTTCTACTCGAAGCCAAATGCCAACACTGAGCGACGTTCAAGGATTGAGTATCTCTACGTCTGGCACAGTTCTTCTTATCACGCATGAAGGAAAGGTATGTAGCCATAAAGTAATTCGCGGCCGAGGTATCGAATTCATATTCTTTGGACCGGTAGACACCACCCCAACTGTTCCGCGTGAACTCAACATGGCTTGCTCTGCTGCACACGTATCGACTTCCAAACCCTGTAGAATTCGCGGGTACAGGGCAGCTCGGCGTACTGGGGCCAAATTCAATGCCCGGCGGGCCCAAATTCGAAGATCGGATCATCATTTGTGCAGGAAAAGGTGGATTGTTCAGTCTTGGATCCCGGTGCTATCGTTGATATCAACCTTGCTCGACTTAGGTGGCGAGTTTTTCATCTGGGATCGCAAGTCTTCACGACTTCTTCACTCGTTCGATGCGCCGATACGGAAGGGTTCATATCTCACTAAGACGGCTTGGAATTGTGGAAGCTCAACGGCATTAATGGTCGCTGGTTCCTCAAGCGATGGTACCGTTAGGGTGTGGAGTTCACCCTGGGACTGAGATGTCCATCGCCTCGTCCAGTCCCTTCACAGCCTCTCTAAACTGGGATGGCGTATTCCTCGCAATATTTCGAATTTTGGGATCATTCTGGGTCAACTGGTGAAATTCTGTTGTATGTTTGTCTGGTCATGGGCCACTTCGCCCCTTAGTTCCTATACTGGCGTGAATTGTGATGAAGCTTGATCGCTTGATATGGGTACATGTATTGATCTGGGGAGTGTGCCTCGTGTCTGCATAGGGTGGTGCAGGAAGCAGTATAATAGGAACTGTTCTTGATGGACGGACTTTCATGTGTATGTGTACCAATATGCTCTTCTTGCGAGTAAACCGATGTTAGTCCTAACGCCGGAGTGAAGCCGCCATAGAAAGTGGTAGACGTATGAGTGGTGATAAAGCGTGGGGGTTGAATCTATGTTGCAGACTCAAATCTTCGTTCTGTCCGACGTTGTTAAGGATGGGACCCCCAAATGATTCGACTCGGAGAGAGGGACGCAGGCAAAAATTGTGTTGTCGCCCGAAACCAGGTGCAGTCAGGGCAGATCACGGAGGCAGTGAGTATACTCGAGGCTGAGCATGCCTCCTGTTAGCTACGACGGGAGAAGGCAGGATCTCCGATTAACACCAAATGGCACGTCTGCCTCACGACTTATCAACAGCACCCAAAGAACTTACATAAATCACGATCGGGAGGTGCTCGTACCGGCTCTACAAGACTCACACTAGGCAGGTCCGACTTGACCCTGCCCACGTGTATGACCTCGCCTGTCAGAAGCGGTATAGTCAGGCTGAAGCTTCGACAGAAATAGAGTATTGTTGCTTTTCACTAGTCCAATGCAAGTATATTGCGGGGTTCTGAAACGGCAGCAGGAACGAGAAGCAACCCGCGAATGTCTCGAACTAGACTTACAGTAAAGCTCGGGCATGCTCCACTCGCGGACGCTGATTGGCTGGTAATCCTGAACTATATTATACGTAAAGCTTGCCCTGGAATGGGCGATCACCATATTCAAAATAGGCTGATCGTTTTTCACGCTTTCGGACGGGGAAAACGCATCGGAGGATCCAGATTCTTTCACAAGCGTACGATGAGAACGGATGGGCGAGTGCTCAAGTGCTGTCTGCACGCAATCTGCTGATGCACCCTGCCTTCTGATCAACTTTCTTTCAGCTCAGAGCTGCGACACATGGCCACGCTGTGGACAAGTCTTACGCTTATCGGGCTATGCCGAATCGACTGCTCCGCATCGCCTTGGCTGCTGTTCTTTTTTTTTGGTGGAACCTCAGTAGCTTCCGCTATGTCTGGTGACATGTTGAGGTTTATTGGTGGGGGCGTGCCCCAGTGGATGGGTGGGTGGTTCGTGTTGGGTTGGGTCTATCTAGAGCTGCCACCGCGGGGACATGCATTTACGCACTGTGGCGTTGCGCGCCGTGTGGGGCTCGCACTGATCCCGGAGGGTCAGGAATACCCACTAAAACCCCGCTGCTCTTCAGCCAGTCCGCAGGTAGACCCGCTTCGTTTTGGAGGGTGCCGCTCCAGGTGCCCAGTACAAGCTGTTCCGGGAGTGCTTTTTTGCCGTATCTTTTGGCGTTAGTTAGGAGAATGTCTTGTCGCTGTTCTTTGTAAATGGCGTGTTGCTTCCACATTGTAAGACTTCCTCTCGAGGGTAAAGTGTCCAATTGAATTTTCAAAGTTCGAAGCCCGAGTTCACTTCATATCGATGTAGGATTGAATGGATTGCCTGATTGGCAGGTTGCCTTGAGGCTCTCAATTCGGTTGCGCGCGCATTGCAGGTTCCGCCAGGGTGCAAGCCCGGTACTTAAATAGCCTGGCTAGGGAACCAGGTGCTTGGCAGCTCGCTTTTGCTGTGTTCTCCGGAGGGTTGTCTCCTCTCCCCAAAGGTGTTCGCTTACACCGAATTTGACCCTCACCCTTCACACAATCCACAAGTAGAGAGAGATCATGTCACGTCGAGCATCACGAACATCGCTAGATGGTTTGCCATCTGAATCGAACGACGGCGCCCTCCCTATCTCGATGCCTGTACCTACGTCCATGCCTTCTTCAGAAGCAGCTCGCAATAGGTCAACCGACAATAATTGGGATTCCTTGTTAGCGGTCCTTAGCGAATTTGCTCAAAGACGCGATGGTCTTGGTCCTGGCCATAACCCAGCTCCGACTGACGAAGATCCCATTGATATTGGTATGTTGTCTCCGTATCCTCTGTGCCACATGAGCAAGGGAGTCACTCTCCTCTACTCCTAGGTGATGCGGAGCTTGAAAAAGAGAGAAAACAGAGCTTCGAAGTTTTCGAGAGGTGTGTCATCTCGCCTTAGAACCCATTCTCAGTTGAAATTGCTCATGTCTGGTCCGATTAAAGTAAGATCTGGAATTTAGACAAAGTACTGGAGAAGATCACCAATGAAGTCCGGCGGCTCAGTTCTGCCGTCGGTCTGATCGCTGCGGCAGTATATCTCCGAGCTCGTTTGTCTCAAGTTTTTCACCTAGTCCGCTTAATAGCTCGCCCCCTCCAACCTCGGAGCGACAAAAACAAAAGGACGCTCTTCGAATGTTCACGACTCGCAAACCCCGTGTCCGCAACACCTCAGGCACCCAGCAGAGCAAGTTTCGCCCGGTGGAGTCCTTCACTTCAGACAGGGAGGCCCTCCCCAAAGAACTCGAAGGACTGGCACACGACCTTGTCGTATTCGAGAAAGCCTTACAAACCCTCCCTGGTTTCCATCACGTTCCGGACTACACCGCGGAAGACGTAGACCACTCGTTTTTAAGTTTGAAGCAAGATCTACATTATTGGGCCCGCAATCTGAGTAACTTCGAGGGTAGCTTCCATTTGCCCGCCCTTCGTCGACACGTTGCCACTATTGCGGACGAAATGGTGGTTCATCTGGATGCAGTCACAGATGCATTGCGTGTGTTTTTTGAGATCGGTGGGTGCAAATATACCTTGGCTGTGTAGTGATTTCTTGACAAGCAGGAGTTGTTAGGCCTGCCCACGATTAAGTTTGCCCAGCAGCACACCACGGACACATTGCAAAATTTATCAACCGTGTCAACTTTCTTCTGCACTGTGTCTGCAACAACCATCCAATTCAGGTGAATACCATAATCTCTTCCATTTTTAGAGGCACTAATGTGGTGCCATTGGGATGCCTCAAGTTACCAGAATTCGGATACTAGATTACAGAAAGTCGTGAACCTGTTCTGGCTATTGTCGCTAGTGTTCTCTATGGCTAGCGCGGTCAACAGTCAATTGGGTTACCGGTGAGTTTACCGGTGTTTTTATGCGCGAAGCTCACGTAGCCATTTTTATTCTCTCAGTTGGACTTTGGCAGTGTACTCCAGTCCTCTTTCGGCTGTTCCGTGGTGGATCTCCATCTGGGTCACCAAAACCCCTCTCTTCTTTTTGATCGCATCTGTAGCTACGTACGTCGTCTTACGTTGCCATCTCCATTTCATCTCGTCTGAAACCATACTTTTTCAGATTTGCTCTAGGTTTGATCTGCTTCGCTTTCTCAACCTTCTCGCATACACGCTACATCCCCATCTGCGTCACAGTGGTGGCAGCTCTTTCAGCAACCGCCCTTTTCTTTGTCAGCCTCTGGTTCCTTGGGGATTATCGTGCATTCAAGAAGAACAAAGGATCGAGGGTATGTCGCCTCAGCTCGTCGTTGACGCTTCTGATGAACACTTGCATTGCAGTGGCTGATGGAAGAACTAGAGGAATTTGTCCAGCAGCATCCCAGGCTAGGCTGGATCCTTGATTGGATTCGCTCCACGTCAAAAGTTTATTCGGGCCCAAAGAACCGTATTCGAACTTTCCTGGGAAGACGTTCAGTGTCTGGGGATAACGTGCTTCCTATCGTGTCTGGGATTACCGAGAGCGATTTCCTCGAACATGAGCAGGAGAAGGAAGTGAAGTATCCGGACTCTTCCTCTGAACGAGGTTCAATGTCGGGCCTCATGACGCTGTCTCGTACCTTATCTATGGCTGCGTCAGGCGACAATGCCCTGGAGCGGGAAATTGGACCGAGAAGTGGGGCGGAATCACAGGCATTCTCACAATTCAGTCAGGCCCTAAGTCGGATTCGACCGAATCTGGAACTGGACAAAGAATCTAGAAAACTGACATCCCCGATCCAACGATTCCGAGAGGTCGTGATGAAGGTTATCAACAATAATCGCCTCGCTAAGGAGGAAAGGAGGAAGAGTCTGGAGTCCATTGGCCCTGCACTCAAGTCCTTCTCGTTATCTCACACAATAAAGGAGCATGCGGCGACAATTCAGGACATCAAGTTCAGTCCTGATGGAGATTTCTGTGAGTACAGCGTGGCGGCTGCATGGCCCACCTTCCATTAAGCATTGATGCTTGCAGTGGCGACTTGTTCATGGGACCAAACAGCCATCGTCTGGCGCATCGGCGCATCGATGCAACTTCATCGCAGGCTGCAATTCCAGGGAGCAAACTATCCCTCACGCCTTGCTTGGGCCCCGGATAATGAACTATTGGCCGTTAAGCTAGCGAAAGGTTACGTCATCTGGAACATATCAGTAGGTCTTCTTCCGGAACGAAGCTATGATCTCTCATCATCACCCGTCATTTAGACCGGTAAGAAGCATCCTCCAGTCAATCGAATTGGCACAGTGCAGAATATCACTTGGATGCCGGACGGGAAGTCCCTTGTGTGCACGGAGGGCACCTATATTTATCACATGGTGCGGCTTGTTGCTCAAGCCAGTCTTAGGAGTTCGTCTCAAAATATCACCCTAGAACATGGATGGAACCGAACTTTGGAAGGTCAATCTTACGTATTCGCTCGATGAAGTCGTTATTACGCCCGACGGGAAAAGGTGAGTCGTTTGTCCCACAATTGATTGAAGAGCTCAATGTGTCGCTCGAGACTGCTGGCCGTGGGCACGCTGAATGTTACGCCTGATGATGAACAACTGGCACCATCGAGGTCACGTCCCGAACGTCGTATCATTTGTGAGTCTACCGGTTTGTACATGCTTGGAAGCGCGGGAGGATCTCACCACCGACATAGTGTTCAATATTGAAGAAAAGAAAACTATTCAGTAAGTCGATCGCTAATTCTTATGAACAGTTATACTGAGCTATCCCTGCATCAGCGAGATGCCGACCCTTAATGACGTTCAAGGCTTGAGTTTATCTGTCTCTGGCTCGGTTTTACTCGTCACACACGAAGAGAAGGTAAGCCATCATTTTCATCTGCTGAAGGAACAATCGTTTTCCCTAATGCTGCCTCATCAGACGCCTCCGCAGTTGTTCCGTGTCAATCCTACATGGCTAGCTCTCTTGCATACATACCCTATACCGAACGCTATGGAATATGCTGGTTCTAGCCAGCTCGGCATCCCAGGCCCGACGTTCGTAGTAGGTGCACCAAAGATGGAAGATCAGATCATCGTTTGTGCTAGCATACGTGAGGTTCATTTCAGAGTGTGTCGACCAGTACTCATCTTTCCGGCTCGTTTTTTTTTTTGCGCAGGTGGTGACTTCTTTATATGGGATCGAGAGTCCTCTCGCCTCTTGCACTCGTACCGCGCAATCATCCGCAAAGGTTCCCACTTGACCGGGATCGCGTGGAACCACGGGTCGACGAAAGTTTTAATGGTCGCAAGCTCCTCCAGCGATGGTACTATTAGGATATGGAGTTCGCCTTGGGGGGGTCACGGGCCTGCATTCCCACTGCCTCACCAAGTTTAGGAGATCTTCTTGTGCCACACGATATCATAACCCATCCCAGGTGGACGGCGGTTCAGTTATGTACCCGTTTTTGAATGTTGACTGGGAGACCAGCTCGAAATATATCTCCCTTGCATGCCCTGATAAACAAGCGTCTCGTCTTGTGCACTGCCAGCGTACCCAATGAAACAAACTTTCTGAGGAAGAAAGCGTGCAGTGAGGTCTGAGATGTCCGACTGCTAGAGCTCTATTTCTGATCCTTCGACTTATTGGAATGTCATGCAACAGACCGGCTTTGCTCCTGCGACAGTACTCGATTCAGATGCTCGCCTTCCCCCTCAATTGTCAACATCATGGCTTCAAACATGTACCTGATGCTCAAGCTCCTCGATGCAAGGGAACGATTGTGCCATACCGAAAGTTCACCAGATTCCCTTGTATAAACGGCACAAACTTGAGATAAATAGAAAGAATACCCTGCACACGATTATAAGGCAACAGTAGGGAAGACAGAACTAGCTGGGCACAACTTGCGGTTTTCTGGCAGTCTCTTCAGCAGCCCCTTCATTAGGCCCTTTCGATAGACTGTTCAATGGGTGCTTTAAATAATGAGAATGTACTAATTCGAGAAGCGCGTCGATTTTCTGATCTGTCACTAGAGCGTAGACAAATGGTACGTTCAATGAGTGATCAAAGGCATCCTTGAAGAGTCAACACATCACAATGCGGATCAAAGTGGCCAAGGAACAAAATGGTGTGCTACATGCAAGGAAGTGATCACAGTGCGCACTATACTACCGAGGGGAATTTTTGAAAAGGTGATAATGGGAAAGGTGACAACGAGGGGGAGGGACTTGCCAACGACTTAAACTTCTCTAACAATCGTTTCGGCGACGCTTTCACCAGCCCCTTCAGCAACTTCTTCAATGGTTCCTCCAGTGGCTTCTTCGCTTGCTCCCGGAAATACGTCGGTGAGGACAGGATAGTCGGGATGATCCCATTTCGTGCTCCACATGATGACGATTCCATCGGTGCATGCAGCTGCCACCCTGAGATAGCTGTGGTCTGGCATGCGCTCGCAGCCAAAAGTCACCCCACTGACTTCAGCGCTTCCAGGAATTGAAATTGTGAACGAGTGCAGAAGGCGATACGATTCGCGGTGCCATATGAAGACTTTCCCTCCTATACATTAGAGGATTGGAGTCAAGTGTTAGCACTAGGGGACGTTGGCCCTACGTTTGTTAGCGCAAATAATGATTTGATCTTCCTCGGACTCATCTGCCACGGGGGCAGGGCTCCGAATTCCAAACTGGCCATAAATAGGGTATTCTGTTGTTATGTAGCTCTCAGCGGGGACACTCGGATAACGGGGAACAACCCACTTGATATTGTAACCGCACAGCGGTATAAGTAGTTAGGGTAATTACACAGATATCAGACAAGAACAATAAAAGGATAAGATACGCGCAAGCGCTACATGTGGAACGCAGTCAACAGTGAGACACGCAGCACATGCTGAAGGGGTATCATATCGGCTAGCCGATATGGGCATGATATGCGTACCGGCGTGTCGTCATGTCTTGCTCAAACAACACTCCCCCTCAAGTCATGACGTCGTCCGTTAGTGAAGAAACAAATTTGGTGAAAACGGGGTTTGGAAGCGGTTTAGTAAAAATATCAGCCAAGTTATCTTCAGAACAGATGTGAAAAATAGAAATATTTCCACATTCGATGTGGTCGCGAATAAAATGATGACGGATATCGATATGCTTACTGCGGCCATGGAACTGAGGGTCGCGCGACAACGCTATCGCTCCTCGATTATCGCTGTTAAGCCTGAATGGACGCGGGGCCTCAAAACCTAGTTCCGCCATAAGCATATTATGCCAAAGTATGTGCCGAACAGCGTGGCTGATAGCAGCATATTCGGCCTCCAACGTAGAAAGGGCGATAGTGCCCTGCTTCTTCGACGTCCACGCAATCGGTCCGCCAGACATAACAAACACGGCACCGGTAATGGAATGGCGATCGAAGTCTTCTGCATAGTCAGCATCAGCAAAACCTTCGGCAGCGAAACCAGAGTTGGATTTCCTATACACGATCCCGCAATTGACAGTGCCTTTTGAGGAAATTTGTATCTGGTGCGACTACTGGACTTATCCGGAGCTCCAAATTCTTATGACATAAACCAGCGTGACTGGACAAATGGCATAAAATGGACAAGCCTGGTATCGAACCCAGGACTTCTAGCGTGCATCCATACACTACTCACCCGTTATGCCAGGGGGGGGTACCCCTTCCCTGATGGTTTGGGAGATCACTTGATCCCTTCCTCCAACAAGTTCATCCTTGACTTGGTCCATGTGAGCATCATTGGCGAAAATCGCGGAGTCGTCGATGTGGAATGCAATCATAGAGATTTGGTCGTCTAAGCGCCGAACGTAGACACATGAGTCCGTGAACAAACGAGTGTAGCCCAGATCGATGAGAGCAGCATGCAAACGTCTGTTCCAGACTTGGCTGTCAGGGACAGCTCCGAAAGCGGTGAGGTCCCGGCGTGCAGGACTCGGTGGGACGAATAGCGGCTGTGCGTAGCGGCGATCCCATTGCGGGGTGAGCATCCCTGACCACTTAGTCTGAAGTGGAAATGTGAGTTATCATTAAAAGGGAAGGCTACACTACTTGCCTGAAGTGGAAATGTGAGAAGAAGGCTACTTCTTTGGTTCCCACTCCAGCTGTTATTATATACATGCGGGATTGATCACGTGGGGTGTGCCATGTCACCCTTGCACACAGCCATGGCTCTCTGGGTGCCTCTGCGGGAGATCCCGAGAGGGCCTGCTGTGGGTGCAGGGTGAGTGCGGCGGTGGTGGTGGTGATGTAGGGGTGGTAAGATACAGGAGGGGAAATGGGCATGTGTGCCGGTGATACATTGAGCAGCAGGAAAAGTGGTCCATGTAAGAGAAAGAAAGAAAGAAAGAAAGAAAGAAAGAAGGAAAGAAAGAAAGAAGGAAAGAAAGAAAGAAAGAAAGAAAGAAAGAAAGAAAGAAAGAAAGAAAGAAAGAAGGAAAGAAAGAAAGGAAGAGAGGGAGAGGGAGAGGAGGGGGGAGCGGTGCGGAGCGGGGAAGTGGAGGGGGGATCGGGCAGGGCATGTCGGGGGATGCCCTGACATCACCCCCTCCTTAAGCCGCTTCGCCTCGAAGTGGCTGGGCGGTCTTCTCTTTCTCTCCCTGGGGCGTGGGGGTGCGTCTGATGGAAGTCTTCCACTAGGTCGGAGGCATGGGTTAGGTGGTCGCATGCGAGCCACTGGTTCTCTGAGTTTGGCCATCCAGTATACTTTACCAAGTACCAGAGTTTCCGGCGCCGCCATCTGGAGTCCAGAATTTTTTCAACCTCATACTCTTCTTCCCCATCTATGAGGTCTGGGCCCGGGTGTGGGTCGGCGGGGCGTTCCGCGATTTCATCAGGGCAGTGCAGTCTGACATTCGTCACGGACACGACTGGGTGGATCCCCTTCTGTCGTGCGGTGAGTCGGAGTTTGACGGTGGTGGGGGAGACGACTTTGGTGATCTCGAAGGGGCCAATCCACTTGTGGTCTAGCTTCTTGGTCGGACGGTCAGTCGTGTAGTTCTGGGTGCTAAGCCAGACTTGGTCGCCTTCTCGGTATGTAGGGGCTGCCTTGCGATTGCGGTTATAGTAGCGGGCCATCTCGTCCGCTGCGTGCTCCAGCGCCGCCTTCGCCTCCTCTTGCATTTTCATCATTCTCGAGGAGAATGCATCTGCAGCTTCCACCTCGGACGTGCGTGTGGGCTCCATCCCCATCCTGGGGTGTTGCCCAGTGTCGAGCTCGAAGGGGGTTCAGCGGGTAGAGGAGTGGATGCGGTTGTTGTAGGCGAACTCCGCTAGCGGGAGCCAGTCCGCCCAGTTGTCTTGGCAGTGGTTGACAAACACTCGAAGGTAGGCCTCTATCTCTTGGTTCACCCACTCGGTTTGTCCGTCTGTCTGTGGGTGGTAGGGTGTCGAGGGGGTGAGCTTGACTCTGAGGAGGTCTGCAAGTTCCTTTGAGAAGCAGGAGATGAAGGTGCTTCCTCTATCGCTGAGGATCTCTTCGGGTAGGCCATGGTGTTTCCAGATGTTGGAGGAAGGGATCAAGTGATCTCCTAAACCATCAGGGAAGGGGTACCCCCCCTGGCATAACGGGCGAGTAGTGTATGGATGCATGCTAGAAGTCCTGGGTTCGATACCAGGCTTGTCCATTTTATGTCATTTGTCCAGTCACGCTGGTTTACATCATAAGAATTTGGAGCTCCGGATAAGTCCAGTAGTCGCACCGGATACAAATTTCCTCACCAGACGTGTTCGAGGAAGAGCCGCGTGATTCCCACTGAATCCACCATCGTCATCGTGGGGATCGCATGGATGCGCTTGGATAGGTGGTCTACTACGATGAGAATGGCGTTGTATCCCTTCGACTCGGGAAGCTCCCCTACCATGTCGACAGAGATCACTTGCCAGCGGCGTGCGGGGACTTTGTTTGGGATGAGCTTTCCAACCTTGCAGGAGGGGAAGGACTTGATGTGGTTGCAGGTGTCGCACCTGTGCACATACCGTCCTACGTACTCCACCATCTGGGGCCACCAGTAGTCATGGGAGACGAGTTCCAGGGTCTTCCATCGCCCTGGGTGCCCCGTCGCCCATGCATCATGGTGTAGCTGCACCAGGTCATGGCGGAGCTGCGGGTCCTTGGGGACATATATTCTTCCTCTGTATAGGACTAGCTCCCCTTGTTTCTCCCATTCATCTGACCTAACCATCCCCTCTCCGAGTTCTCGCATCGCCTTCACCACGCTCTCATCCAGGTCCTTTGCCCCACGGATCCTCTCGAGGATAGTCATCTCTTCTCCTTCTACAGAGATCGCCTCCGTCGCGCGGGTTTCGAACCAAGTTGGTTGGAGGAGTGTAAGCCCCTCGTTGTCATCCTTACCTCTCGTGTTATGGAAATGGGAATTTCCCATTTTAGACTCTTATGGGTTCTGTATCACATGATTTGTATAGTAATAGAGTTTAACCAATCAATAATTAACCAAAAAATCCGCTGTGCTAACATCTGTTAAACTTCATGTTACAACATCTGTGCTAACATCTGTA